CAAGAGTGATCAAGGCATCAATCGAAGCAAGTGCCAGGGGTTAGCTCGCCTCCCTACCGTAACGGGACCTAATCCCGCGCTCGGGGGGGGGGGGGGAGGGGAGGAAACCACCCCGGTTTAATGATGCCCATTATGCAGTCTTTGGGACCAAAGTGGACCTGCATCATCAGCACATCATCCACATAAACCTTGGGCGAATTGATCCTGGCATCCACGAATACCTGCCCTTTCGCCCAACCGAACTCGGAGCTTTGAACCTCATACCCAATTTGTGACGGTGTAGTCCCTGGTAACGCATCACTCAGCATTCTCCCGATAAGGCTCACTCGTTCAGGGAACACCCAGACCCAGCCCTCGGGGTTGATGGCATCGACGATTACATAGCTTTGGGGCGCCGCGGGGCTTACCGTGCGGCGACACACCTGTAGAAATGTATCTACCGGGTTCCGGGTCACAGATTCAACTGTGTCGTCGAGTCCGACGGGGGCAGAAATATTTGCGAGCACCACGCACTCGGTGCTGATCATCATCACCACCGCGGCGACATTTCTCAGGAGCCTTCCGGCGCCGATAGCTCTGAATTCGGTCAGGCCTCGCTTCTTACCGGTCTTGTTTTCTTGGGAGTCTGGACCTGGAGCGGTGAAGGTAATGCTGCCCACGGTCCCGGGTCCGATGACGGCCACTTCATCGGCCAAGATGGCTTGTTCAAATCTGCGAGCCATCTGGTGTCTTCCGTTCGGAAATAATGGATGGTGTGTGATTGGATGGTCCTGTTGTTCGAGCTGTGGAAGGGAGTGTAGTGTAGGAGCGTATGGATGGTGGTGTGGAGGCTCGTTGGTTCGAGCTGTGAATTTATAGCAGAACTCGATCCTAGCAGTAGGCGTATTCGGCTTCAAAGAGCATTGGTAGGTGCATTTCTAGGTTGACTCGAGAAAGGAATTTTGAAGGAGTGTATCTATAAGCGTTCTTAGAGTTGCGTGCGTTAAGGTACGGCCGTCTTAAATCGCTGGGGGCTCAGGCATGGCCTTCGGATCAACGTGTGTGGGATCTTTGAACGCATGGCGGGGAAGTTCAGCTGCAGGCTTTGTTCGAGAAACTGGTCTCGGAAGATGCATCTAAAAATTATCTCAGTTAGCCTTGTGATGCATATGTAGAGGTGTCCTTGGTGTGGAGCTGAAACAACTGGTGAGAGCGTGGCTGAAAGGGTGAATGCAAGCAAAGAGGAAAAGGACAGCCGAAAGGATGAGAGAATAGCCTCGAAGCAAAGAAGAGAGAAGTCATTGTTCCACCATGGACACACATAAGTTCCGTCTATAATGGTTGAGAGACTGCAAAACGCTTCAGCCTTCTGGTCGGAGTTAGTTTGAGTGCTGTTTGTTAAAGCGACATATGCTTGGAGACCACGGGGGGTATAGCTGAGAAAAGTCGTCTGCTGGCAGAAAAAGGCTAGCACAGCATCAATGAGGGGTTTCTTAGCATACAAGGCGTTGTAGAATGGAAAGACATGAGAGCCAACGAGTTATATCATCTGTGTTGGGTAAAGCTATTTCTTGTGGGGCGAAAAGGGTTGACAGCGAACTCTCAAAGATCCTGAAATAGCTATAACCTCATGTGTGTCGTGACGAAAATGTTCCTCATTGTGCGATCACTCTGACATGTGTGGGAGGAAGTGGCTACCGGCTGGGAAGTCACGCCGTCGACTTGGGGATGGCGATGAGCCAGGGTGGTCGGTCATGCAACACCAACCGAGGATGGAAATAAATTACTTAACAAAATACTGGCTCTCTCAAGAGTACCATAGTAGTCAAGACAGAGAGTCCTTCGTTGGAGCTGTAGACCGTACAGAAGAAGAAATCTGAGTGGTATCCTGATCAACGCAAATAACCTCACATCCCCTCCCCCTCCGCATGAAGATAGCCAGCCAGCTAAGCCATCAAAAAAGAGCACGAACGAGACCATCTCCTCAGTACTTTATGAAAAAGATTCCAAATGCAAAAAGCTCACCGGCCCTCCTGGCACAGCCGAGCTGCGCGAGGAGGGGAAGGCTACGAAAACCCCCGGGTGGTTTTGCAGACGAGGCCGCGACAAGTCGCGGTCTCGTACCCAGGACTTCCATAGCTCGGAGCGGAGGCCAACCCGCTCAGCTATGGTGACCCTGGTGTTCGATCGCTATACATAACGGGGGGGTATATGTTTGCCGTGGTTCGCCGAGAAGGGAAGCCATGGAGTGCCTAATTTACCAGGCAGACATATGTTGGTGCCTGGGGCAATTTATTGATGCCTTGCGGGTCAGGCATAAGCATGCTGATGCCTTAGCGGCCGGCTCCCGGCGGGCTCGCTGCCTTGATATTGTCTCTTTATGAAGTTGAAGGTGTAAGATTTACTCTTCTTTTGAAGACACTCAGGTTAAAAACAGCCTTGCATGGCTATAAGCTCGAATATGATCATATCACACAGCGATGCTGAGCCCAATTCGCAACCGCTTTGTTGGAGCAGCTATATACGCACAGCCCACGATAATGCCCGCGGTTAGGGCTAGATAACAAGGAATCTACCAACATACTAGTGTCTTGAGCTTGAATGCCAGATTTTCAATCTCACTCTACAACGATTAGGTATAGACATGGATTGTTCGTAATAGAAAGTTAAGAGGAGTAGTTCCACAATGTCGAACGCTTTAAACTGTACATCACCATCAACCATGGAATTTCGTTATCCGCCTGTTACGGAGGCCTAGATGGAATCGATGTTTTTTAACCAGTCAATTGACCTAGAATCGTCTGTCAGATCCCGTATCAGACACAACGATGAACTCAGAGATCTTACTGTTCCTAAGGCAGTTCAGCCTTTGTCAAAAGGGCTTATTTCCTGCGAAACTACCGCCAGGGCTAACGCATCCGAATCGCCTTGGCCTTTGCCGGTCCACGCAATCCTCGAGCTCCGGCATGATATTGCCATAGGCGCAGAAGATATCTATCCATCCCTGTATATATGTGGCTGAATTTTCATCTAGCCCAGCAGAATATTCCTAGCCCATGTTGAGCACCATGTGCTGAAGGCGTGCCGCCGCACTGTGTGCGGCTATCGTAACACATTGCAATTATCAAAGACTCCATCTTGGTATAAAAGGAGCCATATTAGCCAGAAGTGCCAAAACTACTTTAGAGTTGACCTCTCTTGTCTTAACCTCAATAATGACAAGCTGCTCAATATTATCATTGCCATCGCCATAGCACAGCGACCAGTCAACATTGCCTGCGAGTGAAATGCGATAAACTTCGCATCGGCCCATTCTCAGAATGTCATATTCGTGATCAATAGCGCCGGCATGGCTTGAATTCGTATTTGTTGCTTATATCTTGCTCAAGCGTCCGGTAAGTCCGAATGCAGCAATGGTCAATGCCTCTGTCACTTGGGCGGATCAGGGATGAAGCGCAAATCAATGTCTGCCTTCTCGCCATTCTCCACCCCGTTCGCCACTGGTCTCTTCTCGGTCTGATCCTTCTTCTTTGCAACACGTTTCCTTCTTTGCAGCTTTTAGCAGTGGCATATGGTTTCGCTCAACTCACTGCGGAACAGCGAGAAGCCCTACTAGGTTCCCTAAAGACAAAGGATCACGTATCATCACTCGGTATCGGGACGTTTGCATGCGGAGTATTAGGGCCTCACATTCCCCGTCTATTGGTTTTCAGACTGCCAGTCCTAAGCTTGAGGCGAGGAGTCGTTCTCTGAGTTCGTGGCGACTGTCTTCCGTTCGTGTCCTTGAATCTGAAGCTGGAGCCCGGCTCAGAGCTCGAACCCTCCCGCTGCTTCCTGCGCATGAACTTGCCCTGGTTGATATGTGTATGGTATCATCCCAGAGCGGCCTTTCATCCAGGATTCTTTTGCTCACTCCTCACTGGACTTGCGAATCTCGCGGTGCACGAAGTCGGGAAACCCCTCTGAAGGCAATTGCCCATTTCTTCAAATCTGCACGGCCAATGATGAGCGCCATGGGTAACTTGCGAGCCGGCAGCAACACGGTGCTCTATTTCATGCAATTGGTGCCCCGTTGACAACTTTCCCACATGGGAATTGCCGTATGGATTAATGGGAGGGTTGTTAACGCGACCAGGCCGTTTGCCGTCATCAGTCTTGGTGGTTTTGTCCCTGTCAAATGTAGTCGGAGGGTAGTCCTTGAGAAATTCGTCCTCATCCTTGTCGTCGTCGTTCTTGATGATATCATCGAGTTCGGCTTCAAGGGTGTCCTTGCTGGCGTCTGTCAGCTGAAGAGAGATGAGGAAGTCACGTTCCCACAGTCGTTGATTCTTTCTCCATTCTAGCATTCTTTTTGTAAAGGACTTAAAGGCTGCTACTGCTTTCCTGTGGTGCTCCAGGGCTTTCGTATAGTCGCGGCCCACAGGCGATTCTCTGTTTCCTGGGTCCTTGAAAGGTCCCTTTTACTCTCCCAATCCAGAACAGCGAGTAGCTTTTCGTCCAGATCGTCCCCAGTCATCGTTGGTCGCTGAACCCGCTCGGTGCAGCCCCTCTACCTTCTTCTCCGGCGTCCAGCCTGGATGGAAGGAGCAGTTTCCCATCTTCTCCTTCTCAATGCAATTAGCGCATGCGGCTTGCTCGATGATCCGGCTTGCTGCAAGGTGCTCTGTGCTGATAGCATTACAGTCGCGCCAATCTCTCAACTCTTGCTGCTGGCAGTACACGCACGCCCTCGGTGCCTCTGAAAGTTTCTCCGCGCGTTATGACCATGTGTGCTCTGCGGAGTGGTGCTTCCCTCTCATTCCTATTGTAGGCACAACTTATGGGCTCTTAGGGTTATGCGGCCGCAGCTCCTCGCAACAGGTCTTGATCCGGAATAACCACCCCTCAGAGGCGGTGGGTTTAGGGCTTGCTTACTGGCCAATCGGATTTCGGAATGGGAGATTTGTTGTGTATCTTCCACTCTGTGCGCATAATATTCTGGTTTATCGCGGGCGTCCAGAAAAGTTGAGTCAGCTTGTCAGAGGTCGGGCTGTGTTGGGGGAGGTCTGGTTATACTGGGGAAGGTCGGGTTGCGTTTCGACAATTGCCAGAATCAGGATTTTCGGAGTTCGGATAAAGGAAGCGCTGAGCAGAAATGACATGTTCGGGATCTCCATGGATGCGACAGGTCTGGTTGGGTTTCGGCTGGAGCTGGAATGGTCAGGCTGGCGCTGGAACGGTTGTCCTCAAGCTCATCCATCGTGATAGGTGCTTTGCCGCGGTAATTCTCATCGAGCTGCTAATGGAGTGAAGGCATGTTTGTGCTGCACTTTACTCGTCGACCAATATCCCAGCAAGTTGCCAGAACGTCTGAGAGCCGCAGAAGACGCGTCAATGTCACTTGCACAGCCAATAGCTCCCAGTTCGGATGTGGCTGTTCGGTCTTTGGTAGATTTTGACTAAGAAGAGGTTGTTGATATCCGTGACATCACATAGTCAAGAGATATCAGACTGTCAGAAAATACAAAGAACTGGCCTAACCTTTATAAGAAAATGGCAATTCCCGATCTCACAGAATAAGAATTCGAGAGTACGATCCCTTTCGTTCCACTAGAAAATTCATGATAACAAGGTCACCAGCTGAATGTTGTTCCTTTCACCGAATTTCGACGATGGTGCTGTCCAATACATCGGCTATCGACACGCGCACCTTTCCCTCCAGCGCCCGTATCGGCCCCGGCACTTTAGGAACCTTCGGTTGGACCTCCTCCTTAATCTTTGCCACTGTCGGAGCGGCCTTGATGGTTCCCTCTGTTATGTTTGCTTGTCCCTTGCCCTGAGAGCGCTTCGATCTCGATCCTTCTCCCCCCTGTGCCTTCCCCACCTGTTCCTCTATTGCTTGCATCTCTTCATCATCGTCCGACGATGCCGCTCCGTCGTAAATGATCTCGTAAGGCAATTCACTTGACGGTCCCGCGACGGTTTCGGAGGAGTCGTTTCGATGGGAGGATTCTGTGCGATCGGTTACCCTGGCATTGGCCCGTAGCGCTTCGACGTTCTTTGGCGGTTTCAATATCAACTTCTTCACCCTTTCCGCTTGAGACTCCTGTCCCGACGGCGCTGTCTTCTTCATGATTCCCCTTATCGGGGTTTTTCCTTTGTCCACCTTCTCTTGAAGGGCGAGTGGCTGCATAGGAGAAAGATTCATCGTCCATCCAACTCCCGTCCATTGCAGGCAGAACCACGAGGCGAGGGACACCTTGGCATCGTCGGGGCCGACGATAGTTGCGTTCCTCAACCTTGGTTGATTGGATCACTAATCCTCGCTGGCTTCCCTGATCCAGTCGGCCAAAGACATGGCTTGCATGTATGCATCTGTCGGAGTGTTCGCCGCCGCGATCCTTGGACCGAACCAGTCCAGGTCGCCTGTCCCAAGCGCCCGACTCGACAACCGCCGCTGCCAGTCTCCAGTAATCGTAGCTCGGGTTACCGCTGCGCAGGATGGTTTCGAGGTCTTCCTGGGCCACTCGGGCCAGGCCTTTGCCCCCAAGCAAGGGGCGCGGGTCCTTCTCCACGTTCTCTCGCTGGCGCTTGCGCTTGCGACGTTGACGATCGTTCCTCTTATTGCGGCGTGCTTCCTCCTTTGCTGGCGTCCATTTTAGGTTGAACAAGCAGTACCCCTTTCTCCCTTGTTCGATGCAGTTTGCACACGCGGCCTGGGCCGACCATGGCCTTTTTAGTGGTCGCCGCCACATGATGTTCCATGCGATGCGCCTTCTCAGCGTCGGCGAATTTGGCGGCCAACGCGCAGAGAGAATTGCCGATTGGCTTGCGGAGGTAGGGGTCCCAAAACGCTTCGAGGTCGGCATCCCAGAAGGCGGCCGACCACTGCAGCATCGCAGCAAAATCCTTGGCGTCCCCCAACATGCCTGTCGCGGTCTAACCTACGATTAGACGCGTCTCAAAAAGAGAACAGATTGGAAAAGGAATGAGCTTACAGGGGCGCAATTTGCCTTCCTGGCAGCGCACTGGCTGCACTCAACAGAGAAAACGGCATCAAAACAGCAATTGGTCGCGAACAGCTCAGCAGACCCCTCCTCATAGCTTTTAACAGAAGTTCTGAGGCATGTCAGGCAAAACATAGGATATCCGCCAAGGGACGGAGGGACAAAGGGGTAAGCATGTTAATTCGTAGGCAGATCTGCAGCCACCCGTTAGCATCTTAGCAGTTCCAAAAGTTAGGATAGGAGGATAGATATACCTTAAAGGAGTTGTTTCAATAGCGATTCGTTATACAAACGACGAAGAAACGAGGACGAGACATGAACGAAACAAGTGTTGATGATGGAAGAAATGTTGAACAGAGGGAGTTCAAACGGGAATCTCCTTACTGATGGCGACGCAGTCTTGCCAATTTCCCCAACCCTTGTTGGCAATTTGTGCATTCTTGGGTCCCTGTAAAGATGTCCCCCTGCAGCATCACCAAGCGGGCCTCCCGCAGCCAGGATTTCTTCTCCTCCCGGTCGTACGCACAAGTTATGGTTGCCAGTAGTGAGCTGGTACCTGCCCCTAGACCTCATGAGTCTCACATAACTTCACCAACAGCAATGATGATAGTAAGCCTCCATAATTCTTCCCTCGGCTGTGTGCATCATTTCGATTGCTTCCTCGACACGGAGGGGTGCTTTTAGTAGACTGATCATATCAGCGTACCATTGCTTATGTGATGGTAACCAGACAAATAGCACGGTGAGAGTTGTTTGTCAGTAGATGGATCACTTGCATCTGCCATAAAATGAAGACACCCATTCCTTAGTAGACGTGCAGCGTTTTACTCAAGGTGATGACTTTTCCTGTCAGGGGTGAACGGTAACAGAATTCGACCTCAGTCATTGACTCCGTCACGACGAGACAAGGTACAATCCCTCTAAAAAACGGCGCTGACGTGTGACCTTGCAGGAACTGACCGCTGGAGCGGGGGTTATGGCCGGGTGCTGCCCTAAAGGCAGTAGCAGACCCGGACAATACTGGCGCAACACGATCGATAATATGCGCTGCCCTTGAGGTTGACTGGGCTCAACGACAGCACTGAGAGTGCAGATTGTTTGTTTGCCGAAGCAGTGGCTAAGCATGTTTCTTGTCAAAAGCAGCTGCGAATCGTTCGCAGTCGTGCTCCGACACCACTTGCCCGTAGCCTCCTCCAGAGCTTGTGATCAAGCACTCCATCTTGAAGACGGCTGATCCCCTGTGGCTAACAACTTTGTGCTAGTTGAGAATATGTTGAGCAAGGGTTTCTCTGCCGATTTGTCTCTCATAAATATCCACAGCATTAGCCAATCTTACTTTTCTTCAGCCGAACATAATTGTCAGATCCGTTCAGAAGACAATATAACGCTACAGCTCTAACATGGTGGACGTCGATGTTGAGAGCGATGATTATCGACATCACGGCTGTATTTCTTTCATTGCCTTTCTTGAAGCTCACCAAAAGAGCTGAGATTTCCTCAAGGAGATAAAATTGACTCCTCGATATGCGAGTTCTAGATCCGAGCGCAAGAAAATTGTTTAATAGCTTGCTGATCAGACCAGTCAGCGTCGCTAGCCCGTTGAAGTCCGAGCTTGAGTATAGGTGACCATCACCAGTTGTCTCTGACTCCGGACTTGCAGGAGCGACATGACGATTAGCCTAGTTTCCATGATGGAGGTCATTGCGCGCATCAATGCTCCATAGACTGCGACACCACTCTTGAAACAGCACAGCAGTATCACCTCGATATTCAAGTACTAGCATCGGAAAGCGCCATTTCCCCCGTCGGTTGTTCGACTCCAACAATCTTTTCTGCCACTGCATGCAGGTGAAGTTACCCGAATGGGTTCCCGCTTGGTTCTCAAAGCCAGTAAAGTAAGGCTTCGAGATCCTTCATGTCCTGGTAGCGAGATGTTTAGGAGAAGTCATTGCTGAGGGAATTGTCCGTGTACTCTTGTGCGGGCTGTTCTGCCTCTGCTCCATTGGAGCGGGTTTCTCAATTCCGTGGAGTGTTCTCGCAGTTGTCAATGTCAGTGCTTGATTAATCTTGACTGCTGACCAACAGGGATAACTGGCATTGTATATGCTCGACATACGAGCGAGTTGCACACGTGCCTTGTCAGCACGAAGTTCAACCGTCGGCTTTTTCTTTTTCATCCTTCTTTGGGACTATTCTGATACAGATGAACCTTATTGCTGCCATTTCCCTTTGGTGGCGGCAGCCAGACAATGCGCACCTTAAGAGTCTTTTTGTCGAGTCTTCTTGTCGCGGGATGGACCGCTTGGGTCTGGCATCAAGATGAAAACGCCGACCCCCCAGTATACATGCAACTTCTTGCTTCATGTGACAATGTTGCATGCAGACTCTACAGCCAGGGTCGAGTCGCTCGACAACGACTGAAGCTAGAGACGACGCAAAAACGCGGACGAAACGCAAACGCAACCAAGTTGGATGATCAGCCCGGCTGAAGATCTACTGTTTCCACGCCTGCACACGTTTCTCTGTCCACCAGTTTTGTAAGACCGTGAGAATCAGGGTCTCGGACGACAATTTGGTAACGGCATGGCGTTTCATAAGAGAGGAGGGGTAAACGTGGGCTTCTTCGATGTCCGGATAATCGGCCTTGGTGATTATACACCGCTTCTGATCTTGGGGCACAACTCTGAGGTTCTCGACTCGACTTGACATCATTAATTTTCGGGACCATCGTTCTCGGTTGCTGGTTTTTCAGTTGCTTGGCCCCTGCCTTTTGTCTTGCGATTTGTTTCTGAATTTTCCAAAGCTGAACGACCCTTTCTTCTTCTCCTACTTCTTGTTCAATTTCGACTGTGAGATCGACTGGAGTATCCCAGGTGGCTGATATTGCACCAGACAGAAGACTTCACATCTAGACTTCCCCAGACCCGCCGTTATCACCCAGCCACAGGCCACAGCATCAAGATGCGCACAGAATAGAAAATACATGACGATCCTCTGACTCTGAGATCGGAGTAGTTGGTCAACGGCCCAACCGGGTACGAGCGGTGGTTAATCCACATCGAGCCATGTCGGGCGTCCAGGAAGGGTGGAAATAAATAGTAACAGTTCTCGTCCTCGATGAAATCTGCAAGCGCGCTGGGTGCTCATCCAGTCGTCGTCAAGGTGCTCCTTGTCCATTGCAATGCACTGTTTTCAGTCTCCCAAGCCTCGTTGGCGTGAGAGGCATTCTGCCTTCGAAGATGGAAACCCCAGGTCATCACCATCCTTGCTTCTCTATGGAGCTTGCTGCTCTCGTGGCTGTTGTAAGTGTATCTTTGCAATTTGGAGTGCTTTCTCCATATCCACCAGATACAAGGTATTTCTTTCGTTCTCATTCTGCACATGCCAAAGGATCGCTCTATGAAGAGCGGCTGCGGTTTGATCCATTTTCTTAGACCCACGTTTCCTTGGCCTTGTTGGTAGGAGAACCCCAGTGGCCTAAGCATCATCCTCTGTCTGAACACTGAGCCTCTGTCCATCGAAAGATCAATTGCCCGGGCAGGAGTACGTCGACGACAAAGCGGTAATTTCCACCTTCTCCACAGCTTGCTGAAGTGCTGGTCCAGCCGCTGCACCAGCCGCTGCTATGCGGTACATAGTTGTATACACGAATTGCCGAAGCCTAGCTTTAGGCCCTTGACTGTGATCAGACCATGAGTTTAGCTTGAAAGTCATGTCATTTTGCAGTAATGTAGCCCTCGTCCGGATACTAGACCTGTAGATGTTTGTACAAAGACACATACCATCATTGTAGATATGCTGGATGTAGGCAGTGGTGTTGGTTCTTTCTTCCAGAATTTCTGCAACACACGTTGGGAGGGCACTGCTTTCAATCATCAGCACAATGAAAATCTCCTGTACCAAGAATATGAAAACATCGAAACCACGGCCAGTAGATTTACTTGTTGCTCTGAAAGGATTGGGTGGGGCATTCTTGCGTTAGCCTAAGTTGCTGCAACGAGTGTACCCTATCGGCTTGACCCATCACTTGATCGAGGAAGCACAGGTACAGCACATCTGCTTGCAAGCAGACACCATGTTGTTAAAGGCTTCCTGCGCAGATATGCATGGCCGATGCAGGACAATTGGAAGTGGTCACGAGGATGCTCTCGCGGAGCTGGACCCGGACAGACAGCTGCCTGGGGTCCGACCACCCAATGTACGGCACAGACCGCACAATGGGCTCGCGAACCCAATCCCGCTCGCGACCAGACCAAGGGTTGCTGTCCTGTTCAGCCGGGGAGGCCGGGCACCGCGGCGGACGCTGCCGCCGAACGGCCTGCGAACCAGGCTGCAGGAGGCAGCTCAACAAAGCGTGTGGCACCCCACTCTTCGTCGTTGGCCCGTTTGCGGGACGTCGGCTGGTCCCAATCAGCCCTGGGTGTGCCCGCTGGCGGTGGGGCCCACAAGGGCATTTTAAGTCATGATGCAATGGATAACGATATGGTATGTGCTGCTTCTATGTGAGCTAAGCTTGTAGCTCTCCGAGTGCCAATCGTTCCCATTCGTCTGGCACAAGTCCTAGTGGAACCGCAGGGAATGCCCTCACGCGTAAGACACTTCTTCGAAATGTTAGACTTGATGTTCGTGGCTCTTGAAGAGTTGCTAGTACATGACGACGTCTTCCAGGATGTGGCTCGGCGGCGGTTTCGTATGACTCTCGCTGTCGCTGTCTGCTTCGGGGTGGGTACGACCGGAGATATCAAATTCATGCATATCTAGTAGGCATCATGAAAAACATCTGGCATCTCTTCCTCCTGGTCCTGTTGCTGATGCTGCATAATCTCGCGAGGCGGTTTGTCGGGCAGGGCATTATCAAAAGACCCGTCCTCCATTATTGCTCTGATTGTATCGGTAGGCCACCAGGAATGTCAGACTTCTCGAGCGTCTGATTCAGCGTATTTCACTCCCAGTGGTGCATGATCAAGAACATCGCTGATGGCTAGTTCTCTGGCCGTCTGCATTATCCAACGGACCGTGTAAATGGATCAGCTCGCCGTGGATACTCACCGGGGTGATTCCGCCAGTTACGGGTCGATCTATGTGGTAGTTTGCCGAAGTGAAACACAGAGCACCATTGTAGGGACGGATCGAAGCCAGGAATTGCGGGCCGTCGATGTCGGTTCGAGCAAGGAGGTCACGGAGGAACGCTGGGGGCGTACGAACCGGGGGAAGTTCAGCATCGCCCTCCATACAGCATTTAGAAAACTGCGGGGCGGACTTCGCAGAGCCTTCTACAGGTTCTTACACGGCTGGTCAGCATCTCAAGTTTGAGGGGGAGAAAGATATGTCACAGGATTGGTTTTCTTGAACAAATGTGGTCCAAGAAGACACATCACTCTTCTTCACTCGTTTGATTGAGAGTCCTGATTCAGGCTGGCTGATCAAGGACGCTGACAGGCAGATTCTGTACCAGAACAGCCGGTAGTGAATAAAAAGTTCGGTGAACAAGGAAGGTTAAGGAAGCCTTCCTGGTTCTGACGCGGAGGGCTCAATCTGTAGTGCTGCAAGTATGTTTTATTGCTCAGACGGTATTGCACCCACTGCAGGGATCACTTGTGATCGATCTGCATACAGTTATTGCACTTTTGTCGGCGACCGCCACCGACACACATTTTGAATGTCTGTCATGCAGCATATGTCACACACCCAGTCGGTAGGAAGCTGGTCAGGGCTAGTCACGAGGATGCCCTCGCAGAGCCGAGCCTAGATCTCCAGCAGCTAGCAGCCCCAACTTGCCAACCAAAAGGGTGCTTTCTCTTGAAAAAACGTACTGTGCGTTCTCGTCGGTGACACTCGCGCGCGGCTGAACCCTGTGAAGGAAGGGAACAGAATTCAAGACCGGCGACAATATCCAACACCGCTCGCGACTCGACAGGGGCTGCAAAATATAGAGGCGTGGATGCCGTGTCTCTCTGCAAATAGAGGTACCTGACGTTTGAATCACGGTATGTAAGTGACTCTCACCCAAGCAATAAACTGGGGCGTCCCGGGAACAAGAGCACGTTTGTGCAGGCCTAATCGGTGATATCCTGTCCTGCATCATGCAGGCTTTCTCCGATGGGCCAAAGCCTACGCTCCGCTCCGTCTATTGTGTTAATTCGATTTGGTATTCAGAGTCATGCCATACCTCGCAACCGGTCGAAAGCTCTCAGTTTCGCTTTCTCATCTGTATCATTAACCTCCGAGGAGCCATAGCTCATGCGACTGTGCTACTTGGGCTCGCATAGGACGTACCAGCCTTTATATTGTGCGAAGAAGAAATGGCCGTGCAAATTGACGAGGGATTGTGTGGCGGAGCCTACAAGGTCTCCATCTCGAGCTTGTACTGCTTGATTGCCTTAGTTCAGCGCGATTCACATTTTTGCGTGCGTTTGCCTGACGACCCTATTCGCTACCGATTAGCTAGGAGCATAACCAGATCACGTAGAGAGAAAGGAGGATTCGCTATTGTTTCCACACCCATAGGGACAGTCGCGCTTGACATGGTCAGGTGAGTTGACTCACAGTATCATCACCCGCGTTCAACATGCTTCTCTGGAAGTTGTCACCAAGGCTAGTGACATTCCCACTGTCCTCTAAACTGACAAGAACAGAGGTTCGTCTAGCTGGAAACTATGTCATCCCGCGAGACATGACCTTGCTTTTAGCACAGCAGTTGTTGTTAGGATGCTAGAACATGACCCCAAGCCAGAAGACGAGGACAAGAGGGGATGTGGCCTGCACGGGAGAACAGCAGAGGAGCTCCTCCATCCTTGGATCGATCAGCTCTACGTAGATCCCGGCATATAGTTTTACTATATGCTAGTGGATCTTGCAAGCTATACATCGTCAATCTCGGTTGTCGTAAGGTCCTCATTCGAGGTCAACAATAATAGTGGGAATGGCAAAGGATCCGGGTTTGATTTTGGACTGGTGCCCGATGAGGGTAACGGTCTTGTACCGGATGCCCTCACTTTTGGAGACCAAGTGGGTCAATCTCAGAGCTTCAAACTGGACAATGCCGAAGCGAGGGAAGTGAGCCCCTGGTTGGGGCTCAGGAGCGTAAAGTCCGAGATTCTGGGCTGGCGCTGCACTTGAAAGTCCTCGAATTGCTGACCGATACTTTGGGAAGAGAGGGCATCTCGAGTTACCAGGCGGCGTTATTATAATTGGTAATGGTGAAGAGCCTCGATCGGCCTTGATATACTGCGTTGAGGAGGTCTTCTGTTTGACCAGCGACTTGTATATCGTCGACATACAAAATCATGATTTCTCCATGCTCTCCGATGAACAAACACTCGTCGGCCTGGGATGTAACCATTCCGACATCTGTCGCGGCAGCAAGAAGCTCGTAATACCAGTCTCTCGCAGACTGCTTGATGCCGTAGATAGGCAGGAGCAGGAGGCAGACTTATCGGTGCCATGCTCGAAGCCATTTGGTAGAGTCATGTAGAGCTTCTCATTGTCGCGGAATTTGCCGCACAGAAAGGCTTGCTTGACATCGCCCTGTTTACAGACGTGTCCATACGCAGCCACGGTAGCGAAGAACATCCTCACCGTTGCACATCCTTACATGGCTGTGTTGGTTAAACCTCCCCTGCAGTCCGTTCTCATCTCCAACTCTGGTCTGCTCTTGGTTCATCCCTGGGGACACCAAGATAGAAGACTCCCCCAGGTGTCCAGCTGCACTGGAAAACACTAGGCAGGTTCTTCTCCACGAGAGATCCACTGGGATGAAGGCGGGAGTAGTAGCAGGACCACGGATCTTTGGACTTCTTCTGGTGTCTTCGAGAAAGCCCTGGCTGGTTTGCCGGCTTCCTATCTGCAAGTTAACTGTACCAAATGAGTTAGCTATCAAGGTACTCTGTCTCTGTTCAATTGCATGGCTGGGGACCTGGCCGGCCCTCCTCGCCCCCCTCACCGGCCTGTCTATAGCACCACTGCCCGAAGACAGCGGCCAGCTTGCAGCTGAACCCGTACGGCTAGTCTAACAGCTGCCATCGGAGCTTCTAGGATCTCTGAGTTCAGGTTAATTGATCCAGAACTTCATACAACTCCCCATCAGCAAGTCCTCTCCTTTCCTAGGAGATTAGCTTTTCAGGCATATATCGTTCGAACTTTAATCTTGAACACCCAACGTTTCGAGATAGCCTTGCATGCAGCGGGCAAATCGACAAGACGCCATGTTCCGCGTGCGACGAGCAGTTCAATTTCTGCCTTCATGGCCTTCCACCATTCGTCGGCTTGCGGAGACGCCATGGCCTGTTTGAATGTTGCCGGCTCGACGACTCCTTCGTCATCTCCAATTCAGGAAGTACGAATGAAGCCATGGAGCAAAGTACAGTACATTGCCTGGTCCTCAAAAGTAAATCGCGAATTCGAAAGCTGCAGCGACCTCGGCAGAGATAGAAAGTCCACCGATAGATCGGGTCCTTGCAGCGAGCGATATGAAGTGATAATGCTCGGCCAGGTTAGTCACTAGTGGGGCTGAAATTGATTCGAGCGCAGCCAGGTCCTCAACTCATCCGCACTTTGCACTGTCTGCGAGATGTCTGCGACATGGGACCAGTGCTGGGGTTTCTCAGTATCAAGCCCAGCCAGTTCCTCTGCTCAGGAATGATCGATATATGCACTCAAGAGGTGCCTTTTATGTTTCTGGATTGATAGAGTACTGCCTGGAACGACCGGGGCCTTCTACTTCATCAATGATTAAGCAGAACAGACTTGATAAATTGTTTGCTGCTGCAGACTGGACGTGGAAGTTGGGCCTGTGCATGGCATGATTATGAAGTCCCAATGCTTCAGAGTGCGGTTATCAACGGTTGTATTCTTCGCCCACCGCATGCCATCGAATGCGATAGTATTCACTTTCTGCCTTTGAATAGTCGGTAAGATTGTAGAACCTCACGCATTTCTCAAATGTTACACTTTTCTTCCCATACTGCAGGCGCTTCGCGTTCAAGACTGTATTCTGATGCTTGCCATCTGGAGGAGCCGTTGTTGTCGAAGCTTACTGTGAGGGATATCTCTTGTCCTCCGCGAGGAAGCCAAATGGCACAGTCTTGGTTAGATTCGATCCGGTGTTTGCATAAATTCGAACAATTACCGGGGACTGTTCCATGGTAGCCAGTCTCTTCTTCGATGCAAAATCCCTGGATGTATAGTAAGTTCTGCTTGAATAAGCGACTCCATCAAAGACAGACCTTTTCGAAGTAAGGCTAACTCGACAGACACAGTCTTAGTTAGGCGTGTCCTAGCCGGTTTGCAGGTCTGATAGAGCAGTCTGCAGCCCATCTAGAAGTCCAAAGTGTTGCATATCCAGCCCACTGCGGCAGATGTCACCAACCGGTACCTAAATCCCAGACGTGCTGACCATACTTTTGTGCGATGTGGCACGATGAGGAAGATGTTGGCCAAGAATCGCACGCAGCACAAGGGGCAGGAATCGACTTCTCCGCACCACGCCCTTGAAGACCAACCCGTCCTGAAGGTGTGCGTGGTACGATTTGAGGACATCTATTCCTGGTTTTCGTTTCTCCTGAAATCATCCCTCGCTACCAAGCCCTGGGCATCAAACAGAGCTCAACCATATTATGAACCAGAAATGGTACAGGTATATCTCATCGTCATAGGCAACACCCTACACGGAAGACACATACCCATCCGTAGCTGGCATGCAAATTGCATCGATGCCTAGCATTTAGACCTCGGTACTTCAGCGCATGCTTCTGTAGTTCGCAGCCAGCTCGACAGTCATGTCATTTCTTCCCTGGGCTGGGCTCCAGATCTGTGGAGCAAGTTGTTGGTGGATTGGAATCGGTGCTAAGGTAGTTGATAAGCAGTTAGCAAGTAGTTTGCACAGGCTTGGAAAGTACTTACACGTTTCTTATTGCACCCCGGCACACGGCAGTACACTTCTCCATAGTAGATCTCAAAGTGTCCTTTCTTGTCCTAAGTAGTTGAGAACCAGTTAGATAGTGCTTGACAACTGCTTTGGAATATCACTTACATAGGTGTATTCAGGGAGGTCCACTGAACCGTTCAGACCCTCCTCCAGGTACCAGGAGTACCAGTTCTGTTATTCATCAAAAACACACTTTGGAGTATCAAAAACTCACTTTGGTGTCAGTTTTAAAAGTCCAAGTTGTAAATAAGAGCTTAGGAAGCAGTTATAGGCTCCTTCACCATCCTGCCCATGCCAGGTCGGGGAAAGTATCGGTAATGAAGAAACTCGGCAATCGACCTGACATCTTCACCGCCAAACTGGTCGTCATCCATGAAATATTCGAAGGCAACAGTGCTCTTAAGGCGATAGGAGAGACTGGAAACGATTTGGGTGCCTTGTTCCTGCGACAGGGCCATAGTCTTCTGCGTCGCCTTGCGCGGCACCTTATCTCACACACCCCCTACGGGAATGATGTGTAGGCCTCTGAGTGATTTCATCTTGGGAAATGTGCCAAGCACCCGAGCCGCTGGGCATCTGCGTCTCTCAGGCAGAGACTGGTGATATTGGTGGTAAATAGACGTTACATCCCAGGTAAGGAAGTAGTGCATTAGACTGATGAAGACTTCATACTAGGGCTATGTTAGTGTCCCAGATATCATGACTGCGAGTAGGGAACGATCAAGATGATGAGATTTATCATACTCCCAGGGCCGATAATGTCTTCTGCTTCAGTGGGAGAGTCTTGGAGTAGTCTAGGCCTGTTGTTCTCGAGGCTGGTCCCCGGGTTCAAGTCGACGGGTCTTGGATATGTGGTATGGATGAACTTTGGAGTCTGAGGGTTGAAAGGATTTTGAATATCTTATTGCTGGATCGATGGGTGGGAGATAAATGGAGAGGATGGAGAGGGAGGAGGATGGAGGATGGAGGAAGGAGGAAGAAGGAAGGAGGAAGAAGGAAGAGGAAAGATAGGAAACAAGGAGGGAATATATACAGGGGTTGAAGAGGAGATTGAAGGAGAAAGATACACAGGGAATGGGGAAGAAGGATGAAGAAGAATCAGAAGTTAATATACAAGCAGACAATTAAGTCCATGATTGAATAAAGAGAAGCTCAATATGTATTGACCCAACTACAAATAGTCCATTGAGCCATTCACTGCAGGGCTTATGATTCACTATACCAGTACTGTACAGCCTTGAATGAAACCCTAAGAAACTTCCCCCATTCTATATACCTCCACTATCTGGGTATATCAATAAACTAGTACGCTGGGACCAGAACAAAAAGAATGTGCCCGGTAGACGCCCGCTGAATGCATGACAAGAAAAAGCACCACCAATGTACAAACCAACCCAAACAGAGAGCTCAAACACCTACATTGCAAGATCATCATCATCCCACCCCAGTGCCGAATATATTGATTTCTCCGGCGTGACCGGCACCGCTGCTGAGGTGGCCGGCACCATCAGCTTGGCAGCACTGGGCTTCCGCACCGGCGTGCTAAACACGGCTGCCGGCGCTTTGACAGGGGTTTCAACGGAAAGAACATGGCTGGGGACCGGGTTGTCTTCCGGGATAGGGATCCCAGCAGGGACAGCAGCGGGTATGAGGGCCGGTTTGGGGGGTGTCTCCATCACCATCGATGGCTTGACGCGCGGAAGGAAGGTGTCCACGTGCCGACGAGTCTGAACCGGTGTGGAGGGGGCCATGTCCACAGGGCGCGGAGCTTCTGGCACCTGACGGGGCGGGACCCTGAAGAGGGCACCAGAACCACTTGACACAGGTGATGCCGTGGGATTAGCCAAGAGTGGCTGCGCTGGTCGACGAATTGGGGTCTCCTGGACCGTGCTGCCTTCGCCACGACCAGCTGATCCAAAGAACAAGGAACCGGAGCGAATAGTCGATCCAGGGATCACCTGAGGTTCACTGTTGAAGGGAGAAGACATCGAGAACGTGGGCTTAGAGATGGATGACGACTGCACGAAAGTCGTGGGGACAGGAGGCATCCCCACGACAGCGTCCTTCTTTCGACTGCCCTTCTTAGGTGTGGCTGCGACTTGCACTCCTTGTCCCATGGGATTGCGCACGGGGTTCTTCGGCTTTCGGGAGCTGGTGCTGTGCACAGTGCCAGTAGAATGCCGCTTAACGGCATCATCGGCAATATCCTTGGCCACGAGTTCGCGGTTGGGCTTGCGCAGAGCGTTGATGGCCGCATCCAGCTCCTTCTTCTGCTCGACCAGCATCTGCATCTTCTTGAGCTTCGTCTCGTGCTGACGCGTCACGGCGTTCAGGTCGACTTCGCGGTTCTCAGCGCGCTTGGCCTTCTGGATTCCTCCCCGCACGCTTGCCCCAGCGATCGGTAACAATGGATCCAAGGAATTGCGTCTCGCCTCAGTCTGTGCTGGCGTAGTGTTCGAACGGCTCAGAGACGGGGGTGGGCGGGGCTGAGACGTCATTTGATCTGTAAGCACACGCTGGAAGGTACGACGACGAGACTGCTTCTGCGCCTGTTGCCGTTCAACAGGAGTACCAGGCTCGCCCTTGGGCGCCTTCTTGGTCTGAGCCTGCTTCGCGAAAGGTGAAATAGCACTCGAGACGCCCAGTTTCCGGGTGATCGACTTGCACTTATCGGGCAGGCGGGCTGCATAGAAAGGAATAATCACTTCTGTGCAGAAGTCCTTGACAGCGTCGCTCTCGACCTTCTTTCCGGAGAGGTGGTTCTGGCTGTACGTCGCACCTGCATCAGGGACAACCGACTCCTCAAAGCTGACAGCGTACCAGATGCACAGTCGGTCAAGGTGAAGTTCGAGCATGGTATTCAGATCCTGCTGTTTTTTGTTCTTCGACTCCTTCTTGGCGGGTGCCTCTGTCGCGCCTTCAGCACCGTCAGTTTGTTTGTTCTGTTCACTCTCAGAGACAGCCGCTTCAAGAGACATTGTTTCCAAGATGAGAAGGATTTGCAATTGCGTTTCGCGCAGACGTAGATCGGCAATCATCTTCTTGGACTCCGTCTCCCTCGACGTGGGGCCTTCGGCGGACAGTGCCTGATCGCTGAGCGTCCGGTTCTTCCACCACTTGCGGACCAAATCAGTTTCTTCCGGGTACAGCCCGTCCTTGCCGAGCTTCTTCTTTGTGCTCTTGCGTTTCTTCTTCTTGGTTGCCGTTTCATCATCCGACAAAGTAAGTAGCACATCACTAAGCATAGCAGGCAGGGTCTCGCGATACTTGAGATCGATCTTCTTAGCGACAAGGATAGCTTCCCTGTAGAAAGCAATCAGATCCTGAGGTCTACTGCCTTCGGACTCGGACGATTGAAACGCAGCCCGGCAGCGCGCAAGCGGACCTTTAGCAAAGTACGCCACAGACGTCTAAAACTCCCGGTCAGCATAGCCACCTTCAAGAAGAAACACCAGACAACTCACCTTCGAGATATACAGCGCCTGCAAATACTGCTCCCGCAGATTATCCAAGAAGTCCTGCGGGGACCGTAGCGCATCCGCAGTCTCCTGCGCCAGCGCCTGAGCAGCATCAACACCAACGCCAGCATCAGCATCTGCACAAGCATCCACCCCAGCAACACTGGAGCTCCTCTCCAACGCAACCGCAATCCGAGGCGTCACAGTCTGCGAGTCCCGACCATGAGCATCATCCTTCTGTAGCGGCGGCATATCACACTCAACCGTGCCCGCAAAAACAACAGCAACCTCCACCTTGGCCCTCTTGCCCACGTGCTGCAAGCCCCGGGAATCAGGCTCCTCAATCCTGGCCGCAGCCCACCACTCACCACCTCCAATACTACCTTTACCTTTGTTCTCGTCCTCATAATCCTGCACATCACGACCAAACCCCTCATCATAAATCCCCTCCCCAAGCTCAGCACGCACCCCTTCTTTCCCAGCAACAACCAACTCGCCCTCTCCAACCGCGTCGGCGACCCTCAACAATGCAAAGATCCCCCTCTTCACCCGCTCGACAACCACCAGCCCTCCACCGGGCGCCATCCTAGCAGCAAGCACCATCTTCTCTCGACCCGTTCGAGCAGCTCCGCCGTCATAGCATTCGAGGACCGGGATATGCGCGACGAAAAGACATCCCGATTGGACTTGCAACGACGACGATGGTGTCCAAGTCGATGCAGAGGTAGCGCTGGGCGGTGCGTACTCCAACCAGGCGAATGGGATGCGAGAGCGTGGGATCAGGGCAATCGGCGCGAGGACCAATGGTTCCTGGGAGAGGGAGGTGGTGGGTGCCTAGATTCTTCGATTAGCTTTTCCATTGACCGTAGAATATAGTATCATATAGTTTAGTGTAGAAGATTAGGTCGTAATTAGTCAAGAATGTAAGTGAGGGACACTGCCAGTGGAGCATCACAAGTAGGTATTGCGGGGGAGGGTACAAAAAGTCCAAGAACCCAAGAACTGTCGAACCAGAAACACATCGAGAACCAAAGAACATACCTGGATCGTAATCGGCCGCGAGATCCAATCAGTCGGCGGCCCAGAGGCCCCGGAAGCAAGAGTCGGGTCGAAGCATGTTCTGCGCTTCTTGAGCGGGGGGAGTGCGCTGCTGCTGCTGCTTTCGCCGCGGTGGTGGAGATGCTGGGTTTGGGTGTGAGGGACTCGGTTCAGAGGGATGGGTTGGAGGGCGCCGGAGGACACGAGCGAGGCCATGGGCGTTGGTGTTCTGTCGACGTAGATGAGCGATCTAGTTCATGCTGTGGGTTTCCGTTTGACGAGGTCGGGAGAGCAAGGCCCAGGCAGTTCGGCGTGTAACAAGGGTCTAGGTCTATTTGAATATGGTAAGTAAAAGGGAAAAAAGGGCTCTTCGAGTATTGCGGTGACGCGCGATGCTCCCTCCGTCCGCCGTCACGCGTCGGGCGCGGCGGAGCGCGGGGTATCCTATTAAGAAAGCGGTCTGCGTGGCGGTCTGCTGGGTTTTGCAAATTGGCACGAGCCGCTTGCGCTTATACGGTGGGCCACTCGTGCCATTTTGCAAATACAAACTTTCCCAACAGAAATCATGAACTGTTTGGGCTATCAGCCAAACCTTGAAATTCTCAGAATTTGCCCATTTCTTGATCTAAAGACTTGTTTTTGACTCTGATATTCCGGCGATTGGAGGTACCTGACAATGGAAGGCATTTGACTATGGTTTCAATGGTAGGACTCCAGCACAGGCCAAGTCGGCTTACTCCTACGGTCACTACAAAGGAATCAGATCTTCACAACACAGGCTATGCCTGTCCTTCATTAATCTATATTGCTAATTTTAAATTAGCAGCTCATGATGACCGAAAGAACATCCGTTCCTTCGCCATCGATGCGATTGCTCCTATCGGAAACTTCCGAAAGTCCAGACCGAGAGACCCGACGCAGAACACCACGTGCCGAAGCCACGCACCGCGCGACTCCGAAGGCACTCGTGGTCTGTCCCATCGAGTCCCCGGGACCCTGGAGGAGGCAGTGTTGAAGACTTTCGCTCCCGAAAACGCCGTGTAACAACCCTCCCAATATATGAAAAGTGGTATCATGTTGAATTTATCCTCGCCGAACCCGCCTCTTGTGGAGACGACCATGCAAAAAGTGGACAAACAATCCAAAAGGAAACAATTGCTTTTTTTGACATGTCTATGCTCATGCTTTGAGTTGTTGAAAACAAAGCAAAATCATCACATTCGTAACGCAAACATACTCACAAGAGAAGCAGGTGCTCGGGTACAGCGTTTATCACGCTTAGTACTTGAGAGCCTTAGGCTTCTCCCAGGAGAAGGACTGGTTGGTGAAGTGACCGTTCTTGGCGGTCTGGAAGTAGATGGGCTTGGCCAAGTCGAGCTCCTTGACGATGACACCGGGGCGGAGATCGAAGTTGTTGCGGATGATCTCGACGAGCTCGTCGGAGGACTTCTCGGAGGTGCCGTAGGTCTCAACGAAGATAGAGAGGGGCTCAGCGACACCGATGGCGTAGGAGAGCTGGACGAGGGCACGACGGGCAAGGCCAGCGTTGACGAGGGACTTGGCGATCCAACGGGCAACGTAGGCAGCGGAGCGGTCGACCTTGGAGTAGTCCTTACCGGAGAAGGCACCACCACCGTGGGCACCCCAACCACCGTAGGTGTCGACGATGATCTTACGACCGGTCAGACCGGCATCACCCTGGGGACCACCAATGACGAAGCGGCCGGAGGGCTGGAGGTGGTAGACGGTGCGGTCATCGAGGAGCTCAGCGGGGATGACCTTCTTGATGATCTTCTCCTTGAGGACAGCACGGAGCTCCTCAGTGGTGACGTCCTCGCTGTGCTGGGCAGAGATGACGATGGTGTCCACACGGAGGGGCTTGACAGCACCGTTGTCGTGGGCGTACTCAATGGTGACCTGGGTCTTGGTGTCGGGGCGGAGCCAAGGGATGGAGCCGTCGTTGCGGGCCTCCTTCATGGCGCTGTTGAGTCTGTGGGAGAGGAGAAGGGTGAGGGGGAGGAGCTCAGGGGTCTCGTCGGTGGCATAACCGAACATGATACCCTGGTCACCGGCACCGAGCTTCTCAAGAGCCTCCTCGTAGTGGAGACCCTGGGCGATATCGGGAGACTGCTGCTCAATGGCAACCAAGACGTTGCAAGTCTTGTAGTCGAAGCCCTTGGCGGAGTCATCGTAGCCGATGTCCTGGATGGCACCACGGATGACCTTCTGGTAGTCGAGCTTGGCCTGAGTGGTGATTTCACCGAAAACCATGACCATACCTGGGGAGGCGGGTTAGAACAATAGTCATGTCAAGTAGAGAGAACAATGCATACCAGTCTTGGTGGCAGTCTCGCAAGCAACCTGGAGGATGCGCGTTAGTGATTGGTTCGATGCACGAACGAAAAAAAAAAAAAAAAAGGACCCCGCGTAGATAGCAGTAGCCAATCAGAGAGGGGTATGCGCAAAGGCCCGAGATGGAGGGGCACGTACCTTGGAGAGGGGGTCCTCAGCAAGGCAGGCATCGAGGATGGCATCGGAGACCTGATCGCTGTTGGGTCGTTAGCAGGAGAGTCTGGCAAGGGAATTGCATTCTTCTGAGCGAAGAAGAGCGAGAGAAACGCACGCAATCTTATCAGGGTGACCCTCTCCGACGGACTCGGAGGTGAACAGGAAAGTTCCGGTCTTGGGGTTAGCGACGCTGCCCATTGTGATGAGAGGAGATATGTGATGTGAATAAAGACACAAAAAAGAAAGAGAGGAGAGAGAAGGAGAAAGAGGTGGATTGAGGGAGGAAGAAGATGAAGAGAAGAAAAGGAGAAGAAGTAAGCGAGGAGGTGGAGGGAAGGAAGGGGTAGAAATGGAAAGAATAAAAAGAAGGGGGGGGGGGAAGAGAGGAAGAGAGGAACGGCAGTGGGAGAGGGGGAGAAAATGAATGGGAGCCCCGCCGGTCTCTCTCCCTCCCCGTATTAATGTCTTTCCGATGGCGCGATTTGGCTCCGGCGGTGACGGATGGCAATAGAAGCGTAAAAAAAAAGGAAAAAAAAAAAAGAAAGACTTTTTTAAAAGCCGATGAGAAAAAAAAAGGCCGGGGACGCAACTGGGAACCAATCGGAGACATTGAATCGTCCACCTGCGTGCGGTGAGGACTGGCAGTACTAGGTACCCGGACTTTTCGGTTTTCCTTTGCGATCGATCGTCTTGTCCGCGGCGTCACTTTCTTTGCACTGCACTGGACAGTCCACTACATTTCGAGACGAGTCTACGGTAGACGACCGGTCCATCTGCTTGTCCGCTTCCTGCTTATCCGCTGGCTGCTAGACTACTTACTTTTCTCCGAGTTCCCAGCTAATCCAAGTTCACATTCGTGGGGGCTGGTTGTTGGCTTGCTAACCAAGTTGCGTTGCTAACTCAACCTTACCTACTACTCAACTTTCGGGCCATTTTCTTTCTAGTCCGGTTCCCCTCCCTCTCTCCTACTCACGTCGCCATACTAGCTTGCGCTTACGAGCGAAACATCCCTACCTCAGTCCATCTCCGACATTTCCCACATCGGAGATTGCCATTTCGTCGGTTTCCATTTTGGGATTTTTCTCTTATCTATTTTATTTTCCTATCCCTTCCCCCCCCCAAATAAAAAAAAAAAAATACAATCCCCCCTTCCCCAGACGATGTCCAAGTTCGGCGTTCTCGTGATGGGCCCCGCGGGGGCGGGCAAGACGACCTTCTGCAGCGCGGTGATCCAACAGCTCCAGAACACGCGACGGAGCTGCTTCTACGTGAACCTGGACCCGGCCGCCGAGACGTTCAGCTACGAGCCGGACCTGGACATCCGGGAGCTGATCACGCTGGAGGACGTGATGGAGGAGCTGGGGCTGGGCCCCAACGGCGGGCTGATCTACTGCTTCGAGTTCCTGCTGCAGAACCTGGACTTTCTGACGGAGGCGCTGGACCCGCTGAGCGAGGAGTACCTGATCATCTTCGACATGCCGGGCCAGATCGAGCTGTACACGCACATCCCGCTGCTGCCGTCGCTGGTGCAGTTCCTGTCGCGCGCCGGCCCGCTGAACATCAGCCTGTGCGCCGCCTACCTCCTGGAGAGCACCTTCGTGGTCGACAAGGCCAAGTTCTTCGCCGGCACGCTGAGCGCCATGTCCGCCATGCTGATGCTGGAGATGCCGCACGTCAACATCCTGACCAAGATGGACCAGGTCAAGGACATGATCTCGCGCAAGGAGCTCAAGCGCTTCACCAACGTCGACGTCCAGCTGCTGCAGGCGGATGCGGACCGTGAGGAGGAGGAGGAGGAGGAGCAGGAAGCCGGGGGCGTGCGTGAGGTTGTGCACCGGGGAGATCCCGCGGCCAAGGAGAATCTGCTGAGCGGCGGCGCGTTCCACCAGCTCAATCGCGCTGTCGGCCAGCTCATCGATGACTTCAGCATGGTCTCCTTCTTGAAGCTTGACGTGCAGGATGAGGACAGCGTCGCCGCCGTGTTGAGCCACATTGACGATGCCATCCAGTACCACGAAGCGCAGGAGCCGCGCGAGCCCAACGATGCCCAGGAGGTCGACTACGAGGATGGCGATATGTGAGGGGGTGGGCGGAGGCCCGGTTGACAAAGGGGGTGTGGGTGTGCGAGCGGCAGGGGACTGGCTGAGGAATGAAGAGCACGCCGAGATCAACAACACATCACCCCGGTCGTCGTCAAATTACAGTGGGTTTTACCGACATTCGTTATCGCAGGATGTCAATTGGACGTCCCCCACACTTATCGCGAGTCTCGTTTGCCGGAATCGTGGTGGCCTTGGAAGCCTCGTTTGCGAAAGGAATGCCACTCCCACCGCTTCTTCCACGCAAGCTGCATGTAATGTGCCAGGAGAAATTCAGCAGCTGGAATACGGCCAGATAAGAGAAGCCAGAGAGAGGATCTACAGAGCCAGACAGTCAACAGCGACGGCCAAGCATTCTGTCCGATATCGGGACATGTGGAATGACAGCATCAGAGAGCTTGGGTCTATCAGCTAGCTATCACAGGCGACACCGCCAACTAGCCATACCATGTTCACGAATGTAAATAATCAGAACTCAACACAAACAATCTACAAAGCCATCCATCCAACATCATAATCACAACTTACACAAACCACACACAACAGTAAAATAGTAAATAAAAATAGGGATTCAAAGAAATCTAACCTAAGCAAGGCCGAAATCCAGCACGAAGCGCAAGCCACACGCACAAAGTATACTATAAATAACCATAGCATACATGTACACACACCGGGTCACTTGACTTCACGCCAAACGCCCAACTCGGCAAACATACCAAGGGCATCAAGATGAAATGAAAGAAAAAAAAAATAGCGGAAAACCCTGGGAGGTCAGTACCTCCCGAGGGGAACCTGGTGACCCCTAGCACCACCACCCGCGCCAAACCCAGCATTATTGCCCCCAAAGACCCCAGCCTGACGCTGCTGCTGCTGCTGCTGCCGTCCCGCACGCTCCATATCCTCAAACACCCTACCCAGAAACCCTCGCGCGAGGCCAACCAACCACCCGACATCGCGGGCCGCGCGCTCGACGCCGCTGGTATACAGCCAAACGCCGACGCCGATGACGGAGGCCCACCAGAGCAGCCACCAGGCGAGGCCGACCCAGAACATGACGACGCGGCGGGCGTAGTCGAGCACCTTGAGCGAGAGGAACAGGATCACCAGGAGGAGGGCGACGGAGAGGAGGTCGGGCATGGCGCCGCCCGACGACGCGAGGTAGCTGGCGGCCGGGCGCACGAGGTAGGGGTCGATGTAGGCGGCGCGGACGTGCGCGAGCGCCGGGGTCAGGTAGGATGTGTTGAGGTGGGCGGTCAGGGCCGAGAAGGAGGTCGTGGTTAGGTGTTGCGTGATCGAGTCTGGAACCACGACGGGGTCAGTATACGGAAACTCATGGTCATACTCGTCAAACGATGGCGCGGGCGGGGCTGGGCCCGCGGGCAGACTGAGCAGTTCGGGCGGCGGGTCGAAGCTCGAGTCCTCCTGCTGCTGCTGCGGCGGCGGCGGCGGCGGCTGCGGCTGGGCTTGATGCGGGTTGAAGGTGGTGAAGGGGTTGGTTGGGACCGGGGTCAGGTCTGGGAAGACTTGGATGTAGCTGATGCCGCCGGGGCCGTCGTCGCCCCCCCGTGCTCGAGAGAAACCACCACCACCACCACCACCACCACTGCCGGTCCCGGGGAATGGGGCTGGCACTGGTGCCGGGGGGTTGATGGCGTTCCGTCGCGAGGGGGACCCGGACAGTCGGCTGCTGCTGCTGCTGCTGCTGCTGTGCTTCTTGGACTGCGACTCACCTGGAAGGTATTCCATCCTTGGGCTTCTGCTTCTGCTTTTGCTTTTGCCTGTTCTGCTCTGGTTGTCCGGCTGTTGACGGAGTTATTGGGGTCGAGGCGGTGCGTGAATACGGTCCGGGTAAGGTGAGTTTGAGTGAGACAGTCGAGGGCAATGCGTAGGCGTCGTGATCTTTATATAGTCATGATCGTGAGGTCTGGCATGCACTGCGATCTGAAAGAGACCGGGGAGTTGGTGGTGATAAAGGATGGTTGCGGGGGACAAATAACGAGAACAAACCAGACAAACAGATCTGGCGATAAGTTCCTTTTGTTGTTGTTGTTGTTTCACCTCTCCTTTGATCACCGCCTGCCTAAAATAGAGGATCCGTCCGGGGTGGGTTGAGACAATGATGCTGGACAAGGTTCATCTAGCCCAACTATGTCTTGGGTTCAGACCCTTTCTGGTCGTCTCAATAGAACACCCAAGAGAGTCCTTGTCAGCCTCTGACAGCATCACTATCACCAACTCACATGTCTTGGTAAGATCCAAGCATTCCACGCCGCCTTAGCGAGTCTGCCGGTTAATTCCGCTTGCGAAGGCGGTGATGGTGTCTCGGTATATAGCCCTCGTGGATGGGCATTTTGCCCCAGTCATCATCCCTTGAAAGACCACAGAGAAACTGAATATGCGATATTAGTCTATGATATTATACATCTAGATCACTGATAATGGTCATTTATATACATGCGCCTCTGGCGAGGATCTTCCAACCATGTACAAGCGGGGCAGATGCACAGCATCCGCATCCACTGTTTACTTCTTAAGAAACAATCAGGGTCTTTAATGCCTCGCGTTCAGCCAGAATCTCGGCCTGGAGCTTTCTGGTTTGGCGTAGTGCCTCATCCCTGGGAAGAGTCAGTTGAAACGTCACTTATCACGGTTGGGGGTAGCTGAAAGGGTAAAACTCACCGATCGGACTGCAGTTCGGCGACTTCAATCTGCGCACGGTTCATCCGACTGACCACCTCTTCCATCTCCGAGTCGGCGTCCCGGAGCAATTTCTCCAATTCCTTAACCCGCTTCGCAAGCGTCTCGAACTGAACCGCCTCGTTCAGTGCCATTCCGTCCCCACTGGTCGTCTTGTCCAACCGCGGGGAACGCGCGCCGAATGGGGTGTTCGGCGGCTTCGGAGACAGAGCCATTGGGCTGCGCGCACCATTCTTGACACGGGTCAATTGAAGACTGTGACTCTCCTGCAGATTGCGGACTTCTTCCTCATGACGCGCCATCTCGTCCTCGGAGAACTGCTGTGCCATGAGAAGGATGTCCTCCATCTCCTTGAGCCGGCTCTGCATCTCATTAATGCGCGTAGCCGACAGCTGCTGCTCTTTCTCGCCCTTACCAATCGCCTCGGCTAAGCGGGCACGCAGAGCAATGTTGTTCGCAAGTTGTTGCTTCACATGTTCCGCTAAGCTGTCGGTCCGCGTGACCGATTCCGCCAGCATGGGAGACTGCGCGACATTGGCTTCAGCCTGATCCCTGTCAGCCTGCAGCTGCTTGTAGGCAGTCTCCAGGGAGGAAGAAGTGACCAAAACTTCAGCAAACCCGTCCCGGTCGGTATCATAGTCTTCGGGAACCGTGATGTCATGTTCCTGCAGCAGGACTCGCAAAGAAGTGGTCTCCTGCTCGGCGCGGTCCAGATCCATCTTCAGACCTGCGAGTCCCTTTTCACACTGCCATTTCTGCTCCATGGCTTCTTCCGCACGGTGGCGGAGCAAGTTGACCTCCTCTCGGAGGTTCCGTACCTCGCGTTCGTAGCCGATCTTGCGCGGAGACTCCGCCATCTGCGCACGAGCCAGCTCGAGCTCCATTATCTTTAGCTGTTTCTCGTACTCGCGAGAATCGTAAGCCTGGCGCTCGAGCAAGCGCCGAAGAGCTTCGTGAAGGGCATCCCGTTGGGCCTCAACGTCTTCAATCCTGTCAGCCAGATTCTCTCGCGGCTCGCTCCGTTCCTTGACGTTAACAGAGTTCGATCGAGACAAAGAGTTGGACCGGGATAGGCCAGTGGGGGCGCTCGGCTTTGAGCGCACCCGTGCCAATGAGTTCGAACGAGAGAGACCAAGTCCCGTACCTCGTGCCGGAGACATGGTATCTTCCTCCGCGATGGAAGCAAACCGGCTCCCTTGCAGTTGTGCTAGGGAGGCATTCTCTATCTTCAGTGCCTCAATCTCGCCCATCAACCGCGCCACCTCGGAAGGATCCGACGATTGCTGGTGAGAGTTGCTGGCACTGCTTTGTAACTGAGGTATTACGTTCTCCTTCAGATGGTCCCGCTCATTTCGGAGCTGCTCGAGCTCGACACGCATGGCAGTGAGCAGATCTTCGAAGTTGTCTTTGATCTGGCGCTCTTCAGCCAGTTTCCGACGAGTGGCTTCCAAAGCTGTCTCCAGCTCTTTGGTGCGGGAGGACATATCAGAGAGATCGACTCTCTCCCGTCGCAGCTTGAACGATGCGTTAGCGCTAGCGGAAGCAGAGGCCTGAAGCATTCATACCTGGTGCACTTGCGATTCCAAAATCTGAACGTGGGCCTCGGAGGCCGCACGTCGACCGCGCTCTTCCTGCAGTTTCTGAGATAGCTCTACCTTTATCTGGGCCCGTTCCTGCTCTGCAGTACGCTTGTATTTCTCAATATCCTCCACTCGACCACCAGACTCGTATGCATAACGGATAGAGCTACTGCCGGAGTCGGAGAAGTAATCGCTGGTCCGCCGGTTAGGGGTGTCGAAGACCGAATCCGACTGCAGTCGCTCGACCAGGTCCTCTAACTCCATCTCCCGGCGGATCGAGCCCGCAAGCTCTGAGCTGATCTCCCGCAACTCATTCTCGAGCTCCGCCACCAGGGCTGGGGCTCCAGACTTCTCCAGAATACTAGCGCTGCTGAGCGACGAATTGCGATGCGGGAGAGACGTATGCGGGCGAGTAGGGTCGAAGGGGACCGTTGTGGATGGCGTTATGGAGAAGGACGCGCTGGGCAGCGAGGGCGGCATGGGTGACGGTATTGGGGATCGGCCGGACTCGGAGATGTCTGTGCTCGACGATTCGGCGCCAGGTGAGGAATTGCCCGCCCGCCACCCAAAGAAAGAGCTGATCTTGTTGCCGGGTGTCTTGGGTTGTTTGCTATCCCCCATAGTTGACGAGGTGCCGGTGCGGCGGGGAGGGTCGATCTGTAGCGGGGCTGGGCCGTTCGTTGGCAGGTGCAGAGCCATGGTGGTAGCGCGCTTCGGGTTTATAGCCGGGGATATACGTTTGTGGACGAAGGATTCACTGACGAGACGGTTATGTATCCGAGTCGCATTCGTGAATCGCGTGGAGTACGCAATATCGTAAACAGGGGTCTCGTCGTCGCTGTCGTTGACAGGGCTCCCTATGGACGAAGTCGTGTCTATGCGGAGATGGGACGAGGACGGACTACCACGCGGGAATCTGGAGTAGACACAGAAGAGCACGGGGTTAGTCCTGGAACGTGCGCGGGGAGAGTTGGACATAAGAAGCCCTCCCGAAAGCTGCGAAAGGCGCGGAAGGCGGAGCGAGTGTACCAGCCAAGGGGCAAGGGCCCTTAAGGGAGAGCTTCACAGGGAGAAGGGATGCGACGGTTTACCATACCTATCCAGGTCCCTGGGAGGAGAGACGGGGCGGTGTAGTTGCTGTTGTGGTTCGTGAGTATATTCAGGGTATGGTTCAGGCGTGTGCTGATATATATCGTCTTCGTCTTCGTCGTCCTGGCGGTCATATACGTAATCCAGAAACGACGGCGATGAAACCGGGGATAAGGCCAGCGTCTGGCCGGCAGCCAGAGGGGAGGCCGGGTGAGAATCCGGATGCGCAGGCGAGTTGCCCCGGGGAGAGGCAAGTAGGGACGAGGAGGAGGAGAAAGGCCTAGCTGCGTGCGAGGGGTTCACAGCATCCTGGGGAAGCGGCTTCCTGCGCACGGTGAAGGGAGAGGAGAGGGAAGGGGTTTGGGTATGAGATGCAGATGCTAAGGTGGGAGAGGAGGGGAAGAGGGGGATAGGGACAATAGACGAAGGAGGAAGGTCGGGAGGAGGGTAGGCGGAAGAGGAAGAGGAGGTGGAAGTAGTGGAAATGGGAGAGTTAGGGAGACTTGGCCCCGGACCGGGGTTGGGGTCAAGACTCCCTGGGTGATAGGAGATAGTAGTAGTAGAGATATTATTGGCGTCCTGATGCGTGGTAGTGGTGGTAAGAGGCGGCGGCGGCGGAGGAGAAGGAGGAGGTGAAGCGGCAGTAGCGGCGGTGATTGTAGTCGCATCGGGATGGTCATCATGGCCATGGCCATGGTCATGGCCATCATGGCTCTGGTTATGGTTCGATGGGGGAGGACTCGAGGGGAGGAAACCGCCCGAGGCAGGAGGCGGAGAAGTCCAGCCGGGGGCCATTGCACTCTAATTGGATGAGTAGGAGACAAGTGACACGAACAGGAACAAAGCAGATCAAAGACAATCAGCTGAGGATCGACGCAGGCCTCATGGCTGACGGGAAAGTTTGGGTTTGGGCTCAGGAATGGAAAGGCTGCTGCGTGTGAGACCAGGACTAAGACTGAGACTGAGACTGAGACTTTGGGGTTGGAAAGAATAGGAGAGGATCCATTGATTGGAAAGAAATTGGGGGGGGGGGAAGAAAAGACGGAAAATCTGGAGGAAAGCTTGAAAAGGGAAAATGCAATAATTAATTCGAGTTAATCCGGAAATCAACTAAGATCAAACTAAAAAGAGGGAAACGTAAAGGAAAGGGGGATGAGATTGGCAGAGAGAGAGAAAAGGCCAGAAGCGCGCGGGAAAAAGGAGGGCCAGCGAGATGCAGAAAGAGGCAAAGCTGGGATCCACTTGGCCGTGGGATCTATACAATGATTGTTGGTTGATTGATACTGACTGGAGACTGACTGGAGACTGACTGGAGAACAATAGTTTTCATTGAGAAGCTCAGAGCACTCTAGTTTCTGCTGATGAGATCATTTCTCTCTCACTTCCTCATTTTTCTGTTATACTCGTACAATACCAGCATCACTACGAGCATCACCACCACCACCTTGTATATTCTTCTACCAAATATGTGCCAGTCTTCAAGATAACCGGAGGCCCAGCCGGGTGGCCGATCGGCCCCACCAGCTCTCGGGCGGCAAGTCAGGGGTTATCCGGCTGTCTGTCCCGTCCTGCTTGCTGCTGCTACATTCCTAGTACCTAGTAATTCATTTTCCACCTGCCACCACTTTGTACGTCGGACAATTGGTACAGTACAGTGGTTCCAAAGAAAACGCATATCTATAAAAAGCACATTCATGCCAGCCGTTATGCACACCATTGTATCACCATTGTCAAGAACCAAAAAAAAAAAAAAAAAAAAAAAACAAAAACCAAACAAGCCAAGCAGTTGGCCTGAGTCAGCTTAACAGGGCGGGAAAAAAAAAAGGAGAGAACAGACCAGCCTCCCCTAAAGCAACTAACGCCGACTAGTGGTCCGTTACCAACAGTCGCCTGCACTCGGACCAAGGATTCACAACCGTCTCAGAAGTCTGATCATGACTATCCTTGCTGAATTCGTGCAACTCGCTTGTCGATGGGCCAAGCAAAAGTTGCTGCATGTCCTTTTGGGAACTTTTGAAAGATCGGCCCTGGAGACAGTGGCCAGTGGACTCTAGGTACAGTACCCATTTCGGCTCGGGAGTTGATATCCATGCAGGGTTCCACTTACGGTGGAATGGAGGATGTATACGCAACTTGGTAGAGTAGCTCAAGTAGCCCATCTCCAGCGCAATATGGAGTAGCTTTCGACAATCAGCTAACTATTCAATTATTCATACGTAAGACACAAATAACAAAACGGAAACGCCATGACCCCTGCCCCTACCGCAACAGCATAGAGTAGCTCGAAGTTACCAACAAGACCATAGAAACTACTATAGCAACTAGTAAGCGCCCCCAAAGGATGAGGCATGGACCCAAAACCCTGCAGGCCTGCCCTTCACATACAGCCCCGAGCCAAACGGCGGCCAACAAGTTTTCGTATTGAAGTTGGCAAGACAATTCTTCCCCACTAATCAACACCAACAAACAAAAGCCCACTTACTACGGAGTATCCGTACTCAGTATCAAGTCCATCTATAGACATTCACCTGTAAACTTGAAACCACCACCTACCAACCAACCTCTACTCCCATACCCCCCAGTCCCCCATCCCAACTCAACCCAACCCAGCAAACTATTCTTAGCCACCAAACGTTCCAGCAACTAAACTATCGCGTTGGCTGCAGGACAACCATGCATGCACGTAACCTAACGCACGCACGCGCGCGGTTCCCCCAACCCTGAGACGGGGGCTGGCATTGGCATTGGCAACCCCTGCGGCAAGGTAATGGGTTGGTTAGCCGCCGGAGGAGACCTCTACTTACGGAGTACCAAGGAAGCTACTACAGTCGCCGCTTATGCATGATGCAGATAGGCGTCCTGGGATGACTGTGTCCGGTTCGAACGTGGGCGGCTAGGGGCTGGGGGGGATATTTGTTAGAGGCTATAGTAGCCTACTGTGTTCCCTGCCGCACCGCAGAAAAGGGAATAGGGTTGCTAAGTATAGAACCAGAATCAAGTGCGTAGCGTAGCTATCATGGGTATGTATGGAACATGATTTGAACTACGTACTAATTGTCTGTATGTGTCTGTGTTTGTTCCTTGGAGCGAAGACAAAGGTTTAGACCGCAGAACGGAAGGGCATAAGCACCACGGGCAGGCAGGATGGGAGGAATCTAGGTACGAGCTCGGAGCCTCTATAGGTTAACACCACCAAGAAGAAAGGGTTCTTGTCTTGCTGTTCCTAGGGTCATATGTCTTGCAGAACAAGGAAGTGGGAGTAGGGTAGAGTAGGGCTAGGGAGGGAAAGCCGGTGACACAAAGAAACATGCGGTGCCCTTAGCGCCCCCCCTGAAATGCCTGGCTTCTTATCCCAGGTCTAGATCCGGGATCCCTTTATTCAACGGTAAACTTGGGTTTCTCATTATCATCCCCGTCTTTGTGTGGAACAACATCAGACCTCGCTATACACTAAGTAAATGCATAATGTGACGCCAGAACAGAAGCAGAATGAAATAACGCCATCAACTCGTCGCTGAAATAGCACAAAGCAGGATACCTCAACGTCCTCCAGTTCCAGGAGACATTGTCTATCCCTAATATTTACATCAATCATACCACATAAAAGCTCACGGGTGGAGCCGATCTCCACTCGAATGAAGGGCCGCTTCGTCATTCCTTTAATATGGGATGAAATCTATCCTCATACGATCTACTCTCCGGGTCAGTGAATAACTTCCTCTAAAGAGGAGAAAACATACCCAAGAACTGAGACCACCCCTCATTCTCATCCAGCTGGTTACTCCAATACTGCTCCAACAATCTCAACGACTGCAAAACATTTGGCACCCGGATAGTATCATGCAGTGATGCCAGTAGCTGGCGGACCTGCTGGCGATCCGCCCCGCGCGCCTCGCATCCCGCAATGAACAGCGGTGTTGTGAGCATCACCCATGGACTCAGACCCGGCGACGGCCCGATCTGCGCCGTACATTCCAGGATCCGCTTGACTGAGTCCTGCACCACCGGTGCCGACGCGGGCGTCTTGTACAAGCGGCGGTGGATCTGAATGAGCGCACTGCGCTGGAAGGCCTCATTGCAGAGCATCAGCTGCCGGATACAGTCCGGCGACAGCCCCTCCGTGACACCCGGGTAGAAGGTCGGTTGGGTTCCGACCTCTTCGGCCGCCATTAGTCGACGGAGAGCGCCCTCCAGCGCAGCTGCCTCGTGAGCGACGTCGATGTCGACCATGGTATCTCCTACCGCGGCTTCCTGCCGTGGTTCCTGTTGCTGCTGTAAGAGGTACTGATGCTCCCGCCAGGATACCGCGCCAATCGCCCGGAAGATCGCGGCCAAGTTGACAGTGAAGCCCCAGTAGTCATCCAGATAATCAGGGGTTGCGAAATCGGTTGTGTTGTCCGCGACCGTTGCTTCCACCCCGATCGGCGGCCCGTTTCCAGTCAACGCTGTCAGCGAGACAATCGAGCGGTGCCATCGGTCTAGATACCGACGGAAGCCCTCGGGCGATCCCGGTGACAGGATCCCGCGCTGATTCGAAGAATCCATGAGGGCTTTCGCTCCCGCGATGTGTGCGCGCCACGAATTGGGATGAATGGCGCCCGAATGAATCTCGGCTAAGCAGAGAGTGCGCGCTGTGGCGAGCAGGGCATCCGAGCCTCTGCTGGCAGGGTTCTCCAGTTCCTTGCGAAAATGTTCCAGGCTGAGTGCCATGAAGCGCGCGATTTCCGGAGCCGACTTAACATTTTCCGACTGGTTGTGGAGGGCTTGTAGGTGGATGGCAGAGAGGGCCATGGTTGCGTATAGGAGGGACGGGGTCTGTAGGGCCATGGGAACCAGCATCTTGCAAATGTCCTGTTGCATGCCGGAATGACAGGCAGTGATCTGCGAGGCATCGCTGAGAAAGTGGTGAAGAAGGGACTTTTGATCGGTCGAGAGGGAAGCGAACGGGTCAATGTAGTAGTTTAGACTAGTCGTAGCGGTCGTCGTAGATGGGGTACCAGCGATTATCGAGCCGGGAGATAGTGCCGTAGAGGATGAGTTTGTGGTATAGATAAATTCGCCGGGGGAATACTCTGATCAGATACAGGCGCTTTGTTAGCGACCGACACAGTAGAGTAAAGCAAAGTAGAGTACTCCGTAGGATTCGTACGGACCCAGTTTATGCATGCCTCCATTACCCACGCAGGCTCCGAATCGTGAGCGCGAGAAAGCCCGCCCACCCCACTGCAGCTGCATCGCATATCGACAGGGCGTGTTCGCTTGCTGGCACCGGCCACAGCTTGGTCGCTGCTCGTCACACTTCTGCCGACGGCCTTTACATCGCTTGCACCCAGTGAAGGAGCGCGACATGTGTGTTGGTGGTTTTATTTGTTTATCGGCTGCTTTCGGGAGGATAAAGCGGGTTCGTTCCTGGGAATCCTGGTATGGTAGACCTCGGCGGGGATCTTTCTTTTTTTTTCTCCGCAGATGACTGTTCGGCTACCCCAAGGGGGAAGAGGGGAGAGAGGGTCCAGAATCAGATCGACCGGATTCCACAGTCCACAGCGGATGAGGGGCGGTGGGGGTGAGACAAGACAACGAGAACAGATGCAGGAATAATCGAGAGGGAGCATCAAAGACAAATTCGGAGAAGCTAAAGTTGCCGTGCGAGCACGAGGGCTGTCGCCCACTCTTCCGATCACTCGCCCCCTCCACGGCCTGCCGGTGGCGGCGATAAGCAGCAATTCCCGACAATTTGTTGACGGATGATCGATAAGGGGCGGCGGGCGGTGGGCGGCTTCCTTCGCTCCAATCCCCGAATCTGCGGGTGATGCAACGAATGGATGGAGAACAGGTTTGAGAGTCTAGGCAGATTGGGCAGTATCCACCATGAAACATCAGGTAGAAATGCACATCAAATTCAACTTCAAGCAGACAGATTCCGCTTAAAAGTACAGTGCAACATTTACAGATATTTCATACAAATGCAGCCCCAGCATGGCTCGTCTAGACCCCAAATACATACAGACGGTAGCGACGTGACAAACAAGAGCAAGGATAGCGCGAAGTTGGAACGGGCTTCGTCCCCAATTAGTCGTCAAAAGTATAACGCAGCCACTCTCCAACAGCTCGCAAGCTCTCCCACCTGACAGCTTCGTCCTTGTCTGCCATCAATTCCATCACCCGCGTCTTCAAGCCCAATTTCTCCAACTGTGCCCGCCGTTCGGGAAGCTCTTTGACCAGATGTCCCACATCATTGCATCCAATCGCCAGCACCTGCTTATCGTTGTCCCAGTTCTTGGAAAGAATCTCTGCGAGTTTCTTGGGCAATGCGCCATTATTGTCGTCCAAGATGCGCCGTGCGTTATCCTTCCAGAACGTGGGGTTCCGGTGCGGGGGTGACCACCGCAGGTGGCCCGACTGCAGTTCAGCCGCGTACTGGTCAAACGTCGTCTGCGTCTTGGTGTATTCATCGAGAAGCTCCTTCAAAGCCTGAAGGTCTTCCAGCAAGTCTTCATCGGTCAAGTGGCGGCCCGAGAGGTTCGTCAGCAGCGCGGGCAGGCGAACAAAGACGGCCACTGGAAGAAGAGTCGTGCGGTTACTGGACAGGAGATTATTGAGCGTGGCAAGGAGTAGCCGGGTTGTCTTTTCTTTCGGAGACAGGCGGAGAAGATTTGTGTAGAGCTGAACGAATTCGTAGTCACTAGAAGGCGTACGTATTAGCTTCACCGCTCGCACAGACTACGCGCACATCACGTACTTTTGCAGATCTTCCCCGACCAAACTACCCTCAAAGCTCAGCTGCCATAGCACCAGCAGTACTCGGTAGAGGAGTTGGAGTCCGATGCCACCTGCAAGACCAGGCTCGATCCCGCGCGCACTGCCCGCCAGGGTACTTGAACTGCTGTCTTTAGCGCCCGTCGCGGCTCGCAGAATATCGATGAGAGGATCGACAGTCTGTTTCCGTTGCTGCCAAAAAAGTTCCCGTGCTCTGGCAGTGCGAAGAAGTGCGGACAACTCCTGGACCCCGATATCCTGCAGCCCGCTGTCTTGGTTCTGGGTCAGAGTGGAGAGATAGGTGTACAACTGCGGAAGCGCCTCATCATCCCGCGGCGCTGGCTTCGAAGAGGAGAACAGGCTGACCGATACCAGGTTTGTCAAAAAGGTGGAAGTGAGGAGAGGAATCGGGTCTTCAGCGTTGGTCGAATGACGCAAGAGGGGAAGGAATGACTTGTAAGGATTGGGGTGGGCAACCAGAGCCGTTGCGAGGGAGGGAACATCTGATAACCATTAACAACCATGTTTCACGATAGCTGGAAGTCAGATAGAGACCCACCGTTGATCAAATCCGCGGCCAGCACGAGGATGCATTGCACGATGTCGGTTCGTCTGGCGGCGGAGTCCAGCACACTCTTGCTCTCGGGCCCGCCTGCCAGCAGACTAACATACCCAGCTAGATCGCCCTCAACTGTTTGACGCCGTTGCTCCTTGCGAACCTTATCCACCGCCTTGATCTTCTTCAGGTGTTCATCGGTGATGTTGCCAGCTCGAACGGCTCCCTCCCAAGGGATAGGGCGAGCTCGGATGTTGTTCTGCAACGAGCTGAGATACGTAGGCGGCTCCAGGGGCAACGACGACATGATGGATCCTGGGAACAGAGGGGCAGGAATCCAGCTGGAAAGAAAATAGCAACAATCGGAAGGGAGGAGTATAAAAGCGAGTCAAGAGGAGTGGGGGGGAGGGACGATGAAGGAGGGGGTGGGAGAAGGAAAGATGGAGAGGTGAGTGGAGGAGGACAGACGGCGGTGGTTCGGGCCCGTCCGAATGATGATGTGGGATTGATTGATTAAACGCTCATCCATTCCATCGATCGCCAAGCCCGGCCGGTTGCGCTGCAACTTCTCCGTCCACGCAAGCTGCACCATCCTAGGCTGCCATCTGGCTTCCCGCGCAGGGACAGCATTGCCTTGTCGTATATCTTGCATCGCCACGTTCTTTCTGCTCTGATTGACTCTTCGACGTGCCGTTCACCCCGAAAGTCACACGTTCATTTCCTTCCAGCCTTGTCTTCCCCACTCGGCGACAACACCCAACAAGCATATCGCACCGACCTCTTGACCTCGCGACTGTCCCTGACATACGATCTCATCGCCACTGAATTGGTCACTAGGCGATCGCGCCATTTGCGCATGGAATAAACCCACGGCGGAAATTGCAACGAAGCACCTAGGTCGTCACCATGGCGCAGAATTCACAAGGCAACAAGCCCAAGTGGAAGGTCGGGTCTTTTTTACAACAGGCTGTCGCGGGTGTGGAATCGAGACTCGACCAGATATTAGCGGAGGAGGAGGATCAGAAACAAGTACAAGCGAAGAATGTTGCTACAAAACCCAAGCCGGCGGAGCACACCGGAAGTATGGTCCATTCTGTCCTGTGCAGATCCATCGGATTGCTAATTGCGACCAGACCTTTCCCGCAGCTCATCCAATGCTCGGAAGAATGACCGGCTTCAGGAGCGCCTAGCTCGAGCAATGGTGAAGAACTCGCCGGGTCCTCTCGCCACGCAAAGCTCCAGTCGGAACTCATCGCCCGTTACTAGTCCGGTCCCCAGCAACGGCGCCCGATCTAGCATGGACATCGATTCTAGCCTCGGATCACCAGCTGCAAATACAGGGAGGCACTCGCGAAGCTCGAGTCGGGTCGAGGATGCCTCGGTTGCAGCCGAGTCGCGTGACAGCTACGATTCGGGCCTCCCGCGAGGGTCAAACGACATTAGCAGGCTATCGACTGAAAGCGCACTGCCTCCGCATGCGCTTACGGAGAATGGTGATATTCTCGCTAAGAACCCTACCCTTGAGGAGGCACAATCATCTGCGAACGAATCGAAACTTTCTGCGCCTACAGCATCTCTTTCGTCGACGGAGCCTGCTGGGGAAACTAGCAATGATTTATCAAACGGCCAGGAAAAGACCGTCGGCGAATTGCAACCCGAGGACAAAATTGCTGAATCTCAACGGCAGGAAGAGATATACGGCTACATCGAACGGATCGATGCACTGCAGTCGAAGCTTAAATACCTCGCGAAAGAGGCCGCTGAATCCGCCAAGCAGGCTGCGACAGCAGCGGAGCCCGGCAGCGTAGAACGACAGCTACGGGAAAAGGACGAAAAGATAGCCCTTCTCCTCGAAGAAGGTCAAAAGCTGTCCAAGACGGAAATGGACCATCGAACGGCTATCAAGAAGCTGAGGCAGCAGTTGATAGAAAATGCGAAATCCCAAACTGAAGTCAAGAAAAAGACAGAGAAACTCGAACGCGATCTTGCTAGCGCGGAAAGTCGAGCCAAACGAGCAGAAGCCGCTGAGAAGAGAGCCAATGATTCTCTCTCGACACAGACCAAGACGTCACAAGATCTTGAAGCGGTGACTGCAGAACGCAACGCTCTGAGTCAAACTGTACAGGAAATGAAGGGTCAGCTTGCACGAGCCGTCGCTCGAGCGGAAGCGGTTGAAGCTAAGGCACAGTCCGAGGCACTCGAACAGGAAAGGCGCCGCGCCTCTCAGTTGGAGGAGGACCTTTCTAGCGTCAAAATAGAAAGAGATATCAGCGAAGGGAAGCTGAGGCGCGAAATCAGTGATCTGCAGGCTACCATTGAGCAGGAGAAAGAGCGCGCTCGCATGCTTGAAGTAGAACTCAAGGGTGAGCAGTCGATGCTCGAAAGTAAGATGGAGTCCCTTCGCTTTCGAGCCGAAGAAGCTTCGACTGGAGTGGCTGGCGATACTCAGGTCAAATTGCTCCGTCAGATCGAGACCCTTCAGACTCAGTACGCTGTAGCTAGCGAGAATTGGCAGACATTAGAGGGTTCGTTGCTTGCTCGGTTGGCGAATGTTGAAAAGGAGCGGGATGAAGCCGCACGGCGCGAGAGCGAGATGCGACGGAAGATCCGTGAGATGGTAAGCATAATACATATAAAGACATTATTCGGTGACTGCTAGGCTAACTCTACATGCGCAGAATTTGAAAGTAAAACGAATCGAAGAAGAGCTCGAGACCGCGAAAGAGACTGAGCACGATCTAGAAAGTAAACTCGAGGAGGCAACTGAAGAGATCAAAAAGCTGGAACAGAAACTCAAAAAAGCCACTGAGGATCTGGACTTGGCTCAGAAAGACTTTGCAGAGCAGCAGAAGGTGATCGATGCCACTTGGACACAGAAGCTCGAGGACGAGCGTGCGAAATTGCGTGAGCAGATGTCTCCGCCGCCCGTCTTCCTGCAACAGCCTCGAACGCAGTCTCCAGTGGCTTATAGTCGCCGGCCTAGTGCTCTTGAGCCCATCGGAACGTTGTCCGATTTTCGACCAAGCAGTCGACGTCCCTCGACATTGCCAACATCGCCCGACATGGGCAATCTCTCACGCCAGAACTCATTTCCCTTGTCCACTCAGTCCATTCTCTCGCCCTCGACTGCAACCAGCTCGATACATCTCCCAATTCCGGAGACGCCCTCAATCAATCATGAGCATGATGAGCTCTTCAGCCGCTCTGCCACCCCCTCCGCATATGGCGGAGCACCCACGCAGCACTCGCGCGGCATTAACGATATCATCTCAGAGTCCACAGTTGGCGCAGGACCCTCAGTGCAGTTGGTCGAGCGCATGAGTGCCACCGTCCGCCGGCTCGAGAGCGAACGTGCCGCATCGAAGGACGAGCTTTCTCGAATCACCTCGCAGCGCGACGAAGCCAGACAACAGGTCGTGGATCTAATGCGGGAAGTTGAGACGAAGCGCACCTCTGATACACGCGTGCACGAGCTTGAACAGCGGCTTGATGAGCTCGACCAGCGGTATCAGACCACCTTAGAAATGCTGGGAGAAAAGAGCGAGCAGGTGGAGGAGTTAGAGGCAGATATTGCCGATCTCAAGAAGATTTACCGCGAGTTGGTCGACAGTACGATGAAATGAGGCTATTGTCTCTATGCACGCCGCCCTTTTTTACTACTGAGATCTTTCCCTTTGTACATAGAGAGTCTTTGCTCCGGGCTAGATCGCTCTAGACGATGTTATGTGATGCATGTCCGCTTGTTCAAAAGAATTTTTGAAACAGTCTTGAGTCTGGAAAAGACTCCGGGTATCCAGTCTAATTATTTATTGAGTATCCGTTGGTCTCCGACAATTTTTTGATCCCACCGAATCTTTATGCTGCGAGCCTATAAATCGATCCCCTCTCTCTCCGCCGTTTGAAGGATGTAGCTTCGGACCTACTCAGTGGTTAGCATGAAGACAACCTGTCTAGAGATACGTAAGTCCTACCTTGCTATCTGGTGCCATATCGATAGCCAGCATCCCGCTGGAATCTCTCTTGTCTGCCTCCGCACCGGCCTTGAGTAGCGTGATCGCCGCATCGCCATGCCCCTCAGAGATCGCATGGTGCAACGCCGTCAGCCCGTCAATATCGGTCGCATTGACCGGACTCTTGCCATCTTCGAGTAGAACTTTGATGATGGGCGTGGAACCGATAGCCGCAGCCCGATGAAGCGCGAGCTGGCCACGTCTATCCTTGACCCGAGCGCTGCATTTGTTGGCGATCAGCGTGCGGACAGTGGAAAGATTGGCTTTAGAGGTCGCAAAGTGGAGGGCATTCTTCAACGAGCGTTGTTAATTACAGTTCGGTGCCATTTCTGATGGCAGTGAGGAATCTAGCTCGCTGGATACGCACCTGTCCGGATGAGCTCTTAACGCTGACATCTGCGCCTTTCTTCAGCAGGAGATCAATGATCAGATCTCCTTCAGCGTTTTTCAAGCTAGCTGCAATCATCAAGGGGGTCCAGCCGGATCCATCCTGGAAGGGTTCTTTAGCAGGCTTGAACTATGATGCGTTCTTTCTTGGAGGCCATACCTCGACGTCGGGGTCAAAGTGCTTGTTCGAGATGAGAAGCTCCACGATAGGCAGGTGATTGTAGGCTACAGCCCAGTGGATGGGAAGACGCTCGTCGTCATCTTTGGTGGCAGCAAGCTTGGGATTTGCCTGCATATGCTGTCAGTTGATATGTTTCCACTCGTCATTCCGTGCGGGGACAGCTCTTACGCTTAAGAGAGATTCGGCCGTAGAGACTATGGAGGTTAGTTATAGATCAAGGTTTGAAGGTGGGATAGGATGAAAAGACCTGCCTTTTCCCTCTCGAGCAGCCTCATGAAGAGGGTACTTAGCTTCAGTGCTAGCGTTCATGATCAATGCAGGTGGTTTATTGCTTGTTTCTTGTTTGCGGCGGGGTTGATTTGATGATCCGATGGTTGGCCTGAAGATGCGGAGAACCGCGGCCTCGACACCTTACATGCCTTAGGCACCGACATCCGCGGAAAACCAGAGCTTCGCTTCTTCAGTCCGCAGCTCTGCAACTTCACCTCATCTTCAAGCTATCGACCATTCTTTCATTCAACGTCTCTCCAATATTTCCACATATACTAATTACAACTACAGTCCTAGACCCCGTCTTTCTGTATGCACCTTCTCCACGGATACTCTCGAGTTTGAAAGCCACCGCATCCCTGTCCTGAGGGATCAGGACGCCCCCGACTAATCGCCCACGCCATCACCTCGAAACTCCTCCTCACCTACCTACACAATGGACGTCGTTCCCTCCACATCGCCCGATGAGGCCGTGCGCCTATCGGCGAAGCGTACCGCGGAACTCTTTGGTCCCGACTACCTGATGGTCACCCCCTCGGTCGCCAGCGGCTCCATTGGACTGTCCTATCGACGCAAAGCAGAATACGACGATGTCCGAGAATTGCCCCCCGCCCTCGCTGCGAAACAAGCCGCTGCGGCGGCCGCCGCCGCCAGCGGACGCGCCAAACGACCCAAGATCCAATCTCAGACCAAGGCCTCGGCCGCAGACGGCAGCGGCGCGTCGATGGCGCTGGTCAAGAAGGCCCCCGGGCCGGCGGCGGGCGGCGTCGGCGGTGAGAACGAACCCAAGAGCCTGATCCAGCGACCCTCGGCGACGCGACAACAGAGACCCGACTGGCATGCGCCGTGGAAGCTGATGCGGGTGATATCCGGCCACCTGGGCTGGGTGCGCAGTTTGGCGGTCGAGCCGAACAACGAATGGTTCGCCAGTGGTGCGGGTGACCGGACGATCAAGATCTGGAATCTGGCCACCGGTGCGCTGCGGCTCACCCTCACCGGCCACATCTCGACCGTGCGCGGCCTGGCCGTCTCCCCGCGGCACCCGTACCTCTTCTCCTGCGGCGAGGACAAGATGGTGAAGTGCTGGGACCTCGAGACCAACAAGGTCATCCGCCACTACCACGGCCACCTGAGCGGCGTGTACACGTTGGACCTGCACCCGCGCCTGGACCTCCTCGTCACCGGCGGCCGCGACGGCGTGGCCCGCGTCTGGGACATGCGCACGCGCAGCAACGTCCACGTCCTGTCCGGCCACCGCGGCACCGTCGCCGACGTGAAGTGCCAGGAGGCCGACCCGCAGATCATCACGGGCTCCCTGGACTCGACCGTGCGGCTCTGGGACCTGGCGGCCGGCAAGTCGATGGGCGTGCTGACGCACCACAAGAAGGGCGTCCGCAACATCGTCACCCACCCGCGCGAGTTCACCTTCGCCAGCGCCAGCACCGGCTCCATCAAGCAGTGGAAGTGCCCCGAGGGCGAGTTCATGCAGAACTTCGAGGGCCACAACGCCATCATCAACACCCTCGCCGCCAACGAGGACAACGTTCTCTTCTCCGGTGGCGACAACGGCTCCATGTGCTTCTGGGACTGGAAGACCGGCTACCAGTACCAGACCATCGAGTCCACCGCCCAGCCCGGCTCCCTCGAGGCCGAGGCCGGCATCATGTCCTCCACCTTCGACCGCACCGGTCTGCGCCTCATCACCGGCGAAGCCGACAAGACCATCAAGATCTGGAAACAGGACGACAAGGCCACCCCCGAGTCGCATCCGGTCACTTGGGCTCCTACCCTTGGCCGGCAGAGGTATTAGTGTCCTGCGTGCTGCTGCAGCCAGCTGGCCACTCTCACCTCCTCAACCCCCCCCCTTCTTCTTCTTCCTTCCATTTACCTCTTTAAAACCTCCTATCCTTTTCTGGAGAAATACCCCCCGCTTGCCGGCCTCGACAGCTTCCGTGGATGTACAAAACTGTTCACGGGAGTCGAATATGACAAAATCTTCTTCATGCTTTTCTGCTTCTGCTCCGGAGGTGGTCACGGATGTTCTTCTTTGTGTTTTGTTGTTGTATGCACTATGGCGTCCAGCGTTGTGTGGTTTGGATTTCTCTTTCTTGCTGGTATACTATGGACTATGTAGATGTATCATAGAATGAATAAGCCGAGCATTAATCTCGAGCTTTTACCATCTCATACCTCTATGACCAGCTTGTACACTTTACTCAACACATGATAATCGTCTCTGCCCTACGTACTCAATCAATTTACGCTTGTGCTCAAAACCGTGGGTATCATTATTCCTATGCTAATATATCGTACAAAATCCCGGCTCCATCGCGTGCGCTCATTCCGATGGATAAGGATCACTGCTCGATCCCCAGCCCCAACCCCTTGGCCTCTGCATCGTCACAGAACGCCGAGCGCACATCCTCCGCTGCGACCCGCAACCGCACCTTCCCGCTACGGTCCCCCCGATGCGGAATAGCCGCGCTGCCGAGAGGGCCCTTCGCGCCCGCACTGTGCTCTAACGCCAGCACGCCCGAGTTCATGAGCTCCATGGCCGCGGATCCCAGCGCGCGCACGCGCGCGCCGCTGCCGCCGACAAGCAAGAACTCCCGGATGCCGACGCCGGCCGCGCTAGCGACGGCGACGGCTGCGTCGGCGATGCGCTTGGCTTCGTCGATGACGTCGCCGACGGTGGACTCGGAGATGCCAGTGCGGCGGACCCGGGCGAGGAGGGCGGCGAGGAAGAGCTTCGCGGCCAGGGGCAGACAGCGGAGGGATTGCTGGAGCGGGGTGGAGGTGGCTTCTTGGATGGCTTGTTTGATTGTGGCGATGGTGACGCGCCCGACGATGGGTTTGTTGGTGCCAGTGGTGGTGGGTTGGGCTTTCTTTTGGGACGGGGGGAGGAGGGTCTTCTGGTTGGATGCCCAGTCTTTGCGAGCGGGGGTTTTGCTCGGGGTGGGGGGCATCGATTCGGTGTCGTCTTCGTCGATGGTTTCGAGGGGCTCTTTACGAGCGGCCTCGTTGGCTTGTTGTTCGGCAATCTCAACGGCACGACGGCAGATGTCTAGGGCGCGACGCGCGTCACCGCTGACGGCGGCGACTTTGCGGCTGGCGAATTGGATGGCATCTGCGTCCACGATGTTACCTGGCACGTTGGCAAGTCGTGTACTTATGATCTCCATCAAGTCGGTGTGTTTGTAGCCAGGGAAGGTGATACGGGTGAGGCCGAGACGGCTGGAAATCTTGTTGCTCAAGGTTCGCTCGGGGAGATCCATGGTATTGGCCACGGCGAGAACGATGAGTCGGGAGTGTCGTAGGGCGGGCCAGTTGAAGAAATTGTACATGACCGACTGGTTCTTGGTGACGAGTTGATCCAGTTCGTCCATCAAGACGACGCAGGACACTCGCCGTGGGGAAGGGTGCGAGAACTCCCGTTCAAGAAGATCTAAAGCGTGAGACGGAGATACACGATCACCTTTAAGGGCCTCCCAGAGCAGAGAGTAAGACTGATGAGGGTCAGTCACCTTCATGCCATTGATCTCAACGAAGATGAAATCGTCCATTTCTTCCGCCAAGACGGCGGCGTTCAGCTGAGCCACGACCTCGCGAACGGTTGCTGTCTTACCCGTTCCGGGTGTGCCAGAGATGTAGATACAAGTACCCGTCCCTTCCATGATGGCTGCACTAAGATGGCTGTAGACTGCGTCAAACTCCGTTTTCCGGCAAGGGAGCGATTGCGGCACGGTAGACACATGGAGGAGAGTCCGCGCCTGTCGATAAGGAGAGGCTAATTGTGATGGTGACAAAATACGGGTACCAAGAGGAGTAAACTCGAGTGGTTTTTTGACAACGATCCTATAACGAACTGTGAGACTGTGGCAGGCTAGATTGTTGTGATGTCGTGCGTTCACTCACCTCTTATGAGTCGGGGTGGTCAAGGATTTCTGACGTCTGGATTGAGGTGTGGCATTTGAAGCCACTTTTTGCCTTTTCCTGGGTGTACTCGGAGCAACGTCCTCTTCATTTTGACTTTCGACATACTTCAAGTTATCAGCTTGCAGAGTTGTGACAAAGCAGTCTGTTACACTCACATCATTATCAACCTGCTTGCGTTTCTTGGCTACCTTGAGCCCATTCTTGATCATATCAATAAGATCAAACAATCTATCCTCTCGATAAACCTCTTCCCAGATGAACTCTTCGGTATATCTTCCCTGAACTTGGTTCACTCCTCTGCGACACACAATGCACTTGTTGAATTCCGCCAGAGCTTCCTTTCCCTTCGGAGGGACACCTCCAGGATATTTGGCGTAAAACGCATCCTTCGACATGACCGTGGCTCTGCCGTTGATAGAGGTGAGGGGGTTGACATTGAAGTCCGCCGTCAAGTATTGTTCGTTGGGTAGGGCATCCGATCGTCTCTTGTTCTTCGTCGACATGAACTCGTCCGGAGAGGCAAACCACATGATATTGGCCGACTTGATGAGTTCATCGTCATCATCCTCTTGTTCCAGGAACTCTGTGATGATTCCGATCCAATCCTTGCCGGGCTCCGGGGACTTGAGCAGCACCACCTGGCCCAGGGCGCATTCGAACGAGCCCATGCGAGCACCGACTATCTTTTGGGAGCGTTTGGCATTAGGACGGACGGAGCGTCTGCGCATCGACTTCGGGGTATCTTGCGCAGAGTCGGCCGTCGGTTTGCTATCCTGATCATCAGTGTCCTCTGTGTCGTAGATCCACTCCCATGGGTGGTCTTCTTCCCCCAGCTCGTCATCGGAGTCGTCCCGGACAAGACCCCCCTTGGTCATCCATAGCTGGGCACGTTTCCGTACACTCGGCTTGCGCGACTGCAAGCCAGGTTCTTGGCTCGATGAGTCGGAAGCCATTGTTCGTGATAGTCGAATTCCCAGTCAAGGGAGAGACAATTGATTATGGTTGGTATGTTGACGGGGGAACCCGAAAAGATGCGCCTGCCGCGCGCCCGGCGCTTGTGCCGCTGTTCCCATTTTGGGATTAGCGCCCGCACTGCCGTTTCCGCGCCAATCAGATGACGTGCGCTATACTTCTGCTAAACGAGGCAGCAAGAGCTGTTACTGCCTGTCCGTAACACCCACCAAGCTTGCAACTGAATTGTCTATAACAAAAAGTCACCTCTGGAGGTACATTATGAGAGCCTTGGAGCTTCGTTGATACAGCCTCTGGAGACATCCCAAGGAAAGCGAGCACCCAACTTCACTTTTCGTCGTTCTAGCGGTGAATGCAGGCTGCCGAGACAGCTACTGGGCGATTGGAAAACAAGCAGTTTCTCTTCTTACCGGTTAATTCTTTCACTGGCCAATTGCGTTTATTCAGGGGATTTCTAACTGTAGAAGCCGCTGAGTGCTGTTTGTTTTGTGGCTGTTGTGTCTCATCCTCTGACCTTCCTCTTTGTTGCCCCCCCAAAGTCACTCCGGGTGACTTCCCACTCTGTCCATGACATCTTCTCTTCTTCCATCTGCCTAAACCTCCCCGTCATCACGCGTCAGCTCCATCGCTCACCCACTCCATTGGTCTTTTTATCTGCTCTCTTGGTCCTTTGATCGATTTGCTCACTGAGTGCTTCAGTCGAGGAGTATCCCCTCATTCCTCAGCCCAGCGTTTGGCTGGGAAGAACTCGGTCAACATGGAGTAAGCTGTCCTGTTGTCGTGAAACCAATGATCAAATACTAATCAATCACCAGCTTCGAGGCCTCTGGGGCAGAAGGTAACGTTGCCTGAACCTTGTCAGTTCCATTCTACGGGGAAAGATACTGATCTTCTACTCTTAGAATGGGCGCTGCCCGGCTACGGACGGCCAGGTCCTCAAAAGAACCCTTCTGAGACTGAGGCTTTGCACGTGCAAAACATTGCATCGCAGGCTGAGCCCACTTCCAAAGCCGAGCATGTTCGTGAAGCATCTGTCACATCTGCGAACAAGAACACCACTGTCCATAACCCCGCCCCTGCCCGAGGAACAGCTCGCGCTTACAGAGGACGTGGTGCCTCAGGAGGCAAAAGAGGCTCGTCTTCGCCCCGGGCCCATCTTCCAGGAGAGTCTCCGGCAAAGTCGCAATGGAGAAATGGAATCCAGCCCGCAGGTAAGAATCATTCTCTCGTCCAACTTCATTCCAATTAATATCACTTGGTCCAGAAACCATCAAGCTTTCGCACCCGTTCAGGGAGATTAGAGACACGTAAGTATGAAGTCTGAATCAAGACCTGAGGTTAGTACTGAATGGGGACTAGATTCTGCACCGTGGCACGGTCAGTCTCGTCTCGACGCCCATTCGGACAACAGGGACGCCATGATGTCTTTGATGACATCTGTCGAAAGACCGGAGCTTACATCAACCCGCCCGCCGGAAACCATGATGTATGATGTGTCTTGCCCAACTGAGCAAGAAGTAGCTGATGTATATAGGCGATTCATCTCTGGGGGGCATCCTATCAGGTCTCTGAGGCTACCAAGCTCATTCAGAGCATTCTTGCTAGATGCGACACCCTCACCTTGCCCAAGAAACGGGAATGGACGAAGACCTCTGCCTATTCTGTTGGAAAGGAGGATCTTGCGGATCAACTTGAGCTAGAAGATGCCTTGATTCTCGCGTACCGGAAGGCACCTGAGCTGGAGTTTATGTTCTCTGAGAAGGTCAGTGAAGAACTGAAATGACAATTACAATCGATCTTTCTGACTTCAAGCTCTTAACTAGTTACTCTTTTTGTGGCCAAAGGAGGGTCCCTCCATGCGTGATGCCCTTGGCACCGATCTGGAAGCTCTTGATCCTGTTCGTATCAGGTTCACGTGTCACTTGTTCGTTGACAAGAAGTTGCCTGATCACATCTGCGCTCTCGGCTATGACCAAGCCAAAACCGGCCTGCTTGTCCAGCTCCTGCGTAACAAATGGGCCGAGATTATGGCAAACAGTCTCGTCAAGTCAAAGATCTACTTGGTTGAGCCCCTTGAAAGTGGCCATGGTGAAGTCTCCGCGAGAAAAGAGGCGGGCTTTGTTAGACCACTCTTTCGCACGATTCCAATGAGCAAGGCCGATTTGGATAGTTGGCCGGGCCGAGCTGAGCTGATCCGGTCAAGGAACAATGCCCATCTTCTCAAAGTGATTGACAAATGCTTGAAGAGTGTAGTTTACGTGCGTGGACACCTTCGCATGAGAGCCAATATCGGCTTGTTCGTGCTCGATTACTACCGTCAGCCATCGCAGGGAAAACCGGCGTGGGGCTTTGAGGAGTTCCGTGAGATGTTGTTCCATGAGAATACAAAGGGTCGTCTGATCCCAGGGTGAGCGCGTGATTCTGTCCTAAAATCCGTGATCCAAAGCTGACAAGTTAACAGTCTGAAGATCGACCAGTCTGTGTTGCTTCCTAGACTGCTTGCTGCCACCAGTCTTCTTGAGCCATACGACCGTAGCATGGACTCCCTGAGACAGCCCGAGCCAGCATTCTCTGTGAACTTCGAATTCTCCGGTCAGAAGAATTCTCTGCTACGCTTGGAGGCTGAATTTGCGAAATGTTCTGGAGCACGCGATTATGCAATGACGCAAAGCCGCTGGCTTAAACCGCGCAAGATCGGCCAAGTCAAGGACTCGCGCTCACCCTTACAGGTTGGAATAATCGACTTCGAAAGGTGAGTCTGTCCAACATGCTGTTTTGTGTCCAGTGTGATATTCGGCGTAGTTCTAATTCGTCGTGATAGGTCTGATTGGCAGCTGGAAATCGCATCACTGGAGTTCTATGAAGCAACTGCAATCGAGAGAGCTTTACGCGAATTTTCCCACACGATCAAGTTCAAGAGCAACGATGTTATGGGTGACATCTCGGCTAATCCTGTTCGCAAAGTCATCTTCCATGCCTCGGCACCAGTCTCCCGCTTCATCGAGAAAACGGCTATTCGGTACCGCCTGAAGGGGACCAGATATATCCTGGAGATAGCACGGTACGATGAATACACCCGAACCTCCACAACTGAGTTGGCTCCCTTGAACTTCGCAGCACCCTTTGGGAAACCTCGAGTTTCCTGGGGAGCATCGGTCTTTGACTTCACTTGGGATAACTTGCTCGGCAAACATGCCAACATGCCCGTGGGACATGCAGCCAATTACGACCCGAATCTTCAGACCTTTTTCCCGGCCGCCAATGAGTCGGAGGACAAGTCCCAGGGTCTCTGGGAATTCATTGACCTGATCAAACGGGTTGCAGCCCTTCTTAGGTCCGGACCGCCCCGCACCATGCCAGCCACTGGAAGCGTTAAGGCTAAGGCTGATGGTCGTTCGGCAAGCCCGGCCTCCAGCGGCAATGCTAGGGCTCTAGATGCAGACCTCGGGACTTTGTTCTAAGTCACCAGAAAGCCTGCCCTTCGGGGAAGTATGGAGAGCTACGTTCTCTTTTTTTCAGAATGTTGTTTTAATGCCATGGCAAGGGGGTTGATTAATGCCTTTTTTGTTCTTTGCTTTGTTTCTGTACCTAATTCAAGTGGCTTACCAACTAACCTGCACCGGCGGTAGCGGAAGCGGAGGATGCGGCCCCTTCGGCCAGCAATTTCTGTCTCAAAGCTGATCATGGGGCGTTAGCATAGCCGTAATAATCATAATAATATCCAATGGAAAAATGTTTCTCAGATATTCCCTGCCGGATGGTTGAAAAGTAAGATGGTGCAACATACCGTCTTCAAAGAGCCTCTGCTGCTGACTCTTGGTCTGTACAATCTTCTCCAATTCGGTGAGATTTGTCTCCAGATCCTTGACCTTATTCTCGTAGAACTCGATGGCTTTGGGAGCAGTCTAGCGAGCAAACAAATTAGCCCACGCATTCCAATCGAGCCCCAGTTCCGAAATAATCCCCAGTATCATCTCAGACCCATAAATCCCCTCCCAATCCCAAAGCAACCACCACGACGAAAAAAGAGGGGAGAAATTACCTTCTCCACATAAAACCCCGTCCCGACATCGACGAGCACCTTCTCCCGATCCGCCAGCCGGCCGCGCACGTACAGCGAGCTCGTCAGGGGCACGAGGATCTCCTGCTCCGGGCCGCCGGCGGTGCCCTTCTTGGCCGAGCCCACCACCCCCTCGTTGATGGAGCGCACGCAGTCCCGGAACTTCAGCTGGGCGGCGCGCAGCTTGGCGTGCGAGGTCGTCAGGTGCTCGAGCTCCGAGGAGAGGCGGGTCTGCAGGGCGCGGAGTTGGGGCACGGAGAGGGAGGCGATGTTTACTGTTGCAGTTGGAGAGATTAGTATGGGTTGGGTTTGGGGGGGGGGGTTAGATTGATCTGGGGTCTTTTGGGATTTACACTTACCTGAGCCTGGTGGGGGGTCGGAGGAGCTATTTGCGGACATGATGGTGGCGTGGGTGTCGAGTGTTGAGATTATGGGGTTTGAAGGTGATTGTGGTGGGACTGGGGTTGGGTTTGGTGTGGATCGTGGGAGGTGCTGGCCCTGGTGTACTGTGCTGTACAGTAGCCCGAACCTGTGGCTTGTGGTTGGAGTGCGGGTGAAGCTTGGTTTGCGGCTGCGGTTTGTATGGGAGGTGGTAAGTGGGGAGCGGTGGTGATTCTTTTTTGTGCGGGGGTTGTGATGCTTAGTAATTGTGCAGCTGGTGTTCCAGTGGCTGCGCCAAGGCTGCCCACCGGAGCCAATGGGCTTGCGCAATTGTACAGTAACTCTCTAGCGGATGAAGTATGAAACTATTCACTTGGTAGGTAGCTCATGTTGAGAAAATACTTGAAGTTTGAGTATTATAGATCTTTCTCACTACGAGTGGAATCATTGATGCCGCGTTGTCTTAGGCTTGGGCCCATGATTCGCTAACGTTCCTTCAGAAGTATATAGCTCTAGTAACACAATGCGATAGCTCTCTATTATACTCAATACCACAGCTATATAGCCTTTCCCTTATGTAACACCGACAATCATATCTCCTCATAACTATTAGTGCAGCTTCTACCTCTCCACCACCTCGTTATCCGCAATAAAGCACTCCTCATACCCAACGGTCCTCTGGCACGACCGCCTCCCTGTAGAAGGGGCCGTTGAGCGCATTAGCAATGCAGTCTAGGGACAGCACGTAGAGCTGGACGTGGTTGTCCCAGTCCGAGATAGAATCGGCGCCCAGGAAGTCCCACAGGGCGGTGGCTTTGGCGCGAAGCTCGGGCGGTTGGTGGTACTACACAGTACATACATATTAGACCCAACGGACGGAGGAGAGAGCTTTTCGCTTTGATGGGTTCAACTTAGCTTGGGGCAGTTTTTGAGGAGTCAAAGTTATTGTTAGAAGTGGCTGTAATGCAGCATGTGTGAGCAGGATTGGGGATCACCCAACTGATTTGTACTCAATGGAGACTTCAAGGTCATCCGATTGCCACATGGCTTGCAGGACTGCGAGGGGAGGTCATGTATGTCATGTCCTTATCGAAGCTCTTCCAGTCCGCCTGTGTGCTCGGAATAGGTATCTCTTGGACACCAATGCGCGACTGTGTCTAATTTCCTGCATGACCTTATGAATCCGGGAGTGTTTGTGAGTTAGTGTTGAAGAAGTTGGGGAGATGATGGGGATTTTGGGGATTTTGGGGATTTTGGGGAAGTGGTTTCCCAAATCAGACCACTGCCATCCGTTTTCAATAACATAACTTTGACCTCATTCAAACTTGGCCCATAGTTGAGTGGAGCTCTTTTCGCAAGTTGAGCGTCTATAGTAATCTTTCAAGAAGCTCTTGAAGCATAAAGCGCTGCGACTGATCCCATTTGCACGGCCTATTTCAGGGGGGTTTGTTTTCTTCGCAGTGAAGTGCTACCGCGAGGGCTGCATGGCAGAACCAAAGCTGCGGCTTTCTCTTCTGCTCTCACCAAAGAAAAAAGGTAGGGGTTGCTGGTCCGTGAAGGTGACTGATTAGAAATTCGTTCTATAGTTCTAGCACCCTACCCTGCTGCGTCGAGCTGGCAAAAAAGTAATGCCTTGCAGGGCTTGAAGTATACACAAGCAGGCACTCGATACATGCGAAATGTTCCAGCATTTCAATAGGCATACAATATGCAAACTTATAAGATGGGTAAATGGTACAAGTATGTACAAAAGAAAAGGCGCCGGTGCTGTACTGAGAAGTCAAGTAGATGGGTTCATTGTGCACCCATTGTGTCAGTCAATGCATTGCTTACTCACCGTCCAGAACATAAAATCAACTCGTGGAGCGAAGTAAATGTCCAAAGTCTAAAAGTACAAAACACCAAAGGAAAACAGATTAAATCATAAAAAGAAATCCCATTACTGTATCAGAAAAACCATAATATCCATAATCTCATCCCCCTAGTCATCATCATCATCATCATCATCATCATCATCTACCGATCCTCCTCCCACCCCATCAACAACTGATACTCCTGCAACGGCAACCAATACTGCTGCTGCCGAAAGAGGTTCATCAGCGGCAAGAACAGCGGGTGTTCAACTCGGGGGGCCAACGCCCCCGCGGGATTTCCAGCAGTGAGGGTTGCACGCTTCTGCGCTTCGGCCTCCTCCTGCAGCCGATACCAGCGCGTGACCTCCTCCCACTCCACCCAGCGCCACTCGCGGCACTTGTCGGGCTCCATGACGGGCGGCGGGGCCCGGCAGTCCTCGCGCCGCGCCGGCGTGCACCCCATGTAGATGGTGATGTAGTGCTTGTTCTCGGCCGCCATCACGTCGTTGGTGGCCGTCAGGAAGCGGAGCCGCGAGACGGGGAGGCCGGTTTCCTCGAGGACCTCGCGGGCGGCGCACGCCGCCCACGTCTCGCCGGGCTCCAGGTGGCCCCCGGGCAGGGCCCAGGTGCCGGCGCCGTGGCTGCCTTTGCGTTCGCCGAGCAGGACTTGGTTGGCGCGCCCGAAGATGAGGACCGCGATGCCTACGCGGGGCACGGTGGTTACCGCTGGCGGGGCGGTGGTGGTGGGGTGGGGGGTTGGTGTTGTGGACATGGTTGTTGGGAATTTTTGTGGTTGCGTGTGTGTGTGTGGAGGTGTGTGGAGGTGGATTAGTTGTGGGTTGATCGAGTGATGCTGATCGGTCACGTATCGATGAACCGAATCAATCAAAAGGATTGGTCGCCTTATATAGTTGAGGTTTAGTGAATCTTTCCAGGCACGGCGAACAATCCCCGTCGGTGCCAAGAGTTCAATAGTTTCAGGCAAACTGCCTAAAACTTCTTTATCCCCTGACCTTTGAACGATAGATCTCACCAGTGATCTAAGAAGTTGACTCATCTTCTTTATCGGCGCAGTTAAAAGGAGTGGGGTATAATTTGCGGTCAATCTACTTCTAATTGTTCATTCAATGGTTTTTGTATCTTACAAAGCTCCGTGCCACTCAGCCTCGGGAAGAGCAGCATAGCCCCGATTTTCGATATCTGCATAGCCTGCAACCCACGTGAAAGCGCTTACAATCGCTGCAGCAGAGATTTCACAAACGCCGGAAGAGCCTCAAGTGACACATCCTCACGCACGCTCAGCCGACGGCATTGCACCTCCAAGGTTTGCTGTTTCTTCCATCCCTTACCAACCACAATGATTACCGGGTATCCGATTAGGTCCGCATCGCCGAGCTTCCAGCCCATTTGCTTGTCGCGGTCGTCCAGAATCACGTCCAAGGCTCCAGCACCAGAGCCAGGCGCCACGGTCAGTGCGTCGTAGACCTTCTCCGCTTCCGCCTCGAGCCCCTTGCCCGGCACGACGATGACTTCGTATGGTGCAATGACGCGAGGCCAGTTCAGGCCCTTGCCATCCGCCAGGCTGTCCGCTACCGCAGTGATCATGCGCGAGACGCCAATTCCGTGGCACCCCATCTCCATGGGTACGGTCTGGGGGCCGGACTTGTTGTTGTCGTTGCTCTTGGGCATGGCAGATTGATCGACCATCACGGTGGCCTTGAGGACATCGCTGTAGCGGGTGCCTAGGTGGAATGTGTGACCGAGCTCGACTGCCTTGTGCGTCTGTGCCAGACCCTCGCCGCACTTGGCGCATCGGTCGCCCTCGTGGACCCTCACCAAGTTCAGATGGTTGTTCGTGCCTGGGAAGCGATCCAGCTTCGAGAAATCCACGTCTTCCGCCGTGCAGCCGACCTCCTCCAATGTGTCGGTAAGTGGGGGGCGCTTGTATGCGCGCACGCGCGAGTCGTACAGATCCACGATCCGCGGGCGCTGAGCAGAAGACTTGTGGGACTTGATGTGTGTGGCCCATTGCTGGAGCGGGTTCTCAACGCTGATGTCGATGTCCATCCCAGCGGCGTCGGCGATAGACTTGACGGCGTGCGAGTTAACCTCCCTTTCCACAAGGGCCTCTTGGAGGGTATACTGCGGAAACCAGCACCGCAGCAGCGTGTTCTTGTCTTTCGAGATGGACATCCAAAGGCCGACGGAGACGGCGGGGGTAGCCTCACCGGAGTTTTCACCGGTGTCGAAGCCATGTTTCTGTTGAGCCTGAGGCTGTTCGTCCACGCCAGCGTAAGCCTTTCCATCCGCGAGCTCCTCGTTGTACACATTGTCGCAACTGGTGCAGCTGATGACTGTGTCTTCACCCTTCGCGCTGGGGAAGTGGAACTCGTGACTCAGGCTCCCGCCCATATTACCTGAATCCGCAGCAGCGACCAGATAGGGGATTTTGAGCTCGTCGAAGAGCCGTGTGTAGGCGCCTTTGACAGCTACGTAAGTCTGGAGAGCGGTCTCGGGACTGTAGTCGAACGTGTACATGTCTTTCATGATGAATTCCCGACCGCGAAGAAGACCCTGCCGGGGTCTCTGCTCATCTCTGTATTTTCTCGCTATCTTCATGATTAGACTTGGTCAGCAGGAGTGAGCAAGCTTTACTGACAGATTTGGTATACGCGGACGGGCAGATCTCGGTATGACTTGGTAAGACTTCCGACAAGAGTAGTAATCTCCTCTTCATGGGTGGGCGCGAGGAGAAAGCGTGCTTCTTTGCGGTCAAGGAAACGGAAGACCTGCCGATTGATTAGGGGGAGCTCACAGCTGAGATGATAGCAAGAGGCTTACATCCGATCCCTCCTTGAGGCGTCCCGACTGCTCCCAGAGCTCTTGGGATGATATAGACGACAGTGACACCTTGGATGCGCCTTTTGCCATACATTAGACGTCTCAGTAGGGATGTAAGGATCGTGATGCCGTAGACTTACCGACTGACTGCATGTGCTTATCTATGAGTCTCTCCAGCTTATCCTGCACACGCAACCCCAGTGGCAGCATGTGGAAGATGCCTGCGTACGCCTATGCATTTGATTAGCCCTGTGATTGCCAAAAAGAGACCTGACAGTACCTGTCGCAGGAAGCCACCCCTCACTAGGAGGTCATTTGTGTCCTCTGTGTAGCGTCAGTTCCCTGAACTGTGGTCGATGATCTAATTTAGAGACGTACCTCTTTCACCCTCGACAGGCTTCTTCGTGATACCCCCTGTTGGAATCCAAAAATTGGAGATCCGAGTCCTGCCATCGGTCTGACAGTACGATTAGTTAGATCTTATACAAGCAATGACGGATAATATCTCATACATGGAAGGCGTTTTTAGACGTTCTATACCCGAATTGAGCGACACTAAGGTACACTCGCGGAACTCCGGGAGCCCTGCCCACTATAGGGCGTATGCGCGAGATCATGAAGACGCCGAATCCCGAAGCACAGCCGCAAGGTGTTTTCAACGGGGGAGAGAGATATTCACATCTCCGCTGGCAATGCGCGCATCCCGCAAGAAAGAAGCGCGGTTCTTATCGGCCCAGGCACTAAACCCAATGTGATAGTTAACATGGTCCGAGCGTCGGGCCCAAGCAGTACTACGGCAAATCGGCCCGCCACTTTCTCCGGCGGCCTGGAAAGAAGCGGACCCCCCCATAATTTTTTGGGCGGCAGAAAAAAAGTTGAAGGAGAGCAAGCATTTTGGCCATTCATCCCACCCTGTCAATTATGGCCAAAGGCAATAAGGGCAAAGGCTCCTCCTCTTCTGGAGCGAACAACATCCCTCTAGGTAAGGGTGTTGGTGGCGGTGCTGCCGCCAAAAATCCCACCCCTGCCGCTGAGTCTGTCCCCCAGTTGGAGGAGAGTGCATTCGCCGGCTTGCGACAGAAGATTGAACAGCGCTTGAAGGATCAGAACAACGCCAAGCAGAAGTCGAAGAACGGCAAGGGAAAGACCGCGCCGGTTGATACACCGAAGAAGGACCAGCAGGTTGCGTCGAAACCTCAGCCGAAGCAGGCGCCCGCCGACGATAAGAACAGCAACAAGGGAAAGAAGCGCGATCGCAATGGTGATGTGATTGCTGGGGAGGCGAAGAAGGATATCGGGAAAGGAAAGCCAAAGAACAAGGATGACAGTGACGATGTTCTACGGCAGGAGATTCTGGCCCTTGGGGGTACGGAAGAGGACTTGGATCTCTTGGCCGGTGTCGACTCTGAGTCCGAGGTCGAGGATGCCACCGAGAAGAAACCTAAGGGCAAGTCTGAGGAAGACTCTCTGAGGAAGGAGCTGGCTAGCATGCTGGCTGCCGCAGGCCAGGTGGTTCCCGATGACCTTGAAGACGACGAAGTTGAAGAAGAAGAGGAAGAGGAAGAAGAGGATGCTGAAGAGGACGACGATGAAGAGACTGGTGGCATGGAGCTCGATGCTGAAGACGATGACGAGGACCTGGAAGAGGAAGAAGAAGAGGTCTCAGAGGATGAACTTCCCACGCCAGCCCCGAAGGAGGACAAGAAGGAGAAGGCCGCCAAGCAGGCCGCTGCTGAGAATATCTTCCCCAAGGAGTTCTCCAAACTGGTAAGTCATCTCATCCATGATTCCGGCAAAGCATGCTGACCAGACGATCAGTCCGTTCCTCCGAGGTCCGACTGGTTCATGATCGAACTCCCAACCATTGCGAAGAAGGAATCGAGCCCTGTTGCCCGCCACCTCATCGAGCGTTTCCACACTTACGCAAATTCGCTTCTCGAAAAGGAGGCTAAAGAATACGCTGATGCGCAAGCAGCTTCTGCCTCTTCGTCGCACAAGTTCTACAGTACTATCATGTCCACTGGTACGCTCAGCGATAAGATCTCCGCTTTGACGCTTGCCGTACAAGAATCGCCTCTTCACAACACCAAGGCTCTGGAGAACTTGATTGCCCTCGGAAAGAAGCGCAGTCGTGCCCAGGCCGTTGAAGTTCTTCGGTCGCTCAAAGATATGTTCGCCCAGGGAACCATCTTGCCCGGCGATCGCCGACTCCGGGCTTTCGCCAACCAGCCATCGCTTGTGGCTGCCTTGCAAGGTGTGAGCAACCGCTGGTCTGAAGGAGATGCTCTTCCCAATGGTCTTCAGAAAAGCCACCTGATTGTCTGGGCCTACGAGCATTTCCTAAAGGATCAGTACTTCGAGGTTCTCAAGATTCTCGAAGTCTGGTGCAACGACGAGATCGATTTCTCTCGCTCGCGCGCTGTCAGCTACGTCTACGAACTGTTGAAGGAGAAACCTGAGCAGGAGACGAATCTGTTGCGTCTGTTGGTGAATAAGCTTGGTGATACGTCTAAGAAGATTGCCTCGCGGGCGTCTTACCTACTTTTGCAACTTGAACAGGCGCATCCTCTCATGAAGTCCACGATTATTTCAGCTGTTGAGGAGGTCCTCTTCCGGCCCGGTCAAAGCCAGCACGCCAAGTACTACGCTATCATTTCACTAAACCAGACGGTTCTGAGTCTCAAGGAGGAGAAGGTCGCTGAGAAGTTGCTCGACATCTACTTCGCCCTCTTCGTTTCTCTATTGAAGCCTGCCAAGGAAGACAAGGGCAAGGGATACAAGGGCAAGAGGAATGGCAAATTCGGAAATAAGGGCAAGGGCAAGAGCAAGGGCAAGGACGACGACAAGGGTCAGGCGCAAACTGAAGAGATGCAAGACAAGTTGACCTCGGCGGTCCTGACCGGTGTGAACCGAGCTTATCCCTTTACCAGCTCCGACAGTGAACGGTATGTCCTATATCCTCTGTGAATCATGACAAAGCTAATGCAGAAATCAGCCTGACGAAGCACCTCGGCACTCTTTTCCGCATCACGCACTCTTCCAATTTCAACACGAGTATTCAGGCTCTCATGCTGATCCAGCAATTGACGGCCTCCCACCAAGTCGGTGCGGATCGCTTCTACCGGACTCTGTACGAATCTCTGCTCGATCCTCGCCTGGCAACGTCCTCCAAGCAATCCCTTTACCTCAACCTGTTGTTCAAGTCCCTGAAGAATGACTTGAACACTCGCCGTGTCAAGGCCTTTGTCAAACGTCTCCTTCAGATCCTCGGAATGCACCAGCCCGCATTCATCTGTGGTGTCTTCTACTTGATTCGTGAGCTGGAGAAGACGTTCCCCGATCTCCGCGCCTTGTTTGACCAGCCCGAGCTGAACGAAGACGATGAGGAGGAAGTCTTCCGGGACGTTCCTGACGAGGACGATGAGCCTCAAGAACAGCCTGAAGAGACTAAACCCGAGAAGCCGTCTACTCGCTACGACCCCCGCAAAAGAGACCCCGAGCACAGCAACGCCGACCGCACGTGTCTCTGGGAACTTGTACGTATAGCTATTTGACCATGATTCTGCAATCGCTGACTTTCGACTTCTAGCTGCCCTACCTGTCTCACTTCCATCCCTCTGTCTCGGTCAACGCGGCTCATTTACTCGATCACCAGGTGATGAGCGGACAGCCCGACTTGACTATCCATACTCTCACTCACTTCCTCGACCGTTTCGTTTACCGTACTCCGAAGGCAGCTGCGGCCACCCGTGGAGCCTCGATCATGCAGCCTCTTGCCGGCAGCGACGCCAAGGACCGCCTTGTTGCCGCCGTCAAGACTGGCGCGCAGCTGCCGCTCAACTCGGAAGCCTTCTGGAAGAAGAAGGCGGAAGATGTGGCGGCGGAGGAAGTCTTCTTCCACGAGTACTTCAACCGGGTCGGCAAGGGCCAGGAGAAGGACAAGGCTCGCAAGAAGAAGGCCGACAAGGATGCGGGTGACGAGGACGAGGACGGCGAGCTCAGCGACGCCGAGTCCGAGATCTGGAAGGCCCTGGTGGACTCTCGGCCCGACCTGGAAGCTGGCGTCAGCGACGACGACGACCTGGATCTGGACGACTTGGAGTCTGCCTACGACCAGAGCGACGAGGAAGATGCCGGCGGTGACGATGAGGTGGAGATCAACCTCGACTCGGACGACGAGATGGAGGACATCGACGAGGTCCCCGCCCCGGCCAAGAAGACGAAGAAGGCCAAGGCAGAGGAGGAGCCCTCGGACGACGAGGATGCGTTCGACATGGACGTCTCGGACGAGGAGGCGTTCATCGACAGCGACGAAGAGCTGCCGTCGGACGTGGAGCTCGATGCCCACCTGCCGACTTCGTCCAAGGGCGAGAAGGAGAAGGACAAGAACAGCGAGCGCAAGAAGCGGCGCAAGCTCAAGCACCTGCCTACCTTCGCGTCGATGGAGGATTATGCGGCCCTGCTGGCCGGGGAAGACGAGGGTATGTGAAACCCACTTTCTTGTTGTATTTAGTCAATCGCATCCTGCAGATACCACAAAAGCTCTATGTAGTATTTCATTTACTTTCACATCTTTCACATGGAGGGGGGGGGGTATCATCAGCGAGACGTAAACAATCATATGCACTTCATTTGAACAGTGAGTGACAGTAGAGACGGTCTAGAATTGCAGACCCGGTGGCAGTTCCAGCCACTAGGGCGAAATTGTGGCGCTGCGCATCACCCACCCGGTCGGGGCAGATGACATCATAGCGTTCAGCCACACTCGGGCCAGTTTTTCTTCCCAGCCAAACTTCATCTGCTCGATTCGGACATCCCCGACTCCCGGGCGAGTAACCTGGTTGTCTGGGAGGCGTGAGTGCATGGAAAAACATGGTAAGGTCCGATATCTCACACGTGGAATGGGCGATGTGAACAAACAACAACCTTGGAAGCACGCCATCAACTAGCGCATAGCGTGCTCGAGGTTAATTCGAGGTCCAACTTCAGTCTGCCCCTCTTCCTACTTTTCCATTTTTCCATTTTTCCATTTTTTTTTTTTCTCTTTGATGCAGCCCTGGTCAGCAGAGATTTCTGATAGGCTCCACTATGGACTGGGATTAAAATCCTTTGAAAGAGTATTGGAGCAATGATCGCATGATGCGCTTTGCACAGTCGATGTTGGTATCGTTGGAATGCGGTTGCAGCAGAAGAAGTATTGAGATTGCGAATCAAGCATAAATTAATATCTCTGCACGAGCAATGCCAGTGGAATGTCAACCGGCCGAATGCGGGGCGGAGGGCAGACTAAGAAGGAAATCGACATTGATCGGGTCCATCCGCCCCAGAGAGCGTCCGACAACTGGTGTGGAGCGGGGAATTGCCGAGTGCGGCGGGCGGGGAGGAAACTGTACCGAGTACTGTAGTTTGAGCACTATGGAGAAGAGAAACCGTTGCTGGAAGTTCTTGTTACTCGATATACTCAGGCCAATTACAGCGAATGTTATTACTATAACAATCCTCAACAGTTCCAAACCCTACTATGGAACCCAATTGCCAATGTTCAGCCATACATACTGCAGTATATTGTCGTTGTTCCGCCGGATGGGCTGCTACGTCATCTCATGAAAGCAGAACTTCCGAGTCCGTCGCTGCGCAATCCGAACAGGGAACAACCTTAGTTAGGATCGGAGATTGCAACCAGTCTTTCTTTCATCTCTTTGCTCATTGATTGACTGCTTGGGAACTTTCTGCCTGTTCCTTCGGGGCTAGCCTAGCCTTCACCCGGGGGGATCGGCGCACTCTCTTGTCTGTCTTTCTGTCCGTTTGCCTGTCAGTGGGTGGAAAGATTTCAGCTGCTCAGCTCTTTCATCTTTCCTGCGCAATCTCTACTTCCCACACTCTGACAACTTCCTTCTGGCTTTCAGTTCCTCATAAGAGTGCTGTTTCCATTGCATGTCAGTCACTGACTGAGTCAGTCAGTTATTCTTCTCAGTCTAAGGTAAGTTTCCCCACACTCTACCCATGTGCTGATGCCCCCGACTAAGCATTTGCCCAACAACCAGCCTCTTCCCCTCAAAGCGCAGTACATGCCTCCGAAGGTTTCCCTCCTATTTTCAGCTTCCATCCTCGCTCACTCCCTACACCAGCGGCTTGTCCGCTCCATAAAATGGCGGAGTCCACCGTCCCCGACCCCACGGGCCGCTCCTCTGTCCCCGAGCACAGTCTGACCGACGAGACGAAACATGCGGACCTCGAGAGCCAGAAATTACAGCCCGGCTCCAGCTCGGACTCCGAAGGGGAAGTGGGCAGACAAATCCAACTGGAGGCAGAGAACTCGATCAAATATCGCACATGTAGTTGGCAAAAGGTGCGTGGCCGCAAAGCTATAGCTGGGAAGTGAAGACTCGTGCTAATATGAGCCCTGATTCCTAGACGGCGGCGCTGCTCTTCTCCGAGTATATCTGTCTGGCCATCATGTCCTTCCCCTGGTCCTACTCCGTTCTGGGGTTAGTACCTGGGTTGATCCTGACAGTGTTTATTGCAATGACTGTGCTGTATACCTCGTTGATCATTTGGTACGTTCCATAAACTGAAGCGCGCCGCAGGTTATCGCTCACATATTTAGGCGTTTCTGTCTGCGGCATCCGCACGTACGTGATGTGTGCGACATCGGGCAGATGATTTTCTGGGACTCGAAGGTGGTCTGGTACTTGACGGCTGTCATGTTCCTGCTGAACAATACCTTCATTCAGGTAGAGAAATGTCGCATGGCAAATTCCCAGATTTGAAAACTAACTAGCACTAGGGCCTTCATTGCCTCGTTGGTGCAGAATATCTTAACACGATCACCGGACATGGAGCCTGTACAATCGTCTTCTCCGTCGTGACGGCGGTCATCTCGTTCGTTTGCTCCCTCCCGCGGACCTTCGATGCGCTCTCCAAAGTGGCCACCCTCTCCGCGTTCACCACTTTCATTTCGGTGATGCTCGCCCTGATCTTCTCCGCCATCGAAGACCACCCGGCCGGCTACACTCCGGCCAAGGGCGACCCCATTGTGACCGCTGTGCCTGTGGCCGGTACCACCTTCGTCTCGGGCGTCAGCGCGTTCCTCAACATCAGTTACACCTTCATCGGCCAGATCACGCTTCCGAGCTTCATCGCTGAGATGCGCGAGCCCAAGGACTTCTGGAAGTCCGTCACCGCCGTCACCATCGCTGAGATCATCGTCTTCTCCCTCGTCGGCGCCATCGTGTACGCCTACACCGGTAATCAATACATTACCTCCCCCGCATTTGGCTCCCTTGGCAACGAGACCTACAAGAAGGTCTCCTTCTCTTTTATGATCCCGACCCTCGTGTTTCTGGGTGTCTTGTACGCCTCCGTCTCTGCTCGCTTCCTCTTCTTCCGCCTCTTCGACGGCACCCGCCACAAGGGCAACCACACCGTCGTCGGCTGGGCCGCCTGGGCCGGGATTCTGTGTTGTCTGTGGATCGCCGCCTTCATCATCGCCGAGGTCATCCCCTTCTTCTCCGACCTCGAATCCATCATGAGCGCCCTGTTCGATTCGTTCTTCGGGTTCATCTTCTGGGGCACGGCGTACCTGCGCATGCGCCGCGAGGAATTCGGGCCGGGGTTCTATAAGAATCGAGGGTGGAAGGGCTGGTTGGGTTTCTTTGTGAATGTCGGGTTGATTCTCGCGGGGCTGTTCTTCTTGGGACCGGGTACTTATGTAGGTTCATATCCTCCTGCCTCCCCCTTTTTTTTTCTCGTCCCTCCTTTGCCCCGTCCTTGGAACCGCGCAGTTCATCACCCATCACGCCTATTCTCCGCAGAAGAAAAACTAACATTCAAACAGGCCTCCATCGAAAGTGTGATCATCAGCTACCGAGAAGGAACAGTCGGGAGTCCATTCTCATGTGCGGACACAGGCTTGTAAAAATAGAGCAGAAAGCGGATGCAAAGATGCAGAGATGCGGAAATGCAGAACCCAACCTAACATGAACCTTTATTTGTTCAAGCTACTTCAACCCTTGAGTGGGTTACGACCTGATTCACCAGCCGCCACCCCTCTCCCACATATCCAGGCTGTTTTGTGGGGGTTTTCTTCCGATTTATATGGGTAATGTTGAAATGATGTGCCATTCCCCACTTTTTTTTTCCACTCCTTTTTGTGTATGTATCTTCTTTCCTGGGGCGGCGGGCGAGGGGCATGAAGACAGAATGACGAACTATACTCTTTTCTTTAATGTTTGCATGGGGTGTTTTGGCTATCATCCTTGGGTCTGCATGTTCCTTTTTGAAAGAGGGTTCGGGGGATGGAGTTTCCTGCGACCCAAGATGCGGTATGATTCAACCCTTACGAAGGGTAAGGGAGAGGCTTATCTGCTATGAGTGTATGCAGTGTCTTTGCAAGACAATGTAAAGCATTGATTAATGATGCCAAAAAGAAATGTAACCACTTGCGCAAAGGTTTAAAATAAATCTTTGTGAGCAAAAAAAGACTGGTGGCAGAGTTAAGGCCCTCTCTACGTACTTTGCTTGAAAGTTGACTTGATTTTTATGCATGATTTGTAAGCTACCTATGCATTAATTGACAGCCGGGAATGCATAATGAACATCGATCTACTTGACTTCAATACAGCCAGCACCTTGTTCTTTAGTACTTCATGTTACAGGTTCGAGGGCTAGAACTAAGATACTGGTGGTATTGAATATATCCCAAGCCAAGCACCTACCCAGACCAGCGACCCCCTACTTCTTGCTTGTCTCAACCAGAGCGCAAGAGCCTCGATACTGCCCACCCAGCCTCCATCTCCGCGGGTCGGATGGCGGGGAACTATATATTCTGACTCCTTTTTCGAGAGGGCTCCGATAATTTGATCCTGATCCAACCTTCTTGCCATCTGCCTTTTTTTGGACCCTGTTCTTGACTTTCGTGATTATCTTTCCCACTTCATGCTTCCACAGTTCCCCCCCCCCTACTCATCAGCAAAAATCTTCCTTAATGTTGATGATGATGATCATGGTGGTGTCCATGAGTATGGCGCTTGCGCAGGGTCAAGTGCGGTGCTGCTACAGCCGAGGCCTTGTAGCCAGCGCTCTAGATCCGTGTTAATTCTGTGATTTATTTCATGGAAGGGGGCCAAAAGAAAGATGGATCAAATGAAGGATGCCTGCCATCTTACCGGCGTTGCAGAAGAAGCAGAAGAAGAAGAAGAAGAAGAAGAAGAAGAAGAAGAAGAAGAAGAAGAAGAAGAAGAAGAAGAAGAAGAACAAGAAGAAGAAGAGAACATGGCCGCCGCCCGAACCGAAGACGAAGCCGTCGCGACGACAGCCATCACCCCGGGCGAAGAAGCTGAATCAGTGGTCGTCCGCCCCCTCGCGTTGGTGCCATACACAAAGCCGGGACTTGGCGCGGTGGCCACCGGGGGCCGGCTGAAGAGCTCACAGCGGCCGTCACCACCACTGCTGCTAAACAGCCACGCTTCGCAGCGACTCACCGTGGCACATTTGGCCGCGCAGGCGCTGGCATCGGCGAATCCGGAGCCAAACGTCAGTGCTGCACTGCTGAAGAAGGCAATCGTGTTGGGGGAACCGATGCTGCTTGGGGAGGAGGAGGAGGAGGAGGAGGAGGAGGGTGACGCGCTGTCAGTGAGGGTTGTGGTTGTTGTTGTTGTCGCCGCGATGGTGAACCAGCATGCGAGCAGGGTGAAATGAGAGAGCTGGATGGGGAAGTGCATTGTTGGTTGGTTGATTGGGTGAGGCTCGGTTTTGTTGGCGGTGGGTGGAGGTGAGTGTTGTGTTGTTGTTTTCGTCGGGGGGGCTACAATTCCTAGAGCCTTCAGCGGCAGGGGGGAAATGATATTTTTCACTTTTCTTTTCGGTTCTTCGATGCTTACCCGTCCACTTAATAACGTGGATGGTCTTGTGATCACGAGGAATAGGGGGTTTACCCATATGCCCGGGGAGGGCTGAATGGAGAGTCATCATACAGGCTTTCGGGAGCATACTTGTATCTGAAAGCAAGTAATATACAGACATGGCCCCTTCGTTCTGGGGTGTTCTTGTTCGTCACGATGCGGTTTCAAGGAGGACAAATACCACTATGCGCATAGCGAACTCGGACATCGGCCGTCGGGGCTTAACGCTTCTACTGTCGGAGATTGCAGATTGCCTAGTGATAGGGTTCGGGCGGTGCGCTAGGGCTCCATAAGGCTTAAGCATTTACCCTGTCCCACATAGTGGAGACTCTAAGGGCGAATCGACCTGCCACTATCGAGTCTATTGACAGTCCGGTCCCTTCGCACTATCAGGTACAAATTTGCGAGACCCCGTAGATCAATAAACCGGCGGCGCTAGGGGCCAATGGTCCGGTATGGCAAAGACGACCCTTGGGAGGGGGTTCTGCCGACGAAGGGGGCGTATGATCAGGAGGCATATATACATATAATAATACCATTTGGGAAGAAATGAGAAAGAATCCAACACGACTGATCACTTGGACAGCAAACAAAGTACCACCTCAACAGAGATTGGTTTGGTGTCATCATCAGGCTCCTGACAGTCGTTTAATCCACCGTGCAAAAGATGAAGTTCATAAACACCATCCTCACACTTTTTGTTTTCATCCGAACCATGCACTGCGCGCCGGTGTCGAGTGCATATGAGGCACTATTCTTCTATTATGCCTACCAAATTGACGCTGCGGCGGCCGCCCGGGCCGCAGCAGACGGGGTCCCGTGGACGCAAACGATCGGCCAGAGATGCATAGGGGCCGACTGCAGCTTTGTGGCCTTTGTCCAGTCGATTATGAAAGAAGACGCAGCCGCAGAGCTGACACCCACCGCGTTGGGGGACACCACGTCTCCGAACGTCTACAACACGGCGCAAGATATCATCGAGAACTGGAATTATGATTACAAGCAACTGGTCGCCGACAACATCATCACGGGGAAAAACAAACCCTGGTCCGTCATGATCACGGCCATCGTGGACAAGGTCCAGGCCGCCCGCGCGGTGGTTCCGTCAGCGGACCTGGTTCAGAAATGCACCACAGCGTTGCGGTGGGCGCAGGCCGCGCGCCTGACGGATATGGTTGGGGATGTGATGGCGGACCCCTTGACGGGCGAGCGCACCAAGGCGTTCATAGCCGAATTCAAAGATGTCGACCTTGAAGCCATCACGCGAACGCTGGGAACCGACCAAACCGACAGCGAAAGCCGCGCGATCGAATTTCTGGATTTGGATTACGAAGGTATGGCCGGTGGGGACGCAGACCAATTAGCAAAGTTCATGGCGTGGACCGAAACGACCCCGTCCAAGAAAGAGTTTCCCAGCTACAGGAGGCATCGAGAATGGGCGTTGCTCTATGATGAGAAGGCGACAGTAATGGAGACAGGATGTTCAAATTGAGGGTCTTGCGGTCTTGGTGCATGATGTATGCATGTACTGTACTGTGCCGAATAGTGTCCATGTATTGGCGGGTTCAAGTCGGCAAACCGTCCACTAGGAGTAGTTATAGGTTATTAGTGAGAAGTTGCAGCTCGTTCTCGCATCAAGAAAGAAGGGTTTTGTACAATCGACGTGGCACAACCTACTACTATTTAGTGACTAGCGTTATGCCCCTGAGCTGAGCCTTAGTCCTCTAGCTGCATAGGGAAACCAAGCCCGGGACCAATTAGGGCTAAAGTTCCGCGTAGGTCTGGATCCGAAGAGGGACAAAATATGGCCACGCATAATCAACTTTGCTCCCCAAGCTGAATGGGCCACCAAAAGTCATGTAGATCCACCCCTTGGGACTGCGCGCAGATGGCACGTTCACGCTCTAGAGCCGACTGCTTCTTGAACCTCGCCGCCTCGTCGAACCCCATCGGCCAATCTCCTGTTTTCCGCATAATGAGATCTCTTAACTCCTGTGGCAATCGAAAATGGTTGCTCAAGTGGTCGAACTCTGCGTCCTCTCTCCACCAGGTATGCTGTTGTGCTGGTACATTGCGGGAAGAGCAGATGCGGTAGTGCGGGTCCACCAGCCATATGGTAATAAAGCGTTGATGGCCAGGGAGATCAGAGTTTTGGAGTGAAAAAGGTAGTGTCCGGTATCTTAAGGTATTGGGCCAGGCTAGAAAACATCCCTGGCGGGTGGCAGTCACCGATCCCAGAGTCTGTAGCTTCGGAGGGGGGCCACCATAGTTGGCTGGGTCTTCGTCCGTCCGGGGCAGACCAAAAATCTTTTGCATCGCATGAGGCTCCAGCGTAATCTCGAACGCGTCCAGGTCGACCTCTTGTTGGAAGGAGATGCGCGCCCCAGTGATATTTTCCACATCGTAGTAGTATCGTGCTGTGGCGACCACGTGTTCATTCAGGAGTCCATCAACATGGTAATCGTCATCTCCAGGGAAGTTTGGGCTCTCCGCATTCAGTTCAATACTGCTAACACGCACTATTACTTGCAATCCCTGGCTGCGAAACTGGTTCTGCAAAGAGACTGATTGATACTGGTGATCAGGGGGTGATGGAGGGGGGTCCTCGAAGACCTCTCTAGAAGCCTTCCTTATATCAACAATCGGCTTCGCTGTTCTGCCTAGTTTCCACTCATCATAAGAGTATGAGATGCCAGGTTCGGGATACTGGAAAGTGTGAAGTCGGACCCATTTCTCTTGCACGACCTTGACCACTCGTTCCACAGACTCCCACATCTCTGGCGCCATGGAGCTCAGTAAATCCTCAGGATATACTGGATCAGATGGGTCATCGTCAATAATCCGATATTTTGGGTCGGGCTCAGGAATTGCAAGATATTGCTTGATCTTCGCGCAATGCATGGCCCAGGTCTGCCCTGGCCAGTGCCGGTCAGGCCGGTGCCAGTCCCAATTTTCTGACTTGATTCTGTCGTACTGAGCATTGAGCCTGGTCTTTTGGAATCCATATGTTCTGATACGGAGTGGGAATCGACTGACAGGCTCCTTGATCAGAACATCATTCCATGGTTCTAGGCAGGCGGAGATTAGCTTTTCAATGGCACCATAGGCCTTCTTGTTGCGTGGATGAAGGTTGTTGATGTAGGAAGTGATTCGCACGTCAGTGCCCTCCGAACCAACAAATTCCACGTCGCACGGCAACCACTGAAATTGGTGGGACCAGCGATACAGGGATCTGAGTCTGTCGTCATGTGGTGGGTGTCCATGTTGTCTTGTCCACGTATCAATGGGGTGCTGAGGCATGGGCGCGACGTGAACATTGGAGCTGGTGGTAGGATATGACAGATCGGCCGCAGTCATGGTGACTTGACCTCCTTGGCTGAGAACGGCAGTGCGACCATAGACCAGCATGTACATATCGGGGTCCACCAGGTCATGTTGGCCAGATTTCTTATGATCAACACATTCACCCATGAGTGGCTGGAAAGCTTCTTGGAGTTCTCTCTGCAAGCTCTCGTTGACAAGGACGGCCGACTTGCAGACCCCCGAATCAGCATTGAAGGTGAGAATATAACCGTTTTCGCGGTATGTGACAGCTTTATCGCGTAGCTCCGAAATGCACCAGTTCCATGTCTTTGAGGTTACGAGGTCCATGTCAACACTCATATTCCCAGCTTTCTCCTCCTCCTGTCCCGACTGGGCTTGGGATTGAATGAGCATCTCCTCGTACCATTTCTGGGCAATGCTTTCGTCAAACACATCGATTTCCCAGTTCTGCCGCTCTGTCAGCATCTCCATGATGCGTAGCATGAGAACCTCAGGTTGGGTCAAACGGGTTGCTCGACCTCGGCTCCCAGTCCAATTCGGTAGAGCGCCGTGCGCAAAGCATCGATCGGAGGGTAGCTCATAATCCACCGGGATATCATGGAAGCCGGGAACCTGTAGCTGGCCATTCCCGGTATTGTCCAATTGAATGGAAGACATTGATTGTACGGTGGGTGTGGCTCAGGCTGCAGTGGCCGAGACACACGGGTTCAATGCAGAGAGAGCAGAAAGGGATGGAGGAGAATGGAGACTGACTCCGAGACGGCGTGAGAAGCTAAAGCCGGATGTAGGTAATATAGTGTTCCAGGTCGTTCACCAAAGCCACCGGAAACAACGGCAACCCGCACGCTAGTGGTCAGTGTTTTTATATCGGGTATTACCGTATTACAGCTGTATTGGGGCTTAGAGTCACGATAAATACATGGCTTCAATATTGCTGACTCGCACTCGACAGGTGAAAGGGGGTGGATCGTGGGCTGTGGACTGTGGATTGTTTGGTGAAGATCTATGAGATGGTAAGCGGAAGGGACTATATATATGAGAGAAGGTAAAATGGCCCTTTGAAAGACATGCTTCCTTCGTTTTTTGTTATAGCTTCTTGCTATGTCCTCTCTTTCCATCCAACTTTCATACATTCTGGAACGTCTTTTCTGCTTTCAGTCGCTCTCTTTCTGTGTTCCTCTCAACTTTCTTTCGCCACGATGCTGATTCTCTTACAATTCATTCTTTCACTATGCCTGGCATCGCTCCAAGTCCAGGCTCGGGCTGTCTTCGCCCACTTCATGGTATCAAATACCTTGCAATATACCGTGGACGACTGGGAGAACGAAATGACGCTGGCCAACGAGGCCAACCTCGATGCCTTTGCTCTGAACATTGCGGTCGGGGATGCCACCAACACCGGGTCTGTTGCCAATGCCTTCTTGGCAGCTGAGAACGTGGGCTTCAGCCTGTTCTTCAGCTTTGACTACGCCGGGAACGGGGCATGGGCCGAGTCCGACGTGGTCAGCATGATTTCTACCTACGCGCAGACTGGGGCGTATTTCCAGCATGCCGGCAAGCCCCTCGTCAGCACCTTCGAGGGCCCGGACAACGCGGCCGACTGGGTCTCAATCAAAGAGCAGACGGGGTGCTTCTTTGTTCCGGACTGGTCCTCAGTTGGGGCAGAGGCAGCGGCGGGGCTCGCGGACGGTGTCGCGGACGGGCTGTTCAGCTGGGCAGCGTGGCCGTACGGCCCCAATAACATGAACACGTATACTGATGCCTCGTATATTGACTTCTTGGACGGCAAACCATACATGATGCCGGTCTCTCCGTGGTTCTTTACCAACATGCCTGGATACAACAAGAACTGGCTCTGGCGGGGCGACGATCTTTGGTACGACCGCTGGGAACAAGCGATGTACCTGGCGCCCGAGTTCATTGAGATCATATCGTGGAACGACTTCGGCGAGTCCCACTACATTGGGCCTATTCAAGCTTCCGGGTCAGCCCTTGCCGACTCGACGTACACGGCATTCGGCACCGGCGAGGCCCCCTACAACTATGTGCTGGACATGCCACACGACGGCTGGCGGGTGTTCCTCCCTTGGTTGGCTGACACGTATAAGCAGAACATCTCAAGCATCACGCAGGAGGGAGTCCAGGCGTGGTATCGGCGCAATGTCGGGGGAGAGTGCGCGTCTGACGGCGGAACCACGGGCAACACTGCCAGCCAGCTGCAGCTGGAGTACTGGCCCTATGAGATCGGACAGAACAAGGTCTTCTTTTCTGCATTGCTCGGATCAACGGCGGACATCACCGTAACGATTGGTGGCGAGGACATGGGTGCACAATGGAACAGCACTCCCAGCGGGGGTGCAGGTATGTACCATGGATTTGTGAGCTTCTCTGTCCAAGCAGGCGCGGTCGAGGTTGCAATCTCGCGCAACGGGGCCACTATTGCTAGTTTCACGGGAGCGGACATCGTGATCGGGTGCTCAAGCAGCACAAATATCGAGAATTGGAATGCCTGGGTGGGGAGTGCCATGGCCTCGGCCACGATTGATGCCAAGCCAACATACTCGCTCTTGGACGCCGTGTGTATCGAGGGGTGGGGGACGGGAAACTTCGACGGACTCTGTGCGTTTACCTGTAGTCTGGGGTATTGCCCCGTTGGGGCGTGTCTGTGTAAGAAGATGGGCCCGCAGCCGGAGCTGCCCAAGAGTCTGGGAGTGGTAGGATATCCCATCGCGGGGGAGACGGCGGATTACAGTGGGCTTTGTGCCTTCGCCTGCAATTACGGGTATTGCCCGCCTGCGGCTTGCGGGACAACCGAAGTAGCCCTGACCGTTACCACCGCCTCGCCATTTACCCCGGCCACCTGTACCGCGGGACAAGGGGAGGGAGATCTCGCCGGGCTCTGCAGTTACGCCTGCAACTATGGATTCTGCCCTATCCACAATTGCACTTGCACGTCCACGGGGCCCTTGAATGTGCCCCCTGTCGCGAACACCAGCATCTACGGATTCTACAGCGGAAGCGGCTCTGACAGTGGGTTGTGCGACTTTGCCTGCGAGCGAGGATACTGTCCGTCGCCTACATGTTTGGACGATGCAACCACGACCGGCACCGGGGATGGTGATGACGATGACGACGATCTAGTTTGTGCGGACGATGGGACGGACACGCGTGCCGTGTGTGACGAGGAGTCTTACACTGGTTGCGACTACAGCGTCTCGTTCACCAGCTTCAACGACCTGTCCACCGCTGCCGCAAGCTACAACGCCAGCTGTGTGAACTACTATCTTATCGGTGTCTTGTCGAGTATGCTAGACGACACCCTGGCAAATTACACCCAGATGAACGGCAGCTACCATGATAAGTTCGAAGACTATGTCAGCTTCGTCAAGGAGGAGGTGCCGAACACGCTGGATACGCTGATGGCGGCGGGGGGCGCGGGGAACGCCTACTTCGAGTGCACGTACAGTGCGGGCGGGATCACGAACATCTCCACCACGAGCTGTCCGTACCAGGTCCCGCAGACCGCGGACGACGTGGACGTCAACAGCGTCATCTACTACGATCTGGTGAATGCGACGGGGTGGTGGGACATGCTGTTGAGCGACTACGGGCTGCAGTCGAGCTGGGTGCAGCTCGGCGAACGCGTCATCCAGAACTACTGCTCCCCCACGGCGACGAACACCCTCACGGGCTCGATCTGCCACGAGCAGACCTACACCTGGAAGGGCTACCCCGTGGCCGCAACGGATCTGGTGGTCGCTGACCCGGCCACCATCATTCAGACGACGTTGCCCAACATCCAGAACCTGACCGAGACGCTGACCCTCACGCGGATCCTGATCAGCTCCGGCGCGTGGGGCGGGTCCCTGGATGACATCGTGCTGAGCGTGTCGACCGCCGTGTTCACCCTCGTGCAGGCCGTGCAGAACATGGCCCAGATTGAGGCGATCGCGACCCAGTACGAGGAGGCGCAGAAGAAGGAGCTGATCGAGGAGATCATCGGAGCGCTGTTCCTGGTCGTGCCGTTCCTCGGCGAGATCGACGTCATCTCGGAGAGCCTCGCGGGGTTGGCCGATATTATCACCATGATCGGCGACACGGCCATGCTGGCCGACAGTATTTACGAGGTAGTGTCGGCCAAAAGCGCCAAGGACGCCATCCTAGGCATCTTCGGGGTGCTCCTGCTCGGCGGAGTGCGCTCCGTCGAGGAATTCAGCGACATGGCGAATCTCCGCCGCGGCCTATCGGCGGACGATATTGCCAAGATCGGTCCGGACTGGGAGGAGGCCGATACGGAAATGAACAAGTTGGTAGATGTTTGCTTCTAGTTGAAGTTTGACATGATAGAAGCATATAGATATAGGTTCATGAGAAAACTCCGAGAGGTATGCCAAGTCAGCCCTCGAGCAGAAAATAGCAATCTTTATGGCTTGTTTTCCTCGGGTATTCAGTTCAGTGATGTTGGTGGTGGTGGTGATGGTGGTAGTAGTAGTATTCCACGGTAGTATTAGCAGAAAGTCCTTCTTCCAAGCTTGATTAGTCCTACATCTGGGTAACTTCGTTGTCACCTACACACCATTTTCACGCCACCCTGACCTCCCAAACACTTCTAGCCTACCTCCTGTGCACTGTACCGATTTACTGTGCCTATTGCCACACAAAAGAAGAGAGAGAGACCGACCCTCTACCCAAACCTAAAGTTCAACGTCGCATCCCCCTCCGTCCCCAGCGAAGGCGGCAAATCCCCGACTCTCTGGCCCCAAGAACTCTCATTCCTTCCCAGCCAGAGAACCAATTCCCTCCCCTCGGTGAAGAAATCATGCCCCACGTAGCTTTTCGTGTACGGTTGTCCATCCAACGTCGCCGACTGGATGTATACCGCCTGGTAGCTCGGATCGAAGCCCACCGTGCGCACGCGGGCCGTCTTGCTCGTGAGCGGGGAGGTGATGTTGACGCTCTCAAAGAACGGGGCCGTGATTAGATACACGTTCTGGCCAGGATTAGGGAACAGGCCCATCATCGTCATGGCCACGAACGATCCCATGGCACCCGAGTCGTCGTTGCCCGGCAGGCCCGTGGGCGTCGGGTTGAAGAAGGCCGGGATGTAGGTGTGGGCGCGCGCGGTGGATTTGCCCGGCCGGCCGGCATAATGGTACTGGAAGACGGTCAGGAAGGCGGGCTCATTGCCGATGTAGGTGATGCCGCGGTCGTGGAGATAGTCGAGGCGGCGAGTGAAGGCGTCGGGGCCGCCGAGGAGGGTAATGAGGGTGGACATGTCGTGGGGGACGAAGCTGAGTCGTGGTTCGTGTTAGTGCTTGTGGATCCGTTGAGGCAAATATTCAAAGCGAGAGTTTGACGAACAATTGATATTCCCAGATGCTGGATTCAAAGGTCTCCGCGGCGTTGTTCTGCAGGGAGCAGGATCGGCCGCTTGTGTCGATGTTAGAACATGTTAATGGGTCCTAAGCCAGGTATTAGTCTGCCACTTCGAGAGGCTATTGGCGATTGTGTCATAGTGGCGTGTTGTAGGTATACGAACCTGGTATCCCCATGTGCCGTTCAAGTATTTCGGCTGGAAGAAGCCCTTGAATCCAGTATCCGTGCCGTTGAGAAATGAGGTCTGATCTGCACGGAAGAGATTCTGCCAATATCTTGCAGTCCTTTCGAACTTTTCCGCATCGCTCGTCTTGCCCATCCCTCGAGCCATTTGTGCGATGGTGAAGTCATTGTAGGCGTATTCTAGCGTGCGGGATATACTTCTTGTCAGGGTTCCGAAGCCAATGTAGTCAAAGTCCTCCACGGGGATGTAGTTCAGTGCCTTCCAGCTCTGCAACCCTCCCCGGCCTTCGTTGGACCAATCAAACGGCTCTTCTTCCGCATCTTTCTGCACCGCTGCATACCCGTCTTCCCAGTCAATCCCGTTGCTGATGTTCTTGACATATGCATCTGCAAGCACAACATCTGCATTGGAGCCTCCCTGCGTGTAGCCTGCAATTCAATTAGCACCGATTGCGTCTCATCCCATCGGTACATACCTTTGCAGAGTGACATGCGACAGTCCGGTAGCCATCCAAGATGTCGTTGCGTATCAATCAGGGAACGAACCATCCGAGTCAACGATGCAGGATCAAATATTGTCAGGAATGGAAGCTGAGATCGGAAGGAATCCCAAAGGCTGCACACGTTAGAAGAGAAACCAATGCCACAACGACTTGCTTACCAGTAGAAAGAGTCAAAGTATGGCTCCTCACTTTCCCATAACGGATTCTCTCCGGTGTAATCTTGAGGATTGACCATGGTCCTGTAGATCCCACTGTAGAAGTTGGTCAAGGTAGATGCGTTCACCCCGTTTCTGGATACCCTGATTGGTGCCATCTTCTCTGTCCACTTATCCACGGCTGCCGCACGGGTCTTATCGAAGTCAAAATTGGGCAATTCAGTCTCTGCATTTTGACAAGCCTGCTCACTACTGATAAAACTTAGGCCCACGCGGGCTTGGACTGTGATTTCAGAGGCTGCCTTGAAGCGTACAAAAGCACCGCCCTAAAACTGGTCAATAAGGAACACAATAGTAGCTGAAGCTACATACCGGCAGAGGGTAGCCATTGATGCTGCGCGAGATTGTTAGATTCTTGACATCACTACTAGCCCGCGCATCTACAAAGATACCAGTGTCTCGAAGCTCAGCTGCGCTCTGGTAGTCAGCACAGAAGTATGGCACATAAGAGCCACTTCCAAAGCTTGGTAAGAATCGTGCATGGCCAGTCATGCGTCCTGTCGTAGTATCGACGGCAATAGTCCCATTATCTTGGCGCGTGTCGGACAAGTCCGAAAGATCCAACAAGATGAGAGGACTCGATGATACATTGGTGGGAAACCGGAACCGGAACAGAGACACATGATGAGTCGTAGTCATATCCACCTGAATCCCAGAGCTCATTGTCAAGCCAAAATATCCCGGACTTGATTTGACAGAAGCGGGGTCATAGGCCGTCTTTCGCTCCTTCTTCGGGTAGACGCAGCCATTGACGTCGTCATTCTGGCACGTTGTATAAGGAAAAAGAGGAAAGTTCCCGAGAGAGGGTTGGCCGCCGGTGCCTGAGTCGTGCAGACTGGAGAAGCCGGTGATACGACTCCCGTCGAACGCAAAGCCCCCTTGATTGTTTTGCGAATCTGTATCGGCTACGGCTTTGGCCATGCCATAGGGAATTGTCGCGCCTGCAAAGACATTTCCTGAATTGATATTGTCAGAACGATGCTCACAAGACAGAAAAGGGAAGGCTGGCGGGACATACCTCCATTAGCACTTCCAATGAGAGGATTGATGTATTGCAGGACATCGTAGTCATCAATTGCTGCCGAGGTAGGGTCAGACGAGCCCAGAACGACTGGCAGGATCAAAAGGAGCGAGATAGAACTCCAAACGGCCATCGTGAGTGCCATAGGAAGAACGAAACGAGGGATAAGGCGCGCGTGTGGGCGAGCTGGAAGCCGAGATGAACAATCGCTCTGGCATGCAGGCGCGGACTGTCAAGGGGCACGATGATTGCCCCTGCCACAAAAAGAGCTGGGCGAGCATCTTGCCGGCCTAGCATAATGCCCCTGGCAGCCTTGACAGGGTCATGAATGCAATGTAACCATTGTAGCTCCATCGCTCTGATGAGAGTCAATGTGATTGTGCAGAGCGAGGTTGCTAGTCACACTTCCCGCAGAGAAGCGCGAATCACCTTGCAGGGGGAAGGGGCAAGGCACCGTTCGAGGTGTCGTTTAAATTCTGACCGGCCCATAAGAATTTCAAGGGATGTCGTACAATGCATCAAAGGCATTGAGAGGGACTCAATGACGGTGGAATAATAGTACTGATTGTCGGGGGTGGAATGAATGGAGCGAGAAGCTCATTGTGTACAGTCCAGTACAAGAGGGTTGACATGTGGGTTGTACTGGACTGTGCCTGTACTACAGACAAGCCACGGTCCAGTGACTTTGTGACTGCAAAACAGCTAAACATTTCCATTCACAATCACTACGGTACTTTAGCGACCTCAACTCCTCCATCGACTCTCATTATTTCAAACTACCATTCCCCATCCTTTTCAGCCTCGAAAATTCAACAAAAATTCCCGAGAGATAATGAGATTATACTACGATACTCTAACCTCCGAGAGAGCGATGAGCCTCGGCTCCTGCTGTGCCGCACCAATCAGCAGGGCGGGCGGGCGGAGCTTCTGGAGGGGATTCGGCGGCGGCGGGTCTCTCTTTCTGATCATGTTCCAGTTCCAGTTCCACTGTCTCGCCGACTCTCGATGGATCCGCAACTCTCACCGCGATAGTCTTCAGTAATCCAGTAAATTGGGTTCTTGGTTCGGTCCGAGGGATCCATTGCGGCTTTCTTTCCCAGACCACCCGCTTCCCCTTTCTCTGTTGCCCCTGCCGTGCTGCTTTTTTGCAGAGTCTCGCCGCCATGCCGCAGGTCCCAACAGTTCGCCTGGGATCCACTGCGATCCTCAGCAGTGTCCAACAGCCTCTTCGCTCTTTATCTTCTTCTCGTCTGCCTGCCGCAGCTTCAAACCGCTCATCTCTACGATCTTGTCGCTTCTCCCCGGCTCCGAAACCATCGTGTCGGGCATATTCTTCCACAGGTTCGTCCCGTCCATGCGACCAACATGAAAGAACAGCCGAACTTACCTATACATCTCTCTGCGAACCATACAGCCACTCCTCCCCCTCCTCGATCTCGTCTCCGCCGCTTTCTTGGCTTCACGTCACTCGCCGTTTTTGCCTTCATCGCCGGAGGATCCTACCAGACCCTGAAGACCGCCTCAGGCATGATGGACCTCCGACTAAGCACCGACGAGGAGACCCTCTCCGCCTTCATCCCCGGTGATGAGTTCACTAAGGAAGTAGACGACTACATTCGCAACCATCCACTGGCCGTCTCGCTGCGCGAAGACCCCGCCTTCACCGAATCCCGCCCACACCTAAAGATGCCGGCACAGATGCGCGCGCGCAGTCTCACGGGCGGAACGCTGGCCGGGCCAGAAATGATCGTCGTGCCGCCGTTGGTGTTCTGCGAGGAGGGTGGGAAGAGCCTGGTATCTCTACTCTACCTTGGTCCCAGCCTCTGCGGGCATCCCGGAATCGTGCACGGCGGTCTCCTGGCCACCTTGCTGGACGAGGCCATGGGCCGCTGCTGCTTCCCCGCGCTGCCGAACCGCGTCGGCGTCACCGCCAACCTGAACCTCGACTATCGCCTTCCCGCAATGGCCGGTAACTACGTCGCGCTGCGAGCAGAGACGGTTAAGGTGGAGGGTCGCAAGGCCTGGGTGGAGGCGCGCATCGAAACGCTGCCAGAAGATGGCAAGGAGCCGAAAGTCCTGGTAGAGGCGAAGGCGCTCTTTATTGAGCCTAAGCAGGCTGCGGTAAGTTCGGCTTCTCTTGGGGCGCGTGCGGGACCGGTAAAGGCTAACGAAATTTCCATAGGCAATGTCCTCTCTGTACAACGTCACCGCTTAGACCATTAGACCATCGATACATATTTCCCTTACATGCGGTTTTTGTCATCCCATGGAAGCATTGGGTCTCGGAAATCGCCATGACTAGATCGTTCTTCAAGCGTATAGATGATATTTTCAGTTTATATAAATATTTAAAGTTATCAGAATACTGTGTATGTATTTTACCTGTTTTGCCCGGCCCCGTTGCGAATCTACTGGCATATCGGATATTTACTACTGAACATAACCTGTCCGCTATGGTCAGAAGACTTTCAACAATGTCTTGGGCTGCGAACGACGATCTGTGGACAGCCTTTCCCGAACGCCTTATTGGCCTAAAAGCAGATTCGACAGAGCCCGCGGCGAGAAGGGAGGATGCGTCTCCGTGGCAAATTCCTGGTTCCAGCAGACGTCGAAGGCAGCAAGCGGAAGACATCGGAATGCAGCGTTGAGCCTTGCCTCGAGGTATACATTCTCGTTGAGCCAGTGAGCAATAAAATGCCCTCCATGCGTTCATTGGCCGAAGAAAATGGAATATGACTGGTGTCACAGGTAGAGGGCGAGATATCCCTCTTTACTACTTTACAATTGGATTCTATGACAGACTTAAATACCGGTTTAAGCTACAGTGCCATTGAGAGGTATGGAACTGGCGACTACTGCACACTGCCAGCAACCTTGGCACCTTCAGGGTCGTGGGCCACTACCTCGATCTCCACGCGCATGTCGTCTTCGCCCAGACGAGTAACGCCAACGCAGGTCCAGAGCGGCTCATGGTCTGGCATATACTTCTTGAAGTTGCGAACCATTGCATCCAGTGCTTCGTTATTGATGGGCACATGGTATGAATTGACCCGGTACACCTGGGACCAGCCTTTGCCTCCAGCATCCTTGAGACAGAGCTCTACGTTGGAGAAGGCGAGGTCAATCTGAGCATTGATCTCTTTCGCAAACTCTCCTGTCTTGGGATCCCAGCCGCCTTCGATCTTCTGGATCAGCAAGAGTGTCTCGTACCTGAAAAAGCAGATTTGAGAATCTTTTTCTTACCTTGGCCTGAGCATTCGATCCAGTCTCCGATACGGACGGTTTGGCTGTAGCGGAATACCTTCTGTTGGCGGACTCCATGGCCCTCGTATGCGTAGAACTTGAGGTGGGACATAACGATGAATAGCGAGTGATAAGTCAATGGAGTTATATCGGTAGAATGGAGGTTTGTATCTTGTGAGCAATCGGCTTTGCAGTACGTTCTTCAAGTGATTCTTAGAAGAGGGAAGGTTAAATACTGGCCCATGGTGTTTAGTTCGCCGCCGAGCCCGGAATATGAATTCCTATCGACATTATCAACTCGCCCCGTTATCGATTAGCGAATTTCCTCCCTGTCGCTCTCCATCCTTTCAGCAGCGGAGTCTCCACTCACCCCAGCATTGAAACTCGCTCAAAGGCCCCAGACTGAGTAGGACATATTGATGAGGATATCAATGGAAGCACATCGCCAACAGCGCTGCTCAAAGAAGCGATCGACCACGGTCCGAGCTCAGTATGCGGCACAAGCTTGTCAGGAATGTCGGCGTCGAAGAGCAAAGGTATAGCCTCACAGACAAACCATGCAACATGCAGTGCGGGTGGACGACAGCAAAGTTAGCTCACTGCTCTATAGTGTGATGGTCGCAAGCCTTTGTGTGCTCGGTGTCTGAACCGCGGCTTGGAATGCGTGTTTAACACCCGAGATGACAACCGCGGCACGGCGCCGAAATCGCTGGTGATGCAGCTTCAAGCGCGCATCCAGCAACTCGAGCAGGTGCTATGGCTTCATTCCATTGATATTGACTCGTCTATCGCTCAGCTCAAGGCTGGGCATCTTCCACCGATCTCCTCCTACTCCCAACAACAGTCGAGAAAAGAGGAGCCCGATGGAGCACTGTGCGCAAATGGGCCTTACGGTTTGAACGACAAGGACGGCGGTGAAGAGGAGGTGCGCTTTTTCGGCTCCAGCAGTGGGCGGGGGGAATTACTGCAATCAACTCCTTGTATGTCTTTAATCGAGATCCGTCTAAGTTGATGACTGACGAGCATGACCACGCTTCTCTGCTTCTGCTGTTGCAGTGCTCAGCAACTCCGAACTAGGCTCTTTACCACGCACCTCACTTCGCTCGGGCATGAACCGGTTCCTTCAGGACCCTGATTTAGTCCCCCCTATCGCCGAGGAGCTACAAGAACATCTCATTGCACTCTATTTCCAGTGGGAGCAACCGTGGCTTCAGCTTGTGGATGAGCAACTTTTTCGACAGAGCTTGCACCAGGAGGGGCGATACTGTAGTCCATTACTGCTTCATTGTATACTTGCTATGGGCGCTCGCTACTCGGAAAGACTGGAGGTGCGCTCCACGCCGGACGACCCGAACACTGCAGGCGAAAGTCTCTTGGAAGTTGCCGAAGTACTGCTTCATTTTGATCTCCGGTCCCCAAGTATCACTACCATCCAGTCTCTTGGTATCATGGCCATATTTTACGTTGTAAGTGATTAGCAGCTCCTCGAACTATTCTTCGCCCTCTCCGACTTGTGTTTGGAAGCTGAAATCTATTCCTTGGTTGAGGCAATTGGGTCTGACTCTAAGGGCTGGCTTCGCCATGGGATGGCCATCCGCTTGGCGCTGGATATGGGACTGAATCTAGATTCTGCGACTCTGGAAAGGACTCATCGATTTCCCGAGGTGGAGATCAAGCTCCGCAGGCAGATATATTGGGCTCTTTACTGTACCGATAAGCTTTGGGCAAGCTACACCGGGCGTGTCTGCACCATGTTGGTATGGAGTCTTACTTCTCCTCGCCATTCCACCCCTTCCGAATTTGCTCACAGGAGTGATCGAGTGTTAGGACTCCCAATCCTCGGTGGAATTGCCCCTGTCAGAAGCTGCGTCGGACAATTCCGCGCCCACGCAGATGCTTTCAATGCTTCTCCATTCCCTGTCCACCCACTGCCAGATCCTTGGAAAGATACTTATGAAACTGTCAGTGCATCCCTCCGAGAGAACAACTTTCCGCGCGCCTCTTCCGGGACTGACGTGCGCAAACTAACGATGGTAAAGCTACGCTCCGGGAAAATTGCCGCCTGGTATTCAGAGAACCACATTCTTTGACTCCTGTCTGCTCGAGCTCAAAAGCTGGAAATATCACCTACCCGTGGCGCTACAATGGAAACGGGCAAGTAGTAGGGGCAGTAGTAGTCCGATCATGCCGCACATCCTCATTCTACATATGGTTTATAACACTTCAATCATCATCCTTGCCAAGCCGTTCTTGTCCAAGTCGTCGTCGCCGTTCCGCACAGCCGCCGCGGCCTCCGAAAACCGGACGATGCCCGGCATCCCAGTTGCAACGGCGGCCGCTGCAGACATAACGAGGAAAGCGTCGTCCCTGTGCGTGGAGGCATCCCGAGACATCTGTCTGCTGAGTGAGCATTACCGAAAGATCTTTGGAGGGTTCCGGCAGAGTCCCATCACAGCTATGCACTGTACGTTATCTGCGGCGCTCTTCCTGATTTTAGATGACCATCATCATTATCACGAGGAACCCAGGATTGAACCCGACATAAGAAGCAAGTGGATCAGATCATGCTTATCGACCTTGCGTGAACTCGGGGTTTCATGGACGACAGCCACAAAATACTGGCACGGGCTGCGTTGTCTCCTCAAGGATCGTGATCATCAAGGAATGTTGCCCACAAGAGGCTTAGGACACATAGAAGCGATCCCTTCACCGCGTGATAGCCTGACTGCGATCGATTGCGACGACACCGTAGGAGAGCCTGAGTTCCATACTCCAATCAATATCACTGCAGAAGCGGCGGCCAACGGATCGTCCCAATGGGACCAATGCGCGGGGCAACAGCAGCCAACCTGTCTGGATATGGACGCGACAGTGCATACCAATCTGACATTCGAGGAACTTTTGTCGGACTTACCCCATGATTTTGGCTTTTTGGCAGCAATGGGTTCGTCTACACCCCCGGACTTGTGGGGATTCTATTAGTAGAGTAGGGATCATTCCGGGGAGCTCATTCATGGAAATATATTGAATACTATCAGACGTTCACGATGTCGTTCTCCCCCCTGACTTTTGTTCTTTCTTTTCTTGTCCTACCCTGGTTTTCTGCAAGGGGCAGTAAGATGTTTTCTGATCTTTTTCACATATATACCACTAGCTTGCCAATGGTCTGGTTATCGGCCATACGCTGCATTTGTTCGGGCACTTCTTGGAGCGCCAGCTTGGTGATGCGGGGCATGATTTGGCCGCTTCGAATGTATTGCATTACTTCCAATGCCTCACGATGGCCACCCATGAGATTCCCAGCCAGGTGCAAGTTTCGCTCGACAACCGAGTGGATTGGAAGTGACACCATGTTGCTGCGTCCTTTGGGTACTCTGCGAAGAGACGAGATGATTTGTGAGCCCTTGAGCAAGCTATTACATGGAATTCCTGGGAAGGATGGAGAGGTGTCTTACCCAGCGCAGACTATCGTGCCCCCATCACAAACATACTCATCCAACCGTTGAAAGGAAGAAACCGAGCTGCTCGTGACAATCACCGCCTCAGCAGCACGTGCGACGCCACCATTACGACCATGGCCGCGGCGGAGTTGCGCACACGCCTGAAGCAGCCTCTCATGGAAGCCTTGCCAGGTGTAACCCTCCTCATAAGACTCCGGCGCTCCGAGCAAAATTTCGCAGTAATCTTGGTAATCTTGATGTTCTTGAGTCACCGCACGGGTTTTGGCGGCGAGGTCCACGCCGATCACTCGTGCTCGCTGAACCTGCTTCGCCAGCATCCCCGTCAAATGGCCTATCGCCCCCAGAACGCCAACCACGACGACTACATCTCCGGGGGAAATTCTGGCCGCCCGCAGTGACACCAACGCCGTTGATCCCGAGCACAGGGCGCTTGTGTACAGGGCAGGATCAATGCTGCTGCTTCCGTCAAAGAGGTTCTTCGGCAAGGGAACGAGACAGGAGATAGGAATCGTGGCGAAGTGTTGAAAAGTCCCTGAAATCTGGATGGGGACGTTCAGCTGGAAGGGGCATGAGGTGGGTATACCGCGCAAACAGTATGTGCAGGATTGACAGTGCGAGCCCAGATAACGAACGCCGTACAGACGGCCCAGCAAGGATGAATCGGAGCAGCTGACGACTCGTCCGATGCCTTGATGGCCCGCGATATGGTTGTGCTTTGATGTAGGCCATTGGGGGCTTACGGAAAAGGTTATATCCTAAATAGAATGCTTTGTCAATTTTGCATTCTGACTGGGGAGATTTCAAAACAAAGCAGACCCCAACGGCGAAGGGGATGCATTTTCGAGGTCTGATCATCTGGTCGAACTTACACTGCGGCAGATTCCCGAGTATAGTATGCGAAGAACAGCTTCTCCGGGGGCTGGCACGCGGACATCGATCGTTTGAAGGCTCATATTAAGATCCTCTTCTATCTCCGGGGTAACAACGGCTTCTTGGGTTTCGGGCACATCTGGCATGTCTACCGACTCAGTGCCCTTCAAACTAGGCTTCCAATTTGAGCTTGCGCTTTCCGCGTCCACACATGAACATGATTGGGGTGCAGAGAGACTGTCGACGGCGATGATATTCTCGGGTAAGGGATCCATATTGTTGGCGCTGCGAAGACGGGTTTCTGGATGTGTATAGAGGGCGAACGTGTGGTTGTGGGGATGGGGGGGAGGGGATATAAAGGTGGTTACGTCTTCGAAGAGCCCCCGCAAAGAACAGAATCAGATCTACATCCTGCAACCTCCAATCAGCCATTACGGCGGAAACGAGTGCAGTCAGCAGGGGGAAGATGAATTCCTTTCGAATGGTAAGCATCGTGTTCCGAACGGGCGGAATGTGAATTCCGCCTCGATCCTAGTTGAGTCTTTCCCCACACTCGTCAACGAGGATAATTGTTATCGATATAAAATGATAAGGAAACTCTCCTCTCGTCGCCGAGGTACCAGAACACACCTTGTTTGCGGAAGAGAATTGAACGAAAACCACCATGTCAGACCTAAACACCGAATCCTTGCTAGCTCGCTTGACACTGGATGAGAAATTGGCGTTGATCGCGGGACAGTCCCAGTGGCGGACCGCAGCGATTGATCGCCTGAATATTCCTTCTCTCAAGGTGAGCGAGTCTGCAAATAGTCATATCAAAGCATTGATCCATGAATGCTGATACATCAGCTTTTAACCCCAGGTGTCGGATGGACCATCCGGGGCGCGTGGAGAAGTCTTTGGAGAGAACACACCAGCGGCTTTCCTGCCCTGTGGCGTGAGTCTTGGGGCCACATGGGACCCAGACCTTCTACATGAAATCGGACAGTTACTGGCAGATGAGGTGAGTCGGTCTCTTTCTGAGGACGATGAGGTCAACCAAGAGTCCAGAACCTAAACTTTTGAGGGAAGTGCAAAACAAAATCCGCCTCGGTGCTCCTCGGTCCCACGATTTGTATTCATAGACACCCCCTTGGTGGACGCAACTTTGAGGCATATAGTGAGGATCCCTATCTCACTGGTAAGCTAGCCATTGCCCATGTTCGGGGCATCCAGTCCCGCGGCATTGGGGCCACGCCCAAGCATTTCGTTGGTACGCATCCCACTACGCAAAGGCTTTGTGTGCTTGTGTTTTCCAAGTCTAAATACTCATTCATTTTAGCCAACGATCAGGAAACTAGGCGGTTCAAAATAGACGCCAAGGTCGCTGCCCGTGCTCTGAGGGAGGTTTATCTGCTGCCGTTTCAGATGGTCGTCCGTGATGCCGACCCCTGGTGTATGATGACTGCGTATAACAAGGTCAATGGTCGCCATTGTGATGCATCCCGTGAGCTGCTCATTGACATCGCCCGTGGTGAGTGGGACTGGCGCGGGGTCTTCATGAGCGATTGGGGAGGCACCACGTCTACAGTCGCGTCGATCAATAACGGCCTCGACCTCGAGATGCCTGGGCCACCTACCAAACGCTCGAGAGATGCATTGGAGGAGTCCCTCCAACAAGGCATGGTGGACCTGGACCGAGTGACCGAGTCCGCTGGTCGCATCCTGCGTCTTCTCCATCGGACGAACAGGTTTGCTGGCCCTAGGGATGACCCAGAGCGATGCGAGGACACGCCGGAGAAGAGGGCCTTGCTTCTTCGCGCTGCGACCGCGGGTATTGTTATGCTGAAGAATAGCTCGTCAGCTCTTCCACTCAAACCCGTAGACTCTCTCCGCAAAGTCGGCATATTTGGTCCCAACGCGCAAAGGGTAGTCGCGGGCGGGGGAGGTAGTTCCTACATCAAAGCCCAATATTGGACTTCAGTCTACGGTTCAATGAAGCATGAGCTTCGTGAAACCCAGACTGAATTTGTCAGTTTACCAGGAGCCAAAGTCAATCGATACCTTCCCATTTGTGAGGTGGCCAGGGACCCAGACACTGGCATGTCCGGAGCAGCTGTCGACTGGTACAACGGTGTTGGACTTGATGGTGAAATAGTAGTGACTACTCACATCTCAGTTCGGCTCTTCTATGCTACCTAAAGTACCTTGCTAACCACGCTTGAATCAGTGACGATTTGTATTTCATGTCTTTCGGAACCGTTCCACCCGAAGTGAATGATGCAACCAATTTTTCCTTTCGCCTTCGTGCCAAAGTCCGGCCACGTACAACCGGCTCCCATTCGATTTCTCTCGCCTCCATTGGCCCTGCAAAGCTTAGTCTTGACGGGTCCCTACTCCTGGAGCAATCTGGGGCCTACGAAGAGAAAGGCAATCTCTTCTTCACATACGGGAGTGAGAAAACTTGCACCTGGGACTTCGAGGCTGAAAATGACTATGAGCTCCAAATTGATTACAGATGCCATGGTCGCCAGCGTGACCCCAAGCTTTGCTATCTGCTGGACCCAATGGAAGATCAGTTTCAGGGGATCCGGCTCGGCTTCGAGGAGGAAGATCGTCGGGACCGACCTAGCGAGGCCGCCAAACTGGCTGTGGACTGCGATGCCGCCATCGTGGTTGTGGGCCGTGATAGAGAGTGGGAGACGGAAGGCCAAGACGTGCCGTTCTTCGATCTGCCCGGCGAGCAAGTGCGCTTAATTCGCAGTGTAGCTGCTGTCTGCAAGCGCACCATTGTGGTCGTACAGGCCGGAACACCCGTGAACATGGACCCGTGGCTACAAGACGTGCAGGCTGTGCTCTACACCTGGTATCAGGGCCAGGAGTTGGGCAACGCGGCGGCCGCAGTTCTCTGTGGCCATGCCAACCCTTCGGGTCGACTGCCTGTCACATTCCCGCGGCGGATCGAAGACTGTCCTGCCTACTCATCGTTTCCAGGTGAGGCGGACGAGGTCTATTACACTGAGGGCCTATTTGTCGGCTATCGATGGTGGGATCTGCTATCTATCGAACCGTTGTTTCCCATCGGATTTGGCCTCTCATACAACGAGTTCGAGGTGGCGCCGGGCTCGATCAGCACACACACCTTATCAATCGGCTCTTCCGAGTTGACTGTCACTGCGCATGTGACCAACACCGGTGGGAGCGAATTGCCAGGTCGGGAGACTGTGATTGCGTGGTTCTCTCCGTACGGACCAACGAGACTGAGGCGGCCGAAGAAACAGATCTGTGGCTTCGCCAAGTCTCGGCCATTGCTGCCCGGTGAGACGCAGGAGGTCGAGATCCAAATCGACTACCGGTCTTTGGGGATGTTTGACACTAGTAGGTACCTTTGGATCATTGACGCTGCTAGTGAAGTGGAGATATCGCTGGGAACGACGGCGTCCAACGCGGTGCCTGTGGGACGTGTGACGGCAGGTCAGGAGATGACTTGGAGCAAATAGATTCTGTAAATGAACAAAGAAAGACCTACTTCGCATGACTCAAGGCCAAATTAGAGCGGCCCGAGAGTCTTCGGCTCTATACCACACAAAACAGATAACTACATGCTTGACATAACACTTCTAAACCCAGTTCTCCCTTGCCATCGTTGTCACTATACTGATCGGGTCCTATATCCAGCAATTTTTGTCTCCAGCAGCAAGCTGCGGATACTGATGCTCGGAAAGTTCATCGGCTGTTACACTAAGAACAGTTCTGAATATGGGTTCCGATTAATCTTCTCTTTCTGCATGAGGGAATTCCAAGGCCGGTACAATCTGTATAAGCATGGCATACATTACATCCAGATTGGGTGAAAGTTTACCGGAAATCATAGTCCGTGATTTCGCCTATTCTTCCCTTTTTTTCATCGATCCCTTGTTTGTCAGGCTGAAAAGAAGATGACTTATACTTGAGTCCGTATGTACTGTGTGTGGTGTTTAGTGCTAGGGCTTAAGGACTCCACCTGGCGGTGGATACTGCGGTAGATAAGTTCGCGCTCACGACTCAGACATGAGTAGGTAGATAGTTACTAGATAGGCCTAGATACGTACAGGTACGTACAGATACGGGGTAATCTCCACCGCGGAAGGTGAATTCCGCCCCCTGGTGGTGGGTTTTACCCCGGATCATGAATACTATACTACTGTAGTACTTACAGTCTAGCCAAATCTTGATACTAATGTACATGTCTAGTACTTGGAAGTATATAACGCCCTCATGCAGAAGCCAACCATCCGAACCCTATCAAGGTCTCTCTCTCTCTCTCTCTACTTGCTAGTATCTACCTACTACACGCTTCCAAAGAATCGATTCCTCTCTTCTTTCATTTCTTCTTCTCTTCTTTCATTTCCCTTTGCTCTTTCTCTTCCCTTCTACAACTCTTACACAATCTATATAAGATATAGCCTGCGTTGTTGGTCAATACAACTGCAGTTGATTTGGACCATGGAAAAACCGGCCGATTTCAAGCAAGATAGTGATCTCGAGTCAGTAGCACCAGCTGAACTCTCCGAGGGTGCAACCTCTGTGGTCACGTCGAGCTCATTCCGGGACCAACTGAGAGCTGTGAAGGCGAACAAACGTGCGTGCCTAGCCGGTAAGTACCATCCATCACTTCCAGCTCTAGATCTCACAGATGCAGTATGATTGTCTAACTGCCATCGTACCTCAGCGTTTGCCTGCTCGACCACCCCCATCTTGATCGGATACGATCTAACGCTGATCGGTTCCATCATCGCGAACACCGAGTTTGTCCACCATTTTGGCCGCTATGATGAGGCCCAGCAAGTCTGGTCACTTCCCGCCAACCACCAACTCGTCTGGAGTATTGTGCAGTATGTATCTGCCATGTCTTCTGCTCTGGGCTCCGGCTACCTGAATGACACCCTCGGCCGCCGCGTTGGCTTCTTCACCACTGTTTGGTATGCATGCTCCGCCCTCTCCCTCTGGAAGCCGTTTCGGAAAAAGCTAACTATCTCTTTCACTCCGTGGTAGTCTTACGATCTCCGGGACATTCATCGAGCTATTCTCCCCAAACTGGAAAGTGTGGATCGTTGCGAAAGTCTTGATGGGCGCTGCGATGGGGTCCATGCAGGCCAATACCCAAACTTATGTTTCGGAGATCACCCCAACATCCATCCGAGGACTGGCGCTTTCACTGTTTCAATTCTGGATCATTATCGGTCAGCTCATTGCGACTTGTGTACTCGAAGGAACGAGCCATGTTGGCGATGCCTGGTCCTGGAAAGGGGCGGTGGTCTCTCAATTCGGCCCGGCTGCTCTCTGCATCGGGATGTTTGTCCTCTTCGTCCCGGAATCCCCTTACTATCTGGTCTCCAAGGACCGGATGGACGATGCACGGAAGGCACTGGCCCGGCTGCGGGCCCCGGACAGCACCGCCGTAGACGAGGAACTGAGCCACATCCAGGAAACGCTGCTGCACGAACGTCGCGCCCAGCAGAGCGCTGCTTCCGTGTCCATACGCGAGTGCTTCCAGGGCACCAATCTCCGCCGGACCCTGCTCGCCTGCCTGCCGGTCGTCATGCAGATCCTGACGGGCTACCCGCTCTGCAGCAACTACCTGGCGTACTTCCTCTCGCTCTCCGGCTTCAGCAACGCCTTCCTCATCACCCTTATCTCGGTCATCTGCTCGCTCGTCGCCGCCCTCTTTGCCTTCGTGCTCATCGAACGCGTCGGCCGGCGCCGCCAGATGCTGGCCGGCTGCGCCGGCATGCTGGTCTGTCTGCTGGTCGTCTCAGTCCTGGGGTTCGAGGGGCTGGGCCAGGCGTGGAACTACCGCACGCTGGCCGCCTTCTGCATCATCTGGGCCCTCTTCTATTACGCCTCCGTCGGGGCGGTCGGGTGGGCCATCGTCGGCGAGATCTCCTCCGCGCGCCTGCGCGCCAGGACGACCTCCATCGCCGCGCTGTCGAGCAACCTCAGCAACATGGTCTGGTCGATCGCCATCCCCTACCTGGTGAACGCGGACGAGGCCAATTTAGGGGCCAAAGCCGCCTTGCCGTTCTTGGGCGCCGGGCTCATTCTCATGACTGCGTGCTTCTTCTGTTTGCCGGAGACAAAGGGATTGTCCTTTGCCCGGTTGGATGCGTTGTTTGAGGCGAGGACTCCGGCGCGGAAGTTTGTCTGAAGGAGAAATGGAATCAAAGACGGGTTGGATGGTGAAAGAACCATTGTACATCGTGTAGGCAGTCTCATTTTGCAACAGCATTTCATAGTTCTAGCAAGATTTGTTGTATCTTTCCTAATTTGGATGGGCAAAGGAGCCGCAGCGGAGAATCCTCAAAGCCGGCTTTGTCGCATGTTTGGGCGAAAGAAACAAGGAAGCAGCTCGTCTCGCAGCCGTCGCTGTGATTTGGGCCTCTCACTGCTCAATACGAATTCACCTCACCTCTCATGGTTCTTGTTTCTTATCCTGTTGATGATGGTTATGATGACCCAGAAGGGTAAGTTAGATTGGGTACCTACTCTATGCTTCGGGAGGCAACAATCTTTGAAACAAGGAGATGGTGGAGGCCTTGGTTACTGACTGGCACTACTTCTTTAGGTCCTCGTCTCAGGGGGCTGGCAACTCCAGCTTCAAGACACCATCGTTGAAGGCAGAACCACAGAGCTCAGAAATATATGGATATATGCTTGAGATGACTCCCTCACGAGAGCACAATGGCTTCTGGCTAAAGACAGCCCGCTGGAGATCGTCGACATCTCCTGTCAGCCATGGCTTTGTCTTTCAGATCATGACCCAGTACGAGGAATCAGGTTTAGAGATAAAAGGGGCCGAGGCCTCCGTGGATACTAATGTGAAATAACTAACATTACTCGAATTCGCATACTTCGCGAATTGACATACCCCATCCTCATTTTTGAGCATACACCACGTACAGCCCATACACCATCATGGACGGTCTCAAGAGGGTCTCCCGCACGAGCTGCTAGCCATGATTGTCAGAAACACGGCGGATTGGGTCGGTCTCGAGAGTCTGATTTTGACCTCGCCGCCGGTGACCGCTCTCTTCGAGCCTGGGGAGTCCCCTGATGCACCCGCCGACTCGGATGCGATCTCCCTCGTTAAGGAGGTCCTACAGGCCAATCCGGTTATGAACTCCGGACTGGAGTGTTACTTCTACATGTGCGCGGCGCTCCGGCGGCGCTCCGTCAATGACAGCAGTCTGGCCGACTTTCTTGCCCGTGAGTTCCCCCTCTCATTCGGTGGACGTAGGAGATCAGACGGTCTCAAACCACCAGGAAACCATGTGCTAGAACAAAGCATGTAAATCTTATGTGTCGCTGCCTCATAAAGGCAATAGGAATATCTGCAACACAGAGCTCGCTTGTAAACAGTGGTAGGCTGTAGCTCCCATTGGGAGACCTGCATTGACTATGAACTAGGTCAATTTGACGTCACCCGTGCCACATCACTGTCGCGGACTACTGTATGTACTAAGATATCCCTTCCTTATCAATCACTCATCCATTCATCCATTCCAGCCAGCATCTACCAAGTCCCCCACCCCTATGTCCACCCATCATACCTTCTGCAGTTCCTACCCATCTTAATTCTTGATTGATATCGTATCCAGAGACAACCAAAATGCCACCCCCACCCCCACCCCCCACCCCCAGAATCCTCACCATCGACCCAACTCACCCAGAACCACCAACTCGACACCACCACCACAACGACACCACATCCTCCATCCCCACAAGCCTCCCCGCCGCCAAAGCCACAAAAGCTCATCCCCGCAACCCCGGGGCGGAGAATGCTTCGATCTACTTTGTCGGGAACGCGACCACCATCATGTATGTCCTTCCCTTTTCTGTCCTCCTGATGGGATGGAAGTATACGAGAGTAGACCGTGGCTGATCTCAACCAGACAATGGCATGGCATTCGGATTATGACTGATGTACGTGGCCTACATTCCCGATTGCATGGCGGAGTTATCAGTATAGCGGTGGCTAATGATTTTGGTCCGGGAAAAGCCCAACTTCCTGCACGCAGGCGACCACGTCCATCTCGGGCCGGGGGTGACCTCGACCCGGACGAAGGATCCGGCGGTGGATCTGGAGGATCTGCCGCGCGTGGATCTGGTGCTGCTTTCGCATTATCATGAGTATGTATTTTTCTTTTTGCTTTCTACTTTGTGTACTTGATTTTACTTGGGGGGTTGGGGGCTGGAGGGGAAGTCGGACGACTGGAAAGCTGCTGGAACTAGGGTTGTTGGGCCCTGTTCAGTAGCAACTGGCTGTGGTTCTCAAGGATAGCAGCTAGAAGTTTGTCTGGCACATACGACCACAGGGTGTGGAAAATAGGGCTTCCCGTCCGCTCAGCCGTACTCAAGCCACACGCCGGGAGGTTAGTAGTTGGGTGGGTGACCACCAGCGAATCCCTTCTGTTGTATGTTTTTGTCTTTTTTTTTGGGTCTGTTCTTTTGGTGTTTTTCGCTGCACTTTTTGGCCGTCGTTTCTGTTCTGATAGTTGTCGCTTGTCCAAGTCAGCCAGATGGTATGACACTGATACGATGGATGCAGAGACCACTTCGATCGGCATGTAGAGGATTCTCTCCGCCGGGACCTCCCCATCATCACCACGCCGCACGCGCAATCGATCCTAACCTCCAAGGGTGACGACTCCTTCACCCGGGTCGCATCCGTGGATGTGTACGAGCAAGCGTTGGTCGACATCCGCGGCGACCACCCGCCGGACAAACAGCCCCGGTTGCGGGTGACTGGTATGCCCGGGAGGCATATCCCCCTGGCGAAGCCTCTGGAAAAGCTGAATGAGCTTGTCGGTGCGGTAGGTTTGCGTCATCGTCGTCACCTTCTTTATTTCTTTGTCTGTTTGCTAGTTAGTCTCAACGAATCATATACTCACTAGAACCACCAGATCCCCCCCACAAACGGCTGGATGCTCGAACTCGGCTACAGCAGCACGACGAGGACCGCCGACTTCACGCCGGGATACCGAATCTACATCTCCGGGGACACCCTGATGTTCGACGAGCTGAAGGAGATCCCGCGGCGGTACGAGGGCCAGACGATCGACCTGATGCTGGTGCATCTGGGCGGCACGACGGTGCCGTCGCCGGCCCTGGGCCCGTTGGCGATGATGGTGACGATGGACGCGACGCAGGGGGTCGAGCTGATGCGCTTGATCCGGCCGCAGGTGACGATCCCCATCCATTTCGACGACTATGACGTGTTCGCCAGTCCGTTGGAGGATTTCAAGGCCCAGGTGAAAGAGGCGGGGTTCGAGGGGGAGGTGGTCTACTTGGACCGGGGGGATGAGTATCGGTTTCATGTGTAGTGAGAACTTCTGGGTGAGGGGAGAAAGCGAATCTCAGGGAAGTCAAAAGTACATCCATAGTACGGATACTGAGCAGTGGGAAGATGCATGGGCTCGTGTCATTGGCGGGTTGGATTGCCTCCCTTGGCCAGGGTTTCGTTTGTGGAGTGGATCTTATGAGTAAGGTCGGGGTCAAGGGGGTCGGATAAAGTACCGTGGACTAGGGACTGAGTAGTTGGCATGACAATGAAACTCTTTTTTTTCGCCATCGAGATGGAGCAGAGGGTGTCTTGGCTGATGATATCGGGGATACGCCCCCACCAATCAACTGGGATACTTTTCACAGTGCAAGGGGGTAAGGTACGAAATGTCGAAATAATCCTCGTAAGTTCGCACTTTCTTAACCAAACTTAACATCGGACCCAGGTCGATATTCACAAAGGGTTTGGGCGGAGAGTGGCAGATGCGAAGCAGAGAAGGTGGAGGTGGAGAGTCATCCATGATGTAAGACTTATGGTAAGCTCCAACGGGTGAATCAGACGGTCCAGTCAGCTGCAATGCGCAATGCAAACCAGCCAGCCCTGCAGATTCCGTACCGTCTCCAATTTTTATTTTTATTTCCTACCGTGTACATCTTGCAGCGGGATTAAGTCCGACACTTCTTATTGCATGACCCTCGCTTCGTGCTTTCCCTCTTTGTTTGCCATCCATCCAAAGGTCGTGGTTTGAAGTATATCCTCGTATCTTATACTTCTTCTTCTCCTCCCTCCCTCCCTTTCAGCCTCGTTGGAAACGATCAGCGTCCCCACACGTCATAGTGACACCAATCGCAAAAGTTCCTTTGATCGCGGACTTGTGAATACATGCTAAGAAGTGAATGATAAATGAAATCGGTGTCGATCATTCACTAAAAGGACCATAACTTCTACCTTCACGTCAAACTTATTTATCTCTGAAACGAAACCCAGCGTTTGCGAAGGTGTCACCTCAACCAACTCAAATCATCTCTCATCGCGAGCCTCAAACTACATAACACATCATCTCTTATCGCAAACCACCACCATATAACACATCTCCTCGCGAACATCCACCACATAACAACATCTCCAGCCGAAAGAAAACCACAATGGCCAATGCGACCTTGAAGAGGGAGCCTGCCGCCTCCGCCAACAAAGTGCCGACCTTGCACACCATCCACAACGTCAAACGCTCCGTGTCCTACTCGCCTGCGCAGAACGGCGAGCACGCTGCTGCTGCGAGAGCGGCCGAATCGACCCGCGGATGCGATCACATGGTCAAGTCCGCGTTGACGGAGTTGCTGAACGACGACGGGGTCAAGTCGAACGCCCGCGGGAGTCGTTCGGTGCAGAACATGCTCATGCAGAACGAGAAGAAACGCAAGTCCCAGCGTCGGCAGTCTTTGCTTGAGCAGGGGAATCACAAGTGAGGGAGTGGGGGATATGCGGCAGGCTTGATGGCGGCATGATAAGTCAACCGATCTGGACGTGCGTTGCTGCTGCTGTCGCGTATGTCTACTTTCATTGAATGGGTGGGGACGTTGCGATCTGCTCTGTTGGTGGCGGAGACATGATACCGATCTACTGAAGCTGGGTTCGATTGTATGGAGGCTGGGTAATGGTTTGAAGATCTAAGGATGGTCAGTACATGATGGCCGATTTCAGCACGATAACGAGTATGGTCGGCATACGACAACTGGTGTCGATTCGAATGAACTGCAGCTCTAAAGACGCCGGAGCGGAATCGGAGAAGCATAGGGAAAGCTGGAGGTTTTGTTGTTTTATTTTTCAGTTCTGAGGTTCTAAAGGGGCGGTTGCATTGCGTTATGATTCATGAGTATGATAATGATAATGATTAATGAGCTTCGGGTTTCGACTTTATACTTCTCAGTAACCTCAAGTGTTGTGGACTGGTCAGTGGGCCGCGCATTTGCCTAGAGTATGACAGCTTAGTGCGAACAGGCATATGGCTGGCGGAGTGCTCTGGCGGAGTGCATCCGATTTATTAGTAGATCTATGTCGAGCAGCTGACACACAAGCCAAGAAAAACACTATTTTTCTAGCAATGTCTGTGTAACTGACAAGGCTTGGTGGTTTGGTGAAACTACCAAGTAGTTGATATTCCCTGGGGTTGAGCCACTCGCGCACTCGCCGACCGCCTCCGAGTGACTGCCCGACAAGCACTTGGAGCCTCCGCTCCGCAAGCTGCAGCTCCACCTCCCCTCTTACTCGTACCTCCAGCTCAACCTCCGTCCCTCTCTTCCTCTCCCTCATCTTCTTCCGATCTTATCTGCACACGCCTATCGCATGCGTGGTACCCTCGCAGCTCTCGAAATTCCCCGATAGTCAGCCCCCCCCCCCGGCAACTCCTCGTCCCGTGCTGCTGCCACCATGTCCAAGTCCACCAAGTACCTCCTCGTCTCGCTCCCCACCTCCATCACCCCCTCCCACCACCGCGACGACGCCCTCGATGCCGTCTCTGCCACCGTTGCTCCCGAGAATGGCTCCGTTGCCCCCTTCCCCATCCCAGAGTTCAAGATCGGTACTCTGGATGCCTTAGTGCAGCAGGCCGATGAGTTGGCCAAGCTGGAGGCCGCCTGCCAGGGGGTCGTCGCCAAGGTCGGCGATGCGCTGAAGAATATCTTGGAGGGTGACGAGGCGCAGATCGACAAGATGAAGACCGTGAACGATAGTATGCAACCCCTTCACTCGCCCTACCATGCCACTCCCCTTTCGGAGAATTTGGCGGTTAACGTGATGACGCAACCCTTCTGCCTATATAGAGCCGGTGGACCAATATCTACGCACATTCTCCTGGAACAAAGTCAAGTACCGGGCCGATAAGCCTCTGGCGGAATTGATCGACTTGCTACAAAAGGTGGGTGGTATCTCTATCTTGCGTCTGGTACAAACGAACTACGCAGGGGACGGCGATTGTTGACGCCCAGAGCAGGAGGCCGCTAGTATCGATAACGACATCCGCACAAAGTATACCCAGTACAACCAGGTGAAGAATACGTTGGCGACGCTTCAGCGGAAGCAGACGTGAGAATGCCCTCTGTCACACCCCTATGTCTACCTTACAGGCCGCGTGCTGACATCGGCGGTAGGGGTAATCTGTCCACTAAATCGCTCGCCTCGGTCGTCGACCCTCGCACCCTGGTCCAGGATTCCGAATACATCGAGACGCACCTCATCGCCGTGCCCGCTCAGCAGATCAAGGAGTTCCTCAAAACTTATGAGACTGTCGCGCCGATGGTGGTGCCGCGGTCGGCCACGCTCGTGGCCTCGGACAACGACTTCACGCTGTACGCCGTCACGACGTTCAAGAAGCACAGCGTCGAGTTCGTACACAAGTGCCGTGAGAGCAAGTGGATCCCCCGCGACTTCAAGTACGTCGCCGGCGGCAAGGAGGAGGAGCGGAGGGAGGTCGAGCGCGTGGGCGGCGACGAGCGCAAGCTCTGGGGGGAGACGCTCCGGCTGGGCCGGACGGCGTGGAGCGAGGCGGTCATGGTCTGGATCCACGTGCTGGTGCTGCGGGTGTTTGTGGAGACGGTGCTGCGATACGGGCTGCCGTTGGATTTTGTCTGCACTTTGATCCGGGTAAGTTTTCTTACACTGTAAAAGGAGGCAGGGGAACCCAGCCGAGTGCTAATGCAAGACGACAGACCGCGAGCTCGAAACAAGCGGACAAGGCGAAACACAACCTGGATGACAAGTACTCGTATCTGGCGGGCAATGCGTTCGGGCGCGACAAGAAGGGCCGGGTGAAGCGCGACGACCCGAGCGAGATGCACGGCGAGGGAGCCGCGGCGGCCGATTATACAGCATACGTGTATTATGACTTTGAGTTCCAGTGATTACTACTACCATGGTGTTTGTTCTACCTTTTTTTCTGTGTTGTGTTTCCTTGTGGATATGTATAGCGTACATAGAGTCGAATGCATGCTTGATTGAGCCTTGCGTGATAGGGTTGTCTACTCGACCGTTTTCAATGCCGGTGAAAAAAAAAATCTATTTGTATATATACAATCAACCTCAACCCCCATATCTTTGTTCTGACGCTCCCATCTGCACTCTATGCAGGACCGCAAACATCAACAAGAAATATTCTATATTTCAAAACCAGAGAATCAACAAATCTAAGCAGACTTAGGAGGCAAGTACCCCTGGGAATCGAGATACGCAATGATCTGGCGCACGGCCTCCTGCACGGGGACCTCGTGGTTCTTGATATGGACCTCGGGCTTCAGCGGCGCCTCGTAGGGGGCGCTGATGCCGGTGAACTCCTTGATGACGCCCTCGCGGGCCTTCTTGTAGAGGCCCTTGGGGTCGCGCTGCTCGGCGACCTCCACGGGCACATCGACGTACACCTCGACGAAGGGCAGACCCGTCTCCTCGCCCGGAGTGGGCACCTCATGCAGCTGCCGCGCGGTATCCCGGTCCTTGCGGTACGGCGAGATGAACGAGGTGATGGCGATCGAAGCGCTGTCCGCGAACAGCTTGGCCACCTCCGCGATCCGCCGGATGTTCTCGTTCCGGTCCGCCTCGCTGAACCCCAGGTCCTTGTTCAGCCCGAACCGGATGTTGTCCCCGTCCAGCCGGTAGGCGTGCACCCCCCGGTCGTGCAGGAGCTGGTGCTCCAGTTCCACCGCCAGCGTCGATTTGCCCGACGCCGACAGCCCCGTCAGCCAGATGGTGAGGCCCTGTTGTTTGCGCAGGCTGCTGCGTTCGCTGCGCGTGAGGGCGCTGGCGTGGTAGGTGATGTTTCTGCTGGGCGTTATTTGGGTTGCTTGTGGTGGGGGTGGGGGAATTGAGGGGGGTGGGCTTGGGTTGGGTTGGGTTGAAGGAAGGAGGTTGGGAACTTACGTGGCCATTTTGAGAGAGGGATTGAGGGTGGAGGGGTGGGATGGGATGAAGATGCTGGGAAAGGGAGATGTGGGAAGAAGACTCGAGGAAATAAAGAGGAGAGAGAGGAGGGGGAGTCAGAGAAAAAGGGCGAAACCTGCAGTGGCTACACTACTCCTACTCACTCACTCATTGGCACGGCGGCGGGGCCGCCGATCGCGGGGTGGATTATGTTGATTTTGCCAAATTGCGTTATCGCTGGCTTGGGCGGTGAGCCGTTGCGGGTCATGTCACTGGCGGACCCGGAATCAGGCTGGCTCAGGCACGCTTCGACTTTTATAAGGTTGGTTACGTATGCCGCCGCGGGCCTGGGCCCCGCTACTACGCACTGGATTTACAATCTCCTGTACACGACTCAGGGGACAGTGAAACGGTCGACATGATCCAATTGCTTCTCTCGTGGCTTTGCATAGTTTGAATGATTCCTTGTCGGGAATCTATATTTATGTGATGCGTGCTATGGCATGATCCTCTTTACCGTTGCGCCGCCAGCTCGATCACCCGCTTCGCCGCGGCTTCGAACTCGTCAAATGCCTCCAGCGGGAGTCCACTCTCCGCGATCTGCGACACCAGTCGTTAGCAATTAACCTCACACGAGCCGGACACCAAGCATTTACCATTCGTTGGCCCTCTTTTTCGTTTGTCCCCCGCAGCCGCACCACTAAAGGAATGCGAACGTCCAGATCCTGGAACGCCAGCAGAATCCCCTCCGCGATCATATCGCACCGCGTCAACCCCCCAAAGATGTTCACAAAGATGGCCTTGACTCGCGCGTCCGACAGGATGATCTGAAACGACGACTTCACCGTGGCCGACGTCGCCTTGCCCCCTGTGTCCAGGAAATTGGCGCAGTGGCCGCCATGCATCGTCAGCGCGTCCACCGTGTTCATGGCCAGCCCGGCTCCGTTGACTGTACGGGGTTAGTCGGTTGCCGTGTCGGTTGATGAGCGAGGTCTCTTACCTAGTGTGCCTATACCTCCCTCTCCATCCAATCTACAATCAAAATCAGCATCATATTCGGCGTGAAAAGGTGCAAGCACAACTTACTTGACGTAGACGATGCCGTCTTTCTCGGCTAGGACCTCTTCCGGCACCTCCTCGGCTGGGTTTCTCAGGTTTTGAATATCTTCCTGGCGTCCGGAACTTCGAAAGGCAGCATCGTCAAATCCAAACCGTGCTTCGCGCACTTCGAAGGTATCCTTCGCGCTAGCTCGGACTTCTAGAAGGTATGCCTCCTTCTCCGTGAAGATCTGCCAGAGCGCCTGGACGAGCTCGGCCAATTTCTCTTGCGACGCGGTGGGAAGCTGCAGGTAGGAGGCGACAGCCTTGATGAGCGGACTTGTGCTCTCGAGATCAGGGGTCTCGTAAGAAAAGGGAAAGCGACCGGTGTGTTCGGGGCTGAAAGCAGCAGTCGACGACGCAAGGATGCATGGAGACAGCGCGGTTCTGTCAACAGTCAAGGTCAGGAAGAAGTCCGCATCCGATGAAGCAGTCTCGTTGACCGCGACCGACTTCGCTCGGAGCATGTCAAGCGCCTGGAACGGTTTCACGTAGAGGTTGCGGGCTTGCTGCTGTGGCGCTTTGTGACTGACATCCAGAGTAGCCCTTCTCATTGTGTGGAAGCCTCTTTGTTGGCTTACGCCCCTGGCGAACTACAACGGTTCAGTATCTTGATGATGTTCTTGCTCCGGACCAAACTCACATTGGCATTATGGGCTAGCCCTCGACTCTTCAGGAGGGCCTTCATACCCTCCCCAAACTTCTCCGGGTGATTCACCATGACCGCACCGGCACTCTCGAGCGCCTGATACTTGGCTTTGGCGTCCGGCTCTCCAGGAGCGGTCCAGGCCCCGGCATGGCCCATCACGCGTTCTGCGGGCGCATGCTGACCTCCGACCAGAGCCATGATGGGTCTATTTCCGGTATCAGCATTTACAAGCCAACGCGGCATCTCAGATGGCACACATACTTGGGGTTGGCGGTCCTCCGGTAATAATCTCGGATCCAATCGGCAGCATCCATCTCGGCCGTTCCCCCGATCTCTCCGACTAGGACAATACCCTCCGTCTCGGGGTCGCTTTCGAAGGTGCTCAGAGCGTCGACGAAGTTCGTCCCGGCCAGCACATCCCCTCCCATACTTATACAAAGAGTCTGGCCCAGGCCCGCACGGGTCGTAGATGCAGCGGCCTCGTAACTCAGGGTACCCGACTTGGCTACGATACCAATCTTACCCGGCGTGAAGCACGGCAAGGGCTGGAATCCAATGCGGCATTTCCCTGTCACCGAGATGATACCCGGGCAGTTGGCCCCAACTAACCTTGTCTTTGACTGAGTTTTGAGCATCGAGTGAACCTGAACAAACGATTAAGCAGTTGGTCACTTTGCACGAAGAAGGAGAAAGGTCCTTACACGTAGCATATCGTGAATCGGAACATGCTCTGCCACAGCCACAACCAGCGGCACTTCCGCCTCAATGGCCTCCTCAATGGCCGCGGCAGCCGAGCCACCAGGCACGTAAACGGCGGACGCATCCACCCTCACATTTTTCTGTGCCTGTGAATTAACTTAGTCCGTCTGCTCCATCACATATATAACCCTCAGAAGCCAGCAAACCCTTGCTACATACCTCCCTAACGGACCGAAACACCGGAAGACCCAGGTTCTCCCCCCTAGGATTCTGCTTCACGCCTCCGACGACCTTGGTCCCCCAAGCCAGAGATTCTCTCACATTAGCAGTCGACTAGAAACATAATCAGCCATTCCACTCTTGTCGATTTCGTATCTGCAAACCTAGCACACGGTACCTGTTTGCCTATATGCCAATGGTCAGTCACAACCAGGGTCAACTATATCTGTAGAGCACGTGACCTACCAGGAAAGCCCTGGAACAATACATGCGTGTGAGCCCCGATCTTGAGATTCGGCAGTGTAGCTGCATAGTTCTCGATGCTGCGTGCTGAGGTCGTCAACTGGGACCTTGGGCTGAGGGATTGGAGCCGTGAGAGCGTCGTTCGCCGCGCCTGCGCGGGGACGGGGCATAAGCGAGTCATGCCTTCGTCTCAACTTGGTTCGGGACTCAATGGGAATCCGATAGTCACGGAATTTAGCCAGCCGATACCTATCCTCTTGTGGTCTGGAATCTATGATGTTTTAGATATAGTCTTATCTCCCAGATGACAGGGTCGTTTATTGACTGACACTCGGTACCGCCGATAATGCGGGGAAGTTATATCAGAGAAGAAGCAGCACAACGGGGAAGTCGGAAACACGAGGTACCTTACGCTCCGGGGGACCTCGGGAGGATGAGCGGGCCCCTTAAGAATGTTCAGTTTCCACTTGTGTTTCTGTGCTATCGGGCCTAGGCTGGTTACCTACAGTGCCGATCCCCCTCTCGCTGACTTCACATTGGCGAGTTTCCGAGGCGACTGTGGGGACTGTTGGGGGGAAGAAGGCTTTATGATTGGGTTTCTCGGAAGTTGCTGGGCTGGGCTGGGCTCTCGGGTATTGCCTGAGTAGCCGGTCTCGGAACAACGGCACTTGGGAGGGAGGTTGGCTGATGGAGGATTGACTGGCACGAAGTTATGACTGGTTTTTTGGGGGTAGGATCTTGTTAGTTTACTTGGAGTTATAATACTTATATCCATTTAGGAGTTTATGTAGGTGGTTATGCCATCGCTCGTCATGTAAGATACAACGATCAGTATATTCTGGGTCTGCCATGATCCTAGGATTGAAACTCAGTGCACGTACTCTTCAAGGTACGGTACTGTGTATTTCCATGGTCGATAGACTGAAAATAGTATGGGATACGGTTGGAACGTTCCCCGAGATTTTCAGCAGTGGATAACCCACAGCCAACTTACAGTCCAGGTTAAAGAGACACGTCGGTGGGGGATGGTTCTTGAGATGCATGACTTATGGCAACTGGACAGGAACATAGCAGGGCAGAAAGGACGAGCGGGGGTGAGATGCGAGTCGCGAGGACGTTCATCTCTTCGACAGACGTATGTGTAACTTCGAACGGTTTACTGTCGCGCTATCATCTGATGGTCCCATAGAAGGTATATTCCCTTCGGGCATGAGCTCAAGGTGACCAGATGAGGAGACGGAGTCACCCTCCCAAGCTACCGAGATACAGATACATGTTAGAAGATGAGATTACATCATAGGAAACGAAATCAACGCAAGCTGTAATCCAGCCTAGAGAAGCAGACGCAAAGCAGCAACGCGCTCAGAAATCCTTTCTATTCTCTCGACCAAGCTCATGTGTGTGTAGAATAAGATGACATTTCCCAAAAGAACCCCCCGACTCGGTTTAAGACTCCCTTAATCCCTGTTGAAGTAAAAAAAAAAAAAAAAGCTCCGCGCTGAAGTGGGTTCGAAAGGATCCCCCACACCCGTGCTGAAAACCACCAATTTGCGCCTGTTTTTTTTTTTTTTCTTTCTTTGTGGTACCTCCTTCCAGATGCGACACATTTAAGAAAGAAGGCGCAAAAGAAGAATGTGGATGATAAGGAAGTATTGAAAGCGGAAGAAGCATGACTGGCTCAATGTTGTTGTTCGTTGTTGGAGGAAGATGTATGTAAGAAGAGGGAAAAAAAAAAGGACCACATTCATCATTAATTCATCGGGATAAGAAGGCAAGGTTTCTCTATTTAACCACCGATCTGTTCCTGGTGGACTTCAAGGGTGTCTCCATCGGCCATTTCGAGCTGTTGCGGAAGAGGGGAGTGTTAGTCTGGGGTCTTTTTGTCTGGGATATGGGGTTTGGGGTGCGTGTATGCTGGTGGAGAGAGGGAAGGCCGCCGCAAACGCTGAGCACCGGCGGTGGCGCTAAGGATGATGGTGATGATGAGGGGAGGAGGGCAGTGTACGTACAGTGTCTGGCGTATCCTCAGGACGCACACGGGTACCGTCGAACAGGAAACGGACGGTCGTAGGCTGTTTACCCTGACGCTCGCAGAACGCATCCATCAACTTCTTCAGCTGGGTTGACCGCTTGATCTTGAAGAAGACCTCGTTGTTGTTGTCGGTGACTTTGATGTTCAGGTGCTCGACGGGAGCCGGGGCATCACCGGCGGTGGGCGAGGCGTTCGCGTCGGCCATCGTTGCTTGTGGGGAGATGTTGTGATCTGGAGGTGGCAAGATAGAAGGTCAGCGCTGAGAGGGGTTCCTGTCGCATTTGACTGTGATCTGCTTCCGGGGTTGAAGATGGGACGAGAAGAGATAAGTGTAGGAGGGAGAATTTCTTACTTCTTGTGGTTGATGATGTTCTGAGAGAGGTGAGCGTGACGGGGAGAATGTCAGGATCGTTGAAGAAGTGAGAAGGTGACAGAGGGAGGAGGAAGCGCTGAAGTGAAGAGAAATAGATCGGGGTTGATGGGTTGGCGGCGATGGCAGAAGCAACCCTCCCCACCGGTGATGACTGACGGAGAATCTATTTTTGCGGCGCAGGTCCAATCGGCCGCAGTAACACCTTGGAGGCCTATAGGCTGTTGCTTGACTGTGCAATAACTACCTGGCGCAGTGAATGACATCGCTTTCCTCTTCACTCCTTCATCAAAGCGTTGATTTCCCCTTACTTTTGCTTTATTGCTTTATGCATATTTAGTCGCAATTGCCTCGGTTTATTCTGCTCTGTCTGGTTGTTAATTCCAGCCAGCGTTTGCCTTTTACTGCTACTCAATATATATCATTGCGTCATGGTAAGCAAGACCGCAGTGCTCCTTTGGACATCTCTCGTCTCAGCCTTGAACATGATTGACAAGAGGCCAGGGCGGACTAAAAGAGGATCTAGCATATGATCCCCCTTGCCATCCACGAGCAGTAAGTTTGTCTTTGAGCATCATATGAGAGACATATCCATTGACTCTCTGCAGTGTGCCATTCAAGGTAACTTCACTTGAGCCTTCTCCCAGCGACAAGGTCACTAACCGAGCCCTATCAGCTTGTCTAACCAAGAACTCATACCAAGAAGAAAAGTGCCAGTCGCAAATCAATGCCCTCTACGAATGCTGCAATTCGTTCTACAAGGAGCAAGGCGAAGAAGCGAAAACCCCGAGCTGTCCCAAGCCCAGTCTCCTGCGACTGAGGATGAAGCAACGAGGCCAGGAATCCTAGCTTGAACGCGAGCTCATGACTGTTGCTCTGTGCTTTGTGCATAGACGTGTATATATTACCACACCGAGCTTTGCAGAAATCGAAATGCGAGGCCAAAGACCATTGACCAGAATACTACTGTAGAGGTGTGCGAAAAATCCGGGTCGAAATTCGAAAGCTGAATGTAGCAATTCCTTTGCAGTCTGAGCTCTCATAAGTAAGAGCTAGGCTAGTTGTAAGAACTGCAACTCCCTCTAAGACAATCGTGAGCACGCAAAGAGGCCGATTGACCTGGACGAATATTGAAAACTCTCGCCCCGAGACTCTAATGACTGCCTATATGACATTTGTTGAAGAAAAAAAGAAAAAGAAGAAGGGAAGGAAAAAAATCCACGATATTTCAATGCGCGGATGTGGCCGCGCTAGACCTGGTTGGGCTTAGTGGCTGAGCGGCCCCAAAACACGGCCAAGCAGAGCAAGAGAGGAAAGAAGGTGCAAGTGATTGAGTGAAGTTCCAGTTCTTCTTTAAACCCTGCTTGGGTGCTTAACGCCTATCCTGCGCTATTCTCTCCCCACCCCCAACTCTCCTCCCCAGCACGTCCTCAAATACAGGGTCGCATCGAGCGCCACTTTTCAATTCCTTCGTTTGCGCTCATGGCTCCCCTGACCAGCGTGGCTGGCCCGGGCGCCCCGGCCGGCTTTACCTCCATCAATGTAAGTGTTCCTGCGGTTCTGTTGACACGCCCGTCCAGGCGGTGCGCTAACCGTTGCGTTCAATATCCAGCACCATCAACAAGCGCCGAACAATACCGATGTCATCGAGATTGATGATAGTGATGACGAGCCCATGGATGAGGCCGAGGATCTCGAAACTAATGATGACGAAGGGGATATGGAAGATGAGGAGGAGGAGGAGGAGGAGGAGGACGAGGACGACGAGGATGAAGAGGAAGAAGAAGAAGAAGTCGACTACGGCGACGAAGAGGACGGTCCGGACAACGACTCCGCTGAGGATTCGAATCGCAGTGAATCGCCCCTGGAACTGAGTCCCCCTCCCACCGAGCAAAGTACGACGGATACAGCCTCTTACAACGGGGAAGTCGCTAATTGTATGTTAGATGGTTTGGCCGCTGCCGCTACTCCGGATCTCTTCACTTCAGCAGGCGCACAAGAAGCTCTACACCCTCTTCGCCGCACGGCGGACCGCGTGACGCGTCAAATCGAAGCATTTGCCGAGAAGTTGGATCGTTTCAAACAGCAGGGAAACCGGGCTGGTGAGCTCGAGGACTACAAAGCTGCCTACCAGCTCGTGAGAAGCTATCAAGAGCTCGCGCGTGGCACGATTCAGGACATACAAAAAGATCATACGTTGAAACGCGCGAAGCTGGGGTTTGGCGCCAACCGGGCCAACGGGCCAATGGACACCAAGGCACAAGAAGAAATGCAACGACTGCAGCTCGAGGAAAGCACCTGGCAGCTTTTCTGCAACCTCATCACTATCACCAACCCTCACCGCATAGCCAAATCCAAAGAGAGACAAGCAACCGCTTTCCAGAACCTGCACCGCTACTCATCTGACCGCGAAGTTTGGGAGCAATTCCTCGACTCGGACGCGTACGCGGTGGAGTGTGTGGTGATCCTGAAATGGCTTGAGTACACCGCCAAAAACTCCTCGCAGGATATTGACGATCTGATTTCGGAATTGGAGACACAAGCTCAGCGGGGTCAGGGCTCTTGGTCCTTTGGCTGGCTCTACACGAAGGAAACGATCAAGGGACACAAGCGACTGCGAGCCTGGCCTCAGCCCCTTGAGCCTATCGATCCCGGAATCACCGCCTCTTTGCTCAAGTCAGAAGACTCCGAACCCTTGGTTACTCAGTTGGACCCCGATGCGATCACGAGACAGAAGCAGAACCTCCAGAAACAGGATCAATACTACGAGCGCGCCACTTGGATGACACTCTGGAAGATGCTCAGACAGGGCGAGAGCTGGTCAAAGATCCGGGAGTGGTCTGCGGAGAGGCTGGAGCCTTGGAGAGCGGTCAGCATCTGTGGTTCCAGTGTTGACGTACAGACTCACAAAGGCCGCACCCCCGTTGACGATGGACACACGCGCTTGATGAATTGGCGGTCTCAGGAAACTTGGAGTGCTGCTTGTAGTGCTCTAGCGCGGAACCCAAAGATTGAAGATTATGAGCGGGCTGTCTTCTCGTTACTTTGTGGCGAGACTGAGGCCGCCTTCAAGATCTGTCAAAGCTGGGATGACTTCCTCTACGTCTATTTCAACCGCGCCGTACTCTCCCGTTACCAAGGATTCTGCAAACAGCTTCAGCGTAAGTTGAGTCACTCGCCCACTGCGCAAGTGGCCTACGTTGCGGAGCCGGCAGGCTACGATGAAGTAAAAAAGTTCATCGAGTTCACCCGGGATCACGACCGCGTCGGTTTTGAGGCTCGCAACCCATACCGCACCATCCAGGCGGCCATTCTGTGTAGAGGGTATGACAAGTTTTTCATGTCACTGGCCCAAGCCATCTCTCAGGTTGCGAACAATCCATCGGACGGGTCATCCCTGGTTCCTAAGATGCCACATACGTCCGTGGAGGATAGCCTCCTCATTACTGCGACGGACCGCGATGCCTTACGGATTGCAACTCACTTGCTCATTGTTACCCGACGTCTCGGAATGGTACGGGCGGATACCATGTTCTTTGACAATACGTCCGTCAATATCATCGGATATATTGCCAACTTAGAGGACGCTGGCCTCGTCGATCTTATTCCTTTATATGACTCGCTTCTGCCCACTCATTATAAGCGGATTATTCTGGCGCGCGTCTTGATTGAGGTTGTTGACCCGAGAGAACGGAGGCTCCTCGTCTCACTCATGGAAAAACATGGGATTGACGTTGAAGACATTTTGGAGACCCAGTGGGAGTATATCAGCAACAAGGTCTCTGCCATTGACCATTCAAGGACAATGAAGTTCACCTCCAAGGTTGTAACACGGAAGGATGGCGATCGCGAACTAGCTATCCCAAGGCACGATGTCATTGGAACGGAGATCTCTGACGTAGATGAACGAGTGATTCGGAGTCTGGAGTGGCTCCGTTTTGTTGACGGACAATGGGGCAGGATCTGTCAGCTTGGATCCCAGGTGTACCGGAGATTCTTCAGTACGTCAGTCGTCTCAATATGTCGTCCGTCATGCTAACAACATTGCAGGAACCGGAAACCTGGCCGCTGCGAGAGAGCTGAGCAGACGCATGAACCTTTCCGACATCTCCCGTGAATCCTTTGGGTTCGATTTGGCGGCCAAATTCGCACTCGCTATGGACCCCGACCAGGAGTTTGCTGCCTCCGAGCCCTCGAGTCCCATTAAAAGCATACCGTTCACTTCTCCACACAAACGAAGCCGCTCCAAGACAAACGGCAATCTGGTTTTGGGTGACACAGGCCTCCTGCTACAGCAATCGCAAATCATGCGTGATCTGCAAACCTTGATCATGGCGTTCGACGGCCTCGAGAAGTTTTCGCTCGCTTGGGAGAATTTCGACGCGTAAGTCCCGGCGCTTGTTCGTAATGCACCGGAAGCAATGCTCACCAGACAATAGGGCTAGACAAAATCGGGATGCTGGCACCATCAAAGACCTTAGAGAGAAAGTACAGGCTGCATTGGGTCAAGCCAGTGACCCTGTCGACCTGATGCTCATGGAATGGCTAGTCGGTGCTGAGACGGGTAAGCACCAGCCCTCGCCTACGAATGAAAGATCATCCCAAACTAATCTATCAAAACCCTCACAGAATCCGAGCAAGCAGAGCTGGAAGAAATCCGAAACTTGTATATTCCTGAGGTATTCCTCAGCTACCACAACGCCCTCTTCTTCTCGGCCCGAATCCTCAACAGCGAGATCCTCGTGCAGTGCATGAACCTCGCGCTCCAGGTCTCGGAGAACGACCTACTGACACAGACCTTCGTGGTCTCGCGTCGTATGCAAGAGCTGGTGGTTGCACTGGCGCTGTCTAGCAAAGCCATGGTGAACACCCGAGCCAAGCCCGGGGTGAAGTTACCGGGAGGCGAATCGCTGGGGCTCTGGAACGTGGAGACGGTTGAGGGAGATGAGCTCGATGACGGCGCGGCGCAGTGAAACACACCCGGGCTTAGACGTGTACTTACTGTTGTAATATGACACAAGAGATTCACGACGGATCGGCATGATGCATGTATGTACATTAGCCTCCTCTT